GACAAGAGAAACATACCAATGCGCCTGAATAGAAACTAGTTTTTGTTATCAGTTGATATATCCCCTGCTATGACATGGATTTCAAAGAGACATTGACAAAGAAAATGGAACAACATGTGAAAAGTGCACAAAGAAGCATTGAGGGATGCGTGTTTAGGATCACATTGAGAAGACAAAGAGGAAGACAGGATTCGGGAATGTTGAGAGAAAATGTAATTACCTAATTAGCTAGTTTTACGTCTCCAGGGCAGATTTATGTTTTTACTTTAGCTGAGAAATTGGTTGACCTTTATTCAATTTCACGTTACGGTAAATGTAGACTTAAGCGTATGTACCTGCTAAACTTCATTACGACGACGGTGAGTGTGGAAATAAATGCTTACCTATCCGCTGCTCTCAATGTAATACAGTGGCAAATGACGCTTTTGAAATCATTATACTTGAAGTGATGTAATGACCAGATGGCTTTTTCTAACGTTGAGTTAAGCTACGCGCATCTTTTGGCCAAGTGAAAATTGCATGGAAAAACAAGCCCCTGTAGTGAATTATGTTGAACAAACTCTGCTGGATGCCCCGAGGAAGAAATGTAGGGTTTTTTTTCCTCTAGAAAATACTGACTAAATTAAATAACATTGTAAATCCCAATGTGCGTTCCAGCTTCGTCATATTTCACAGTATCCAGTATGCACATTCTGTTAAGAGACATATATTACTACTACTACTACGAATATTAGACAAAGTGTGACGAATGCATCGCTTCTGCAGTCATTCGTACTGTGCACACTGAAAACAAAGTAAAAAATAACGAATTATGTTCTTGTCAATAGTAATAAGAGGACCACTTAATGTCACCCGACCAACGCGCACGCCTTTAGAATGTTTAGAAAAAAAACAACTAAAATCCTTTAACAACATTTATCACTGTCATCCCAGATACTGTACTGTAAAAAAAACATTTTCAGCATTGAGAATAGGTTTTCCCCTTTTTTCTGGCAACAAAACAGGTGTTAAGATGTTAAAACACCAAACTGAAACCTTTTACAAGGAATCATGTCTGCATTAACCACAATACTTGTGGTCAGAATGCAAACAAAAAACGTACTCTGATAATATAGGCATTGTCTTTGAAACTGAATGGTCCACACCAGAGACAGCTTTCTTTTGAGCCTCGTCTCAATTGGTGCTCGACCAGAGGACGCCAAAAGGCGTACAGCTCAAAGATGATGCACCATCAAAGTAATGAGAGCTCGGGGTGAGCATCTACATCATGGGACCTCCTTTGCCAGTACCAAAAAATTAGATATTCTCCTCTGGTCTAACACCGTTTGGGATGAGGCTCAAAAGAAAGCTGTTTGTGGTGTGGACCAATCAGTTTCAAAGACAATGCATATATTATCAGAGTTTGTTTGCATTCTGTCCACAAGTATTGTAGGTAACGCAGGCATAATTCCTTGTAAAAGGTTTCAGTTTGGTGTTTTAACATCTCAACACCTGTTTTGTTGTCAGATAAAAAGGGGAAAACCGATTCTCATATTTTGGTACTGGTAAAGGAGGTCCCATGATTATCAGTATTGTATTCCTATCTTCGATGGTAATTCGTGTTGATATTTCCCAACGAATGTGCCGTCATTAACATGAGGGGCATGATGACGCATTGATTCATTGATTAATATCCATTCTGAAGCAAATTATGATACGTGCACTTTATCACACGTGTAATAATTGATGTTTGTTTTGTTAAAATTATGAATGCCATTGCGTATCATGGATGCGACATTCACCGCAATGTAAAAAAATATAATCAATTCTTGAACCATCACCCTGAATCACAACAATCATTGAATCACAAGAGGAAGTAAGGAGGATGAATCATTAACATCCATTGTTTATGTTAACATGTTATATCATTCTCTGTCTCTCAAGGCATGGGGGCGGGGGGAGGCAACCGTTTTTATTGGTGTCATAGTTCAATGTTAAGGTCCTTCAACCAGGATGTGCGTGGATCATGGGTGGAAAAAACCCGATTTTTCCAGCGGCATGCATCGGGTTTTTTCTTTAATACAATTAAACCCGATTTCGGGGAATTAAAACCTGCTTTAATGAATAAGAAACTCTGATCCAAGGCTTAGGCTGCTTCCTCGTCGGTGCTGCTATCGTACTCGGGGGGGCCGTCGGGCACGGGGTAGTCGTAGAATGCGGCGGGCAGGTTGGTCTTGATGAACACGAGCTTCTCCCCCACAATCGTGGGCGCCAGTGAGTTCCTTAGCTTGGAATGGATGAAGCCCATCGTTGAGAAGTTGGCGAAGTGCGGTTCTGCAAATAGAACCAATTAAACCGGATTTCTCCCAATCTCAGATGATCGGGTTTAATATTAAAAGACAATTAAACCCGATTGTAAAAAAACCCGACTGTGCCACCCTTGGCGTGGATGGCGCACTCCGCGGTGATGTGTTGGATGGTTTGGGCCTCACCACAGTCGCGGTATATTTGGAGTTTGCATGCGTGTCTCTCTCTCTCGCTCTCTCCCTGTAGTCGCGTGGATTTTTCTCCGGGCGCTCCGGTTTTCCCCTCCACATTTAGAATCAACGTGCGCTTCGGGTGTGTAGCCTCTGTAAATTTCCCCGTGATAAGTCACTTGGTCGAGTTATCATTTGTGGCCCAGGTCGCTTTCTGAAAAAGGGGCTACAAAGCCCAGTGGGTCTTACCTGGTAAAATAAAAATCGTTTATTGTAGTTTCGGCAATTCCTTTATATTTCCTTTTAAAGCTTTCGTGACAACAGGGATTTATCTTCTTGGTTCTTTCGGTGAAGTCACGTAGAAGGGAAATAATAAAATAATTAAAATAAAACATTATAAAATACAATTCTCACGACGTTTCGGCCACAACGCAAGCAGCCGTCCTCAGGTGAAGAACAGGTCTGTCGGAAGAACAGGGCTGTCGGATAGCCCTGTTCTTCACCTGAGGACGGCTGCTTGCGTTGTGGCCAAAACGTCGTGAGAATTGTATTTTATTATGTTTTCTTTTTATTATTTTATTATTTCCCTTCTACGTGACTTTACCGAAAGAACCAAGAAGATGAATTCCTTTACATTTTAGTTTACTGACTGCGTGCGTGCATCTCTCGTGCTGCCACGTTCATAGCCGCCGTCGAGTGCCGGCATCTGTGTTTCCGGCCGCTCGAAGCAGAGGCGCGCATCCAATGCAGCGCATTGACAGTTACGGCACAACGGGAATTTAGTCTGCAAACTTTGACCCTTGCAGCTCGGCATACACGAGGAAAACATACTTCCAAAATAAGCACGTTTCTTCCGAAATTGGCAGGAAACATTGTTGCTCGAGCAGCACGTGCAGAGGTAGCATCATGGTCGTTGCTCGCAGAGCCTCTCCTGATTGGCCGAAGGTGAAATGTTTCATGGTGATGTTTAACAAAGAAGAACCCAGGTCTCCTCTGTCAAAAATAAACACTTTTGTTTCTGTAAACACGGCACCAACCAGCATACGCGAACAAACATGTATGTCCTGTAAAATGAACGCGTGTGCCCTTGAACACGTGTGCCCGTGTGTGCTGCGCTATGCGATCTCGTTATTAGCCAGCACCCACGGTTTACCTGTCCCTCCTCGATGAAACAAGCTCAGGGCCGTGACGCTTATGTGAATCTCAAAGATGATCATCAAAGATGATGCGGCCACAATTTTTCCCAGTTCTCATTTAAGAACAGGTCAGCAGTAGTTCGAGAGGCAGCAGGTATAATACAAAATACAGGTTTTTTTGGGGTCAGATCACGTAAATATAGAAATGTGTCGTTAAGCCCACCACCACCCAACACAGCCAATTATTAAGGTTTATCACGTAAACAGAAGGTGCCGATTCGTGACTAGTACAGCACACCGGTGTGTTGGAGAGTATATATATATGTACACACACCCTGGATGTTGGACATTAGAGGTCAGGGAGGGAAGCCACCACCCCATTTTTTTTTACAATATGGAGAGAGAGGTCAAACCGTTTGAGGTATCTCTTCAACAGCTTTCATCGATTCCTTTGCCCCCTACCCTCACCAAGGCTATTTGCTTTCATTACTTCGAAAATTTTCCCACAGAGGGAGGCTGAGTTCAGAAGTGGCACGGCTGGAGGCACTGGGTTCAAATCAAGGCAGCCACTCTTGAATACACGTGGGGGGTGGGTGTCTCAAGTGTAGTGAGGTTATCATGCCGGCCCACTCACCATTGTCTGCGCAGAGAGAACCACTTTATGTTAAATTAGTTTTTTTTATCTTAATTTGGTTACATGTCAGCTGAGGGATTTTTATTTCAATGTCAGTTTGACAAGCATGTCAGGCGTAGGATCTGTGTAAGAGTGTAATTCCCTCAGTGTGGATAAAAGGGCCATTTGAATAACAGTAAATTAGACTTGTTCATTTGAATGGATCTCTGAAGTAGTTTTGTGAGATTCACTTCTGTGTGATGTTCTTTAATACCGGATGATGCATTGCTTTGTCCTCTTTAACACCGAATGGATGTTCTCTTGCATATCACGACATGAATAGCACATGAAATAAAATAAATCACGACGTGTCATCAGGTGGGAAAGCTTTAATTTTATACCTACGTGACTTTACCGAAAGAACCAAAGAGTATGAATAGCACAATTGTAATTTGAAGGGAAAAAAAAACTGAGAAGAAAATGTCTTTCCATGTGGCAGGTGCACCATCTGAAGAAGCTGAAGATGATGCTAATGAATACGGATTTCCATGTATAGGTCACTCAGATGCCTCAGCGACTCAAAGCACAGAACATCACATCTCATCTCAACCATTTAATTTCTCAAATTGGACAGCTGTATACAAATGTATGCGTGTCGTGACTCTTTCGCACCGTACGTACGCCAGCCTCGCCCTTCCGACGTGCGGGGCGATTCTATGCAAACCACAAAAACTGCGAAGCAATTGCATTGTGAGCGTTGCCTGAGTTGACCCAGGCTGCCCGTGCCCCTCGCAGGAAGCCGGAGAAAGGAGTCGCCTACTTGATGGAGCGTGGCTTCGTGCCCGACACACCCGTCGGAGTCGCACACTTCCTCCTTCAGCGCAAGGGGCTCAGCCGACAAATGATCGGAGAGTTCCTGGGCAACCGGCAGCGCGCCTTCAACCGCGACGTGCTTGAGTGAGTGTCCGTCGCGAGTGTTTGTGTGTGTGTGTCTGCGTGGACGCGCGCGTGTGTTTTTGTGTTTGCGCGTGTGCGTCGACGAGTTTGTGTGTGTTTGTGGGGGTAGCAGTTTGATTCCTGATCACGGCCACCACCAGTAACGATTAGCTGAGTCGGTCCTCGGCCTCAATGAGTACCTGGTGCGATGTGTAAACTTCGCCACTAGGGAGACAAAGGCAGCTTGGCGTGGTGTTGACCACCTCCATCTCCTTATATGCCATGGCAGCCTTCATAGGTGCTCGCTAACAGCACTTGCCCCAACATCCTATTAAGGCTATCGGGGGGATCTTTGTCTTTGGGAGGAACAGGAGCGGAGTGGTTAGCGCACTGCGCCACGGATCTCGCTCATGACCAACTTCAGTGGTGAATATCTGAATCGGTCCTGCGCCTCACCTAAGTCAACTCAGCTTTAAATTAGTACCTGGTGTGCTGTGTAAACATCACCTCTGGGGAGACAAAGGCAGCCATGCATGGCAGTGTCAACTGCACCTCCTTATGTGCCATGCCTGCCTTAATAACTGCTTGCTAATAACACTTGCCTAAACAGCCTCCACTGCAATACATTGATTGTTACCCTCTTTGCTTACATTGATTTTGTCCAGGTATTCCAAATGTCCTCCCACATGTATAAATACTCATTAATGGAGTTGGTATAACATCCCATTATAGGACCTCGGAGCTTGGGAAATTAATGGCGGAGGTTTTGGCTGCCTCAATACATGCCTCCATACGAGAACTATATGCTTTGGAAATTCTACAGCGTTCTGATGTGCAATTTGCATGAATGACGCTAGATAAAATGTATTATTATCATCTTTGTACAGACATCTTATGCAGGCTCGAAGAATGCGAGGACCTATGAAGTAATTTTTCACAAGTGTCCAGCCTAAACTGGTTGGTATGGAAGAATATTACAGAGGAAGTTACATTGGTAGAGTGTATTTCGTGTGTGTTTGTGCGTGTAGCTGGCCACCGACCTCCTCGTGTGCTGTGCCGGACTTCGTATGTGTTCGTTAACAGCAATTGCCCCAAAAGTCTGTTATGGCTATACCGGGGGATCTTTGCGTTTGTCTCTCTGTAGCTGCGTGGTGGATGAGATGGACTTCTCGGGCATGGAGCTGGATGAGGCACTGCGAATGTTCCAGGCTCACATCCGCGTGCAGGGAGAGGCGCAGAAGGTGGAGAGGCTCATAGAGGCCTTCAGGTGCTCACTCACGACATTAGCCACAACCAGGACTTAAACATGCCAAACAAATGAACCCTTTTACATTCCGAAACGTCTGCAAGTTTGTAGGGTGAGTGTCCTGTTCGCCACTGAATCTCAGAACGTGCATGCGGTTAGCGTTAATTTTACTTTGGAGAGGCATAGCACCGTTGTTTTTAAAGACATTGTATTCACCGCAGAGAACTGGAGCAACACGACCGCACTCTATGATAGCTGGCACCAAAATGTGCCACACGCCCTTCTCTGTGACCTTATGTGAGCCTCTATAGTCTTCAACTTGAAGACGTACCGATACATTTATTATATTTTTTTTTTCCCGGAAGAAAAACCAATGTCGTTAAATTGTCACGTGGTGTAAAAGCATTTGAAACACTGATGATTATTGTTTCGACGCACCACTGAGCTATTGACAATTCTCGTAACCAATGGCGGAGCCAGGATTTTCAGGTCGGGGGGGGCGGCAACCCCTCCAGCAATGAAAAATGATATGAGTTGTTAGTAAGGACTTGTCCCTTGCTTTTCATTCGACTCGTGTGCGGCGATGGCGCAGCCATCGATCGAGGGTCGAATTCGAACCGTGTTGTGTGATCGGCATCGCGCTCGCTGAAGGTGAATGCCTTCAGGGAAGTCGTGTACTGTATACGCAACTGCGCACAATTCTGTGAGTCACTTATAACTGCTTTGCCGTTACTTATTGCCAATTATAGACTCAGACTATTGTTGGGGGGGCACGTGCCACCCCCCCCCCCACCCCCCACTGGCTCCGCCAGTGCTCGTAACCCAAATGTTCGATAAGATGTGACGTTTCTCTTGAAATGACATCAAACATCTTCACGGAAAATCAAAGAAGTCAGAATAAAATCCAGGAAATGTATACACTCCCTTATCCCTCAATGCAGAATGCGATGTTGGTTTAACAAAACAAGTTTCTATCCCTTTACTGTTGCCTCAGTCCCACTATATCTACAATAGGTTTGTGTAAAGTATTGCTTTATGCATGGAATAGGGTCCCGTAGTTTATTTGGAGTAATCTTGCCAATAACTTCTGTTAATCCAGCAGCGTTTGTTTAACAAGCCTGACTGCTCATGAGTTTTGCTGGCTTAAACAAACTCTGCTCGAAAAAATTCGTCTGCAAAGCCGGTCAGCCAAAACATGTGTTTATATGTCGAGATAGAGAATGGAGTTCTGCTTATATATGTGTGCAAGAACACCCTAGTAAGACAGCGTTCTGATATAAAGCTTATATCTTTACATACCACTGGTGCACAGGGAATAACACACAGGCCAGCTTCTTATACTTGAGTTATAAACAACAAAAATTGCCTTACTCGCAATGTGCATGCGTGTCCAGCTTCTAATGTGTTCGATATCACATATATAGTAGACATGCACAACGGATACACGTTTCGTTTAAATTTAAAAAAAAATAAGGAAATAAATAAAACTGCAATATGCTCACCTTTTGAGGAAGCTGCTACATATGAACTGTAGATTTGAAGTTTTCGTGACTGCAGGGATCCATACTCTTGGGTTCTTTCGGTAAAGTCACGTAGGTATAAAATATAAAATAAATTAAATCACAACGTTTCGGATGCAACACAAGGTGGGACAACCACAGCAAGAATCAACTGCTGCAGTGGGCAAACGAGCTGTTTGTGACAAGGGGCTATATAACACTGGTCAACACACTTTTTCTGGCATAAGGTATTCCAATGGTATTAAGGTAATTTCGGGGTGCTGATTCCAAATCTGGCGTCCGTTTTTGTCTATCATATCAGGTTTTTGAGATATCAAATATTGCATTTACAATAAAAACTGCAGAAGAAAAATATTAAATAAATGTGGATATCTACATAAAATGATATTATAAACACACTATCCTAAAAATACAGCACCATATTTTAACACTATAGCAGTCACTAACTCGCAACAACTTGCAATCATAAGTGACAGAGTTAATTTCGGGTAAAATCGATGAAAATGGGGTATGCCGATAGCATAAAAATGAGATGTGATAGAGCAAATCTGAGATCAGATTTGGAATCAGCACCCTGAAATTAGTCTAAAACAGCTGCAAAAGTCCAGGCCACTAAAAAAGTTTTTTTTGTTGACCAGTGTAAGCAAAAGAAGCAGCTATTTTGCCCACTGCAGCAATTGTCTCTTGCTGTGGTTGTCCCACCTGATGACGGATGCTTGTGTTGCGCCCGAAACGTCGTGATTTAATTTATTTTATATTTTATACCCTACGTGACTTGACCGAAAAAATCAAAGAGTATATGAACTGGTGCCAAGTGCTTTTTGTGGAAAAAAAACGGCCCGCTGAGAGTTCCCAAACAAATCCATACATCTCATTATCACTCAGCCTACCTCGATTAGTTTTGTTTGTAACCGTGTTTAATTGTTAAACGCGCGAGAACAACAATAAAACAAATGCAATGTTTTGGGCAAATGGATGTTTATTTTTTTCACGAAGCAAAGATAGGCAGCCTTTATAAACACAGTGGATTTTTGGAATAGCAGTACGGAGGAAGAGATTTGGTCTCATTTAGGCATGATATTCTTAGGTTTTTTCGGTAAAGTCACGTAGGTAAAACATTAAAAGTAAAATAAAATAAAAATCACGACGTTTCGGAGGCAACACAAGCTTCCGTCTTCAGGTGGAACCGTCACAGCCACCTGAAGACGGAGGCTTGTGTTGCCTCCGAAACGTCGTGATTTTTATTTTATTTTACTTTTAAAGTTTTACCTACGTGACTTTACCGAAAAAACCTAAGAATATGAATCCTTGCAGTCACGAAAGCTTCAAATCTAAAATTTAGGCATGATCTTGCGTAAAGTGAACTTGGCGGCACGTCAAGTCCCACTGTACATGCGGGTCCCAGTAATAACCGTTGCTGAATCGGACGCTAAATAAATACAACCCAAATATACCCGCTCTGTGCTGGCAAAGTTACGGCGGTCAAACGCCTTACACCCGAATGCTTTGAGCGTAAAGACCAAACCAGTTCCAAGGGTTGAAGAGCTTCCACCTTGCATTGAGGGGAGGGACAAGTCCCCGTTTGTACTCGACAGCACCTTGACCAAACCATCGTAGGGCAAGGGTGAAACCTCATTGCAGGCGGCAACGCTTTCATCTCGGCGATGCATCCACGATTAAAATATCTAATGCAAATACAATAAATAAATAACCGGGTCGGAAAGCCACCATCTGGATGTTTGTGCTAAATGCCTCCTCCCTGGGGGAGGAAGGATTGCCTTGGCAGGTGACTTACAGTCGCTATAGTGAGTTCGCCTTAGAAGCTAGGATTTGCCTCTTCACACATGGGCCCCCCTACGGGCACCAGCCCCTACACCCATGTTTGAATAAAATAATGCACTTCACGAGGCCTATGAACAAATATATATTCATCAATCTACTGCCGATCCACGGCTGGATGACGACCTCCCCCTGTACCATTGCAGACCGTTTGAGGCTATTTGAGCATCGTCCACTAGTCAATACGCGGTTGAAGGGAAGCATAGACATTGTAACATTGTATAGTATAACAATGGATTTTACTGCACTGTACTGTGGTTCCCACCCCGTAGCCCCACAGCAGCCTATAACACCTGTTTTATGATGGTGGCAACCCATCGAAGCATTATCCGGGCTCAAACCTGCTTATCTTCCGAGACCTAATGAGATCGGTTGCATTACGGGTGATTTGGTCAAGGGCCGATACAAACTTCTAAGACTGAGAAACACTCGGGGTATACTGATGCATTGATTCATATTGATTCTCTAAGCTCATGATACAAGCATAAAACCCTCAGTGTGAGATTTTGTGCGATGGGATGGAGCGGCGGTGCACTGCACCATAAAATCCGTCCACAAGTAACATCAGTCGTGAGTGAACCGGTCTGGCAACCGCCCTTCATCAACTTGTACTGATCAGCACGGTCAAGTATGGCTGAAAATGCATTCCTGCGGAGGGAGCTGGTAGGAACGTTGGGTTGCTCGGTCAATGGCCAGGGTCAACAGCCAGGGTCAATGGCGGCGTGGTGTATTCCGCAAATATAGCCGACTGTGAGGGCGGGCACAAGCCGGCGTGAGTAGGTTAAACATTGAGTTTTATAAGGGCACCACGGGGTGACCAGCGCCTCCCCATCCAGCCCCACCCCTCCCACCCCCCACCCAGCCCCACCCTCCCCACCCAGCCCCTCCCCACCCTTCCTTCCCCACCCAGCCCCTCCCCACCCTCCCCACCAAGCCCCTCCCCACCCTCCCCTCTCCACCCAGCCCCACCCCTCCCATTTTGTGATGCACGACAGACGGACACAATAATCCCCTGTGGGTTGGTGGAACCAGGTGGTTCCTACCAGTAACAACCTAAATGTCTGTTATGCCAGAGAAGAGACCTTTATCCAGCATTGCGTTGTCAAAGGGCCAGTTGTTTGTAACGTGTCCAAGTGAGAACTGCAACCTCTTATTAGCTGCTACATTCACCACCATTGTGCAACAAAGATCAATTATTAATTAAGATTGTGGCTCTGACACAATTCATAGAATCGCTGAGGGTGGGATGGCAGGGTGGGGGGGTAACGTGACACCACTAATAGCCATGCACCTTTGGTTGGACTTTATGCTGGATGTCATGAAGTTTAGATGGAAGCATTCTTTTCTTTACATCTATTGCCACCTGAGTGTCGTATCTACGCAACTGCTACCTGCTTATTTTTAAAACCTTACGCAGGTGACCTTTCAACACTTGGCCCATTGGAGGCACTTGCACCACTGTGTTCTCTTTTTATCACAGATCCTGAGCACAGGGCTACAACGCAAAGTGGTCAGCCACAGCCAGCGCTGATGATGACGATCAAGCAGAAACATTGGCTGGACACATATTCAATCAGCGCAAATACCACAAAATGCCAAACACCTTTATTAGTTTACTTTCAGTAGTTTACAATTATTATTTTTTTAAGTATTAATTTTATGGACCCACAATTCCTCATGTGAAGGACAAAGCGAACCCCACCCCCGCCCCCAAATATAGAAGTGAAACTTCACCTATGGTAAAATAACATCCTTGATATGAGCAATGTTGTAAGAAATTTGGAAGAATAGACGATGTCAAGGAATTCCAAAAGAGAAGAAAGAGGAAGGGAAAGTGGTTGGACTGCCGTGGTTGTTGGGACACAAATTAGCTGAGATAAACAATCAGCTCAAACAAGCCCTTAACTTTGCGGGGGGAGGGGAGGCTACCATAGCGTGAAGATTGTAGGAACAATGTCTGTTGTAGTAGCGATTAAAGAGTGACAACGAGGCGATCGGTTTGAATGACCATGAGAGAGTGTTTTGAGTGATTCAGTGAGCATAGGGACAACATCATTCAACGTCACTTGTTTAGATGGATTGTTTCAAGCAGAGGCACATAGTTTAACACGCAGGCTTTCGCGACCAATATCATCCATAATAGAGGTTTTTGGGTAAGATCGCGTGAAAATAATAAAAGTGTCGTTAAAACCTGCCACCACCCGACACAGCCAACTAGTAAGGGTTGTCACGTAAACAGAACGTGCCAATTCGTCACTAGTACAGCACACCGGTGTGTTGGAGAGCCAAGCCACAACATTTACAATCTGAGTACGACGTTTCTATAAGGATCGAAACAGTAAGACTTCTCCACAAATCTGGCTGTCGCCTGATGAAGCTAGTTCTAATTACAGTACTGGCGAAACGTCATAGTCAGATTGTAAATGTTGTGGCTTTGCTCTCCAACACACCGGTGTGCTGTACTAGTGACGAATTGGCACGTTCTGTTTATGTGACAAACCTTACTAGTTGGCTGTGTCGGGTGGTGGCAGGTTTTAACGACACATTTATATATTTACGCGATCTCACCCAAAAACCTCTTTTACAGAGGCACATACATGCACTAGGAGCTGCAGATATCACAAAAAGTATTTAAACTGTGGCAGAATTAGTGCTTTTATGTCCTTGATGTAGATTGAAAAAAATTGAAACAATACAAGCATTGAAAGCCCTCACTCAAATCCCACTTTGTGTAGTAATAATGATAAGAATAATGTCCTGAATGCAAGAAAGGCTCACTGAGTCTCAAGACTTTCATGAGGGTTCTACATTGGAATGTTCGACCAATTCCATTCATGAGTACTTGGCTTTTAGGAATAAGCCAGGTTATCTGGACTAAAACCGACGAATATAATGAAGGCAGTAGTCGCATTCAAAGCTCTACAATTCTACATGGATAGATTCAAATTATCCATAGCTGGACTGCAATTTGTGGCCAAACTCGCAGCTCTAGCCTGCAACATCTAGTATCCCAGACAGTCCGTCAAGAGAGTTCTCACCAGATTACTTTGCTTCTGAGCGGCATATGGTTGTGAAATAGAAACTGATGATACAAATGAGTCCGTGGCACCGAGTCATTTATCCAACACTGAAAATCAACGCGTTCCAATACCACCCCCTTCTGGCCAATTTGTGAACTTCCTGTTGCATTCTACACGCTGAGCGCCCGTTGCACAGTCATTCAGCCGCTTCGAGAATTACATATTTCATCGGGACAACTTTCCATTTGAACAAAGTGGGAAAAAACACATTTCTGTGCAATGGTTTTTTGTTGTCGGTGTCAAGACTTTCAATGAGGCCAGCGGTAGTTTATTGCAATGGACAGCAATTTGAAAGAAATACAGCAAGCTAGATATAGACAGCCTCAAAAAATATATATTATAATACAGAGAAGTATCACCCCTCAGCGTCAGTGGCATCTATCCCCAACCTTGTCTTTCCGAAGGCCTGACCTCAATCCCACAGAATCCCACTCTTGTATTTGAGCATCGGGTCCGGTATGACCTCGACAAAGCCCCCGACAAAAAAAAAACAACATTCGCCAACGCAGAGGCATGCAGTACATCCAAATTTCATGGGATTGTATTTCGTCAGGAGTGGGCCGTCAGATGTGATTGTACTGCTACCACACGTTTGTACGTGTAAGCCACTCTCGGTCGAGGCAGTGACTCCGGCAAAAGAGGACGTTATTCCGAATAATGCCACCTCCATATGAGTATTCTTAAAGGTCCCACGCCATATATTTTTTTATAGGTGTCAAGGCTCTCCGTGTGCAGAAAATATTAATATCAACAGTTAGATATTGTTCAATACTGAGCATTCCCTGAAGAGAGCCAGTGTAATCTTTCCACGTGATTGAGTGTGAGAATATATAACTCTAGAGGTGGAACGTGTAAAAGCCGAGGTTGTACAGTGCACATGTACAGGCCCTGTCAATCCAATGCTGAACGGTGTGCTCCCCACACCGTGCGGAGTCGTGGGGATTAATTGACCATACTTCACCATACCAGGCAGTGCGTGTTAGTGGAGATTATAAACGTTGCAGCAGAGAATGTGTTGCGCTGTACTTACAGCCTATAATAGTTGTTGTGCATGGGTGATCCCCCCCTCCATGCAACTGCCCAGGCTCAAACCTGCTTAGCTTCTGAGATCTGGCAAGATAGGGCACACGCCGGGTTGACGGGGGCTTGTATGTATGTATGTATGTCGAACTTCTTTCGCACCATACACAGCCAACCATTCTAATCGGAGTTGCTGGGGAAGGACAACAAAACTAAACACGAAAAGCGATATCTCACGGAAATATTTTCTGGGTCGTTGGTATACCAGAGTCGGTGGCACATGCCTCTCTAGCCACAGCAGCGATCGCGAGAGATATACCAGAACGTGGTGTGCCATGTGTAGTTATATTTTCAGTCGAAAGGAATATTTTCATAGGAAAAAAGCGTTTTGTGCGAGATTTGTTTTCATGTACATGCAGCAGTTTCCACAAGCGAAGGTTCATTCTAGAAAGTTAGACACATCGAGACACGTATTAAACACCTTGCTCTTGAAAACTACATCACAGCATCATTTTTCGCACCCACACAGGTGGCAGGTTAATTTGCTGCTGCTGCTGCTGCTGCACTGGTACAATTCTCCTGGCACAGCAGCTGGCCAGAGTGAAAAGTCAGTGTGCAAGTAATAACCAAGATCGTGAATAATGGATGTAAAATGTTCTTAGGTTTCTTCGGTAAAGTCACGTAGGTATAACATTAAAATTAATAAAAGTAAAATAAAATAAAAATATTTTTTATTTTATTTTACTTTTATTAATTAAAAAAATATTTATTTTATTATACTTTTATTAATTTTAATGTTTTACCTACGTGACTTTACCGAAAAAACCTAAGAATATGAATCCTTGCAGTCACGAAAGCTTCAAATCTAGGATGAAAAATTATCACTCTTGTATACTTTTTTTCTTTCCGCTGGCAGCCAGCGCTACTGCATGTGCAACCCGGGCGTGGTGAAGAACTTCCAGAACCCAGACACCATCTTCATCCTGGCGTTCGCCATCGTGCTGCTCAACACCGACATGTACAGCCCCAACGTGAAGCCAGAGAGGAAGATGAAGCTCGACGACTTTGTCAAGAACCTGAGAGGTGAGCGGGCGAGAGGGTGAGTGCGTGCAGAGCCGGCCCAGCCACTAAGCGACCCTTGCAATTGCAAAGGGCCCCGTGGCCAGCAGAGGGCCCCCTAGAGTCACTGCTAGCTAGTGGGTGAAAAAAAATCAAACATCAAAGGGGCCTCCAACCAAATTTTGCTTAGGGCCCCCAAAGGTCTAGGGCCGGTTCTGAGTGCGCGTGTTGGATGAACGCGTGTGTGGGTGAGCAGATGAGCAAGCGAGCAGAAGGGAGGGATGGATGATGGTGTCGATAGAATGGAACCCCATGATTATAATAATTATTTCGTACATTTGGTATCGACGCCCATTTTTATAGGACAAGGCTCTCACGAAGGCGGTATGTTTTTTAGACGGGTATAGTCTGCTGTCAGCCAATAGTAAGTAAGTACATTTATAAATACTCAACTCTTATAACCTAGGTTATCACGAGTGCAGAAATTGAAAGGGTGTCACGGTGACGAGATGTTAACGACCTCGCCTGTTATACAGGAGGCCGTGGGTTCAATCCCGAACCTGACGCCTGTGTATTTGGAGTTTGCATGTTCTTTCTGTGCAAGCGTGGATTTTTCTGTGGGCCCTTCGGCTTTTCCATCCACATTTAGAAACATGCTTTTAGAGTATTTGGCTGCTATCAATTTGCACACGATAAGCCACTTCGTTGAACTATCATTTGTGGCCAGATCACTTCTGAAAAGGAGCTATATAGCTCAGTGGGCCTTACCTCGTAAAATAAACAGTTTAGTTTTCTGGATTTACCCAATTAAGCGGGTAATTTTTTTTATAATTTATCATATTTTAGACTGTGACGCCGGCACACATGCCCCTTTACTGGATTTTCTTTTTTTTGGAAAGCTGCCACTGCTATCCAGTGGCCTGAAATAAAATATATAGCTATAGATGACCAATGCGAGAAATTATCATGTATTTTGATTATAGTGTGCTGCTACTACTATTGTTACTCCTGCGATTATGGATTGACTCGTGCAGCTAGCGAAGGATGCTAGGCTTAGTAATATATGTTATGTATGTCGCTATTGTAAACTTTCAATCACATTTCTTATGATCACCGTTAAATTGTTTTTATAGCATTATTTTTTGTAATTTCTAGAAAGGTTTAGTTTAGCCCGATTTTTTTTATGGAGTTATACTTTTATTTTAATCTATATTGGTATTATGATTGTTATTGTGACCTAACATCAATATGGGATTTTTTTGCACATTTTTGTATGCAGCATAAACAAACGGTGCTTTTTCTGGAAGATTGTATTGTTTTTGTAGGGGATGCTTCAATTTGCGCACATACAATTTCAAATGTATCTTGTAATTTTATTGTTTCTCGCGGTTGCACCCGAATCAAGAGCCGAATGGCTCACAGGGTTTTTCCAAATAAATGAAACTGAAACTGGGCAGACGTCGCTTTCTTGCGGTCAATGCACCCGCGAGCATTAGCCAGGGCAGCCCGCGGGGCTCGAACCGCGAACGTGTTTGCAACAAGTGGCAAAGCCCACGACCGCTCGGAACATGTCACCGTGACAACTTAACCTTCACTCTCCCGGACGCAATTTAACCCTCGTGAAGTTTTGATGCGATGACGCAACGTAATTGATATGTATCGCCACATAACCACGGGTAGACGAATGACACGCTCAACAGTTGTAGATAAATGTTTGTTTATTTCACGTGCCATTTTTAATGCTCTATTTATTTGTGGCGGTTTTTTGTTGTTTATTTTGGCGGGGAGGATATGAGTGAGAAGCTGGTTGCCTTCTGCATTTTTTTTCTCATCGAGTCAAGATTAATGTGGTGATTAATCTACATATCCTGGATTTAGACTTGGTCCATCACAACAATAACAAATTATAATCTCTGGGAAACAGTTTGGTGCATATTTGTATTGCCCAAACCAAACGAGCATTGCAATTATGAAATATGCCTATATAAAGAAATAATTCGTTTTGTTTGGAAAATTACGTAGAATGATGTTTGCTAAGCAGGTATCACCCTAGGATTTGTCCACATGCTCAGCACCAGATGAAGTTTAGTGGGGGGCTTGTTGCTGTGGGTGGGTAGGTCCTCTATGTTATGTCAATTCCTTCCCTTGACTCTTTAACACCACCCATGCCCAATGCCGAACATTCAATTTTTTTACGTGATGCGTGGATTGTAAAGCTACGTACAAGTTAACATGAGCAAAATCATTCTAATTGGCAAGAATAAACATAGTGATGTTACGGCTTTAATTACCAAATTACCTCTAGGATTACTCATACAATGGTCACCAAAATGCTCTGAACATAGACATTAGAACACCATTCCAGCACCCAGCACTCAGGGAACTGTGCTAATGCATCATTATGTTTTTTGGTATCTGCATTAATTTAATATAATTACAATATTCCATGCAACCTTTAGAAATTTAAATCCATTTTTTTTTTGGCAGGGCCCTCAAAGTCCAAAGCCCCAGACTGCAGCCTCTAAAGCCCCATGCGCTAATCCAGCCCCGGACCTGATGACCTCACCGTGTGCCCTCCTTCTAAACGTGTCCTGGCTGCCGCTCTGTCGCTGTAGGAGTCGACGATGGGGCGGACATCCCTCGGGAGATCCTGGTGGGCATCTATGAGAGGATCCAGCGTGGAGAGCTCAAGACCAACGATGACCATGTTACGCAGGTGGCCAACGTGGAGAAGACCATCGTGGGCAAGAAGCCGGTACGGACAGCTCGAAGCGCGACACCGCTTCTGCCGGATGATCTATTATTTTATTTTTAGAATAACATTTACGTATTCTTTGGTTCTTTCGGTAAAGTCATGTATAAAGATAAAATAATAAATTAAATAATAGCATACTACGACGTTTCGATTGCAACACAAGCAATCATCATCAGGTATAAAAGAAATAGCAACAAAAATCTAACCAGAAAACTATAGACAGACTTATAAGCAGACAGATATCACAAAGATACACAGAGAGAGAACACGTATCGGCACAAAGAGAGAGGGGTCGTCTCTGTGACGAGGCCTTAAATATAGAGAGGGGGCGGGGGCGGAGAGAGGGAGGGGGCAGAGAAAAATTTACGTACCCAGAAAAAAACACATCACTGGAGATTCTCTAAACTTTTTATCCAGGAGGTGTCCTGGTATGTTTCGTGGTAGCGGGTGATGATTTCTATGTGTTTTCTCAATTGGGTAATTTACGAGTAATTTTTCAAATTTGGGCCAATTTTGACTGTGGCACACATGGCCTATAACCTCAGAGGGGCACTATACGAATTTTGGAAGCCTGAGCCAACATGGCAGATGAGGCCACATAGGCCCTTAATTAAAACCCCCTTTCAGGCCCTCTCGGCCTTTTCAAGAGCCCCTCAGATCCGAGGCTTGGGGAAAATTATCCCACCTGCCATCCCCTCCAACCCCCTTCCACCCCTCCCCTCCCCTTATGGCCCTGCATGACCTCATTCACTGTGTAACCACAGTGAGTCCTGACACACGAGACATCTTTCCACCGTGAAATTTGATTGTAGAGCTCAATGTAATCACTCCATTAGTGAGGTTACACATCACTCACAGGAACCAGCATCTTCATCAGCCACAAAATAATTCAATAATGAAATGATGCCTCAATCATTCGTCTATTCAAAGGAGTGATAAAACTGACTTGAAGAATTACAGCCCAATTAGCCCATTATGACACACACACACACATATATTGTGTTGACAAATTTTATTAGGAACACAATAATTTGCCACGCGACTCCTCTTTATCCGTGGGAATTTCCAGGTAGTGAGAGGAATTTAGCACCTGCCCTCACCACTTCCAGGTAATTCTACTTATCCACAAGGAAATTGAGAAAATTCAGAAGATTGAGCCACAGACAATGGGAGTTTTTTTGCAGATCGATTCACAGCTGTGGATTATTTTTTAAGCAGTCCACTGCTGAACAAATAACGCTTTGGTAGTCCAGTGATTTAACCGTATTCATTGTTTTTTTCGGTAAAGTCACGTATTAGATTAATCTAATTAGATTAAAAGCTATTTTTATTTGGTGATTTATTTTAATCTAATTCTATTTATTTAAATTTTATTTTATTTCAACATACGTGACTTTACCGAAAAAACCAATGAGTATGTATTCTTTTTCGTTTTAAAGCTTTCGTGACTGCAGGGATTCATCTTCTTGGTTCTTTCTTCCCCCTCCAACCCAGCTTAAATATACGCTCCAAGCTTGGTGGTGTTTCATTCTTCACCTGAGGACGGCTGCTTGCGTTGTAGCCAAAACGTCGTGAGAATAATTTTATTATGTTTTATTTTTATTATTTTATTATTTCCCTTCTACGTGACTTTACCGAAAGAACCAAGAAGATGAGTATGTATTCTGTTTCTATTGGAAACGCATTCCTTTAACGGGTGGCGGCCTCCGTACTGCTGCAGAGCTTCATTGGATGTTGCGCTGCTGCTGCTTTCACTGCCGCAGGTGCTCTCGCTGCCGCACCGCCGCCTCGTGTGCTACTGCCGCCTGTTCGAGGTGCCAGACCCAAACCGACCTCAGAAACTGGGCCTCCATCAGCGAGAGATTTTCCTCTTCAATGACCTGCTCGTGGTAAGTGTCCGCGAGTTTGAATCCAGGCAACCGCGCCTGTGATAAAACCGGGTTCTCAAGTGTGCTGAGTTGATGACCTTAGCCCAATAACTAATGGCTGCACAAACTAACAATCCAGTTTTATTTCGCTCTGCGTAGACCAGAGAGTCGCTTGAAGGGATTTCAGAGGTGGAGCTCTGTGATATCCGCTGTCCTGGGTCACACGAAGGGTTGCACTTTTACGCGAATAATTTAAATGGATTCTTGATCTTATATGCATGACTTCGATAGCCCAGTCAGGATACAATTTGAGGGAAAAGATAGACGCATTAAATGTAAAAAAAATGATGAAGTTTTCTCCGCAACTTCACCATCTAATTTAGATTTTTTTCTGAATGCCAGATGTGTGCAAGGAACAAATAGAAATGTGCATCTGAGTGGGGCATTTGTGCAAACGTGTTTTTTGTTTATGTACATATCCATTCGTGCCTATCTCAGTTCAACATATTGCCAGGATTATGGGTCAGAGTTCAACCTTAGTTTGTTTTCTCTGTGCCACTGCATGTCATGTGGACTCTTGAGTGGATTGCAGGGTCCACTCGAACCGATTACATTCAGCATGCGCACATTTTTAATTAAGCGATTCTTACAAATATAGATCGATGCAATAGCGTGTAGCACAATCATCGTTTTATAATCCACATGTCAGTACATTTCAAATGTATTTATATATGTTCGAGCATTACTGTTGCGTCACAATTTTTTTTAATTCCTCCAGGTTACAAAAATCTTCCACAAGCGGAAACATTCGACGAGTTACAGCTTTCGCCAGTCGTTCCCCCTGTACGGAATGCAGGTCCATCTCTTTGAGAATCAGTGTAAGTCCTCAGCAGAGAATGCGTTCAAAAACTATTGTAATAAGAGTAATAATTTTACCAATGATATACTTACTTTATAACCAGATGGGGAGCCCATTGAGAGTTAAATGTATCTTATTCAAGGGAGACTTGTGGTAAACAAGCTCAAACATGAATGATTAATTACAGGAATGATTTATGCTAATGATGGTGATGTTGACAAAGGTAAAACATAATGATAATCCCTTTGATAAACTGTCTGATACTGCTCCTCCTGACCATGATGATGCTGCTTCAAATGATGATGCCTCTGCTGATCACAATGGTAATAATATTGAAGCCGCTGCTGCTGATGCTTCTGCTAAGGATGATGATGATGCTGCCAATGAGTCACGGGGCTAGGATAAGTAAGAATAGGTTTTAGCCTTTATGGAAATATAACTGGTGTTAAGATTTTCTTAGTTCTTTTGGTAAAGTCACGTAGAAGGGAAATAATAAAATAATAAAAATAAAACATAATAAAAAATATTCTGTTTAACACGTCGGCTTTCGCGACCAATATTATTGATAATCAACGTTTTTGGGTTTAGATCGCGTTATTTATAATATTCTCATGACGTTTCGGCCACAATGCAAGTAGCCATCCTCAGATGAAGAACAGGCCTGTCGGAAAGATAGCGTCTTCTTCACCTGAGGACGACTGCTTGCGTTGTGGCCGAAACGTCGTGAGAATTATTTTATTATGTTTTATTTGTATTATTTTATTATTTCCCTTCTACGTGACTTTACCGAAAGAACCAAGAAGATGAATCCCTGCAGTCACGAAAGCTTTAAATCGAAATGGTGTTAATATGTTCAAACACCAAATATAAATATTTTACAAGGAATCAAGTCTGCATTAACCACACGTACTTGTGGTGAACATGCAAACAAAAACGCCAAAGGGCTTCTTGGCGTTCTCTGGTCTGACACTGGTGAGACTATGCCCTAAAGAAGGATGTCTCTGGTGTAGACCAATCAGTCTCAAAGGCAATGCAATATATTATCAGAGCCTGTTTTTGTTGAGTGGAGCATGTTGGTCTCTTATGCAAAACTGAATACCTGGCAAGACAAAGTCACGTTTCATATCACTGAGGGTCTTATGACCGAATGTTTTAGCAAATTGCGCTACCATGCTTTTTTATTGAGTTACACAAGTTGGCTCGGATGACATCAGGGATTAAGAGCGCATTTCGGAGCAGAGAGGCATACGACAGGGCATACCGAAGCCCATGCCACAACATAAGAGTACATGGAGAGTATAGAGGGGAAATGACCCAACACAGCTGGAAAAGTCTCCAGACACAAGTCACGGCCATTCTTAAACCTTAGTCTCACTGAGCGGCCATGTGCATCGAATACGGTGCACAGTTATTTTTTAATTAGACCTCATTACGTACTAGATAATAACTCTTCCTTATGTGGCTGTGTACTTTTTTTTGTAACTGCCCCTTTTACAGGACAGCATTAATGCCGACCGTATTGTACACCTTCCCTGTGTCGCTTTGAAAGTGGGGATGTCCGATGTTGGCGTATTGTATTTGTAATTGCAGACTATCAGCACGGGATAAGGCTCGTCTCATCAACGCCTGGCTCAGAAACAGAAATCCTCGTCATCTTCAATGCTCCCAATCCTGAAGACCGCAAAAAATTTGTGGAGGATCTGAAAGAGTCGACTTCAGAGGTGCAAGAGATGGAAAAGTACAGAATAGAAGGTACGGATGGTATAAAAAGCAAGGGTTGCTTTAAAAATATATATATTTCAAGAAGTTTATCAAAAATCTAAAGAAATATGCGACGGTCATCATTTCAGCTAACATGTCTGTAATATGGGTGCAAGTGAATTTAATGAAAATGTTTGACAGTGTTCTATTTGAAAGCAAATAAATGCTCTTGTCATCGTAAAACATTGCATGCATTTCGTAAATACATTCACAAAGTGCTGTAACAGCATGTGGAACCATGCTGGTGATTTCAGATATGCATTTTGCTAGCCCCAGTACTTGCTGTCCACATCAAGCCAGATATATTTTCAGGTGATGGATTATTTTTTTTAAGAAATAAGTCTCAGGAACTGCAGTGGACTGTGTGCATCTCTATGAATGACTTCACGTAGATTCTCGAAAATAAGCTATGAAACGGGTGCAACGAGGCAGAATAGTTCTCAATTTTGGTAAAATTCACGTGTATTTTTTTAATATATATTATTTCCTCTGCAATTATAGAATGCTGCAGGCAACAGCAAAACACAACAGTCACTTAATGAGTGCGCAGTTTCTTACGCGCTCCCGTGTGCTGACCCGGCTCACAGGGACACGGCTTATTGGATTAGCGCTCCCACACAAAGCGGCACGATTCAATGCCCTTGTGTGTGAACTTGGCCGTGTGGATTTTGTATTTCTCTTTCTCTCCCTCTTTCTGTCTCTCTTCCACGAAACAAAAAACAAATGACAACCGATCCGTCTAGTCGAGCTGGAGAAGCAGAAGGGCATCATGAGGCAGACGTCAGCACAGGGGCATGCTGGGAAGAGGAAGGAAGCGACAAATGGGGGCATGCCCCGAGGCAGCCTGGATGACAGCTGCATCGTGGGCGGAGAGGGCCTCAAGAGGAGTGCACTGAGCAGCTCTCTGCGAGACCTCACTGACGGAGGTAACAGCACCTGCTGTCACGCAAAGCTGACATCCCACATCCTACACTAATGCCAATTTGCCTCTGAATTATAACATCATCATGCCCCTACCCCCAAACTCCTTTCCTCAATGATAGTAATGTCTCCCCTCCCCCCACCCAGCTACCCCTCCCACCACTCTTCCCCCAAACCCCCAACCCACCAATTGAACAAAAAAAACTGTTTTTATTTTACCAGGTAAGGCCCACTGAGCTATATAGATTTTTTTTCAGAAGTAACCTGGCCACAAACGATAGCTCAACTAGAAGTGGCTTATTGTGCAGAAATTTATAGCAGCCAAATGCTACCCCCTCTACTCCCCTGACTTTTTACCAGTGATTCGGTGAAGTGCCAGTCGTGGTCGAAATTAAGAACCCATTCTTTCCGTCATGTTTTTGCTGCATCATTTGTGTTGTTTCTCGACCGTTGTTCATCTCGTCTGTAAGGTTTTTGCTCGCGTAGCGTTTGTATGTAATTTGCACATGCTGTGCACAAATAGTACCAGTGGACGCTTCATGTGAACGAATGTGCCATTAATATAAAATGTGCATACACGATGCATAAATAGTACAGTTGAAGTTGCATATAAGCACACTTAATATATGCACAGGTGTGATTTATTTTTTATCTAAAAATGTATTTATCCAGGAGAACTACGTGGTAAATAATCGATTCTTACACAAACAAATGCACGTGTCTTCAGTGTAAGAATACATGTGAACGATACATTGATGCAACGTTGCATTCATAATATTTAAGCGTATTTTACAACGAGCCCAATATTCATTCAATGATTATTCATATTTTACGCCAAGTTAAGAGAAAGCTTTTATGATAATTGGGGAAAGTCGTTTGTAGTTCTATTCGATGGTAAGCTTTCATACAATGTTTGCAATATTATTAATCGTTTTGAACAAGACTCAAAGTGTGTAAAAAAAAAGCTCAGCCATTTGTGCATTTACTAAAAAAACACATCAGGTGGTGACTGATCAACCCCTGTGGCTCATTGGCGGGTTGCCTGATGTTGTCTCCAGGGTGTATTGGGTGCAATACGGGAGAAGCGTGATTGTGCGTGGCTGTATGCGATGGATATTGAGGATGTTATGGCAATTTCCGACAAGGCATTACTTGGAATAGCATAAAATAAACAATCGTCATCATCAGCCATGGCCACTCCACTGCTGGATGAAGGCTTCCATATGCCATCACCAACCCTGACGATCCTGTGATGTAACAATCCACCCAGCTTCCGCACTTGAGCTGAATAAAATAATAAGACTATTAAATAAACATATTTTTGCAATATGAGCGTCAGATTTTTTATCCTTAATTGGAAATGCACCTTTCTTTGTTCCTTTTTTTTATTAATGGCACGTGACACTACGTGCCAACATATTGGTCACATCAACGTGATGCCCTGTGCTCAAATGAGCATTGAGGTGTAGCTCACATCTCGTTTAATAGCCCTGAGGAAGTGGTGGTAATCCCACATTCTTGCGGGTGGGGAGGGCAGTCTAGTAATAGGTTTTTATCCTTTCAACTGGTACAAAAACTGACACCTTTATACAAGGGATCGTGTTTGCAATAACCACAACACAAGCAGTCAAAATGCAAACAAAAGGCGTCTTTTGGCGTCATCTGGTCCAACACCATTGGAAACTAGGCTCTAAGAAAAGCTGTCTCGGGTGTGGACCAATCAACTTCAAGGACAGTGCATATCATTATCATTATCAGAGTTGTTTCTTTTTGTTTGCATTTTGACTGCTTGTGTTGTGGTTATTGCAAACATGATGCCTTGTATAAAGGTGTCAGTTTTTTGTACCAGTTGAAAGGGTAAGAACCTATTACTATATTTTGCCACTGGTAAAGGAGGTGTCTCATAGTGGGGGCAGTCTATTTCAACCACTGTTGACTTTTCCACAAAGCGGTGCGTACGAATTGTATCGACCTCAGAGGGATGATGGGCTGAGACAACTCCAAAACCGAGATTTGAAGTTACAACCGTCCGATTGTTCTAGCGCGGAGTCATCATGCCGAATAATGATAATAAATAAACACTAAATTGTTATCTGAAACACATTTAATCCAATTCTTCCTGCGTATTGCAGCAGATTCATTCCGAAAAGCATTCCCTGTTTTCTGGAGGAGAATCCCATGGGGTGTGATGAAAAACCCCCCAGGCATGAGCAAAACGCACATTGCCCCGCACATGTGATGAAGAATGGTTCGACAAGGACATTGCAAGTGTCACAACTCCTGCAGCGCTGCTGTGCATTAGCAGTCAAGAGAAGCAAATGCAACCTTGCTGTCTGGCTGGCTGAATGGGGCTGTCCAGGGCATTAATTGGTAGCAAGGTGATCATCGATTGTACAGATGAGCATTTCTGGCCTATGGGTGCCTCAGTATTAAATTTGCAGATGTATTCCCAACGCTGCTAAGCAAGTGAATGTATAAATTCCTTGAATGCCAAGGTACTGCTGGTTTAAATACAATTGCGGTATATCGCCTTTGCCAATTAATATTTTGATATACGATACTTGAAACGGTCGGAATACAATGTTTTTAAGTTGAATTAAATTCGTTTTGCTTGATTTAATGTAAGACAGAATTAGTTACAGCAAAGACAGTTCTCATCAAAGATATCGCTGATGGATTAGACTGGTCCTTAGCAAGGTTTAAAATTAATATAAAACTAAAATGATGGAATGGTTATCATCACTTTCAATAATTAGATCACTAAAAAAATGTTTAAATAGAAAACAAGATATCTCAAACCGCAAACAGCACGATGAAGAAAGAAGAGATGTGAAAATGAAAAAATGTAAAATTAAAATATCAGACACCAAACTCTGAAAACCACTCAGGAAAGAGTGAAGGAAATCATTGAGAACATTTTTAAATAATGCAATAAAATTGCTTTAATCTGAGCATGAAAGCCGAAAAGAGACTTGATGATTGTTAAATATCTTCAGAGTAGCCATTGGATAGAAAGATGGAACCATAATATACTACTGTAGGATTTCTATGCATATCGTATACACATGGAAATCGACCATCTTTCATGTGAGGAGGGTGTTCCATTCATCGCACTTGAAGAGGTATCTGCTGCCCTTTCGCAGTGAAATCAGGGACAATTTCCAGACCAGATGGAATAAATATAGACATCGCCAAGGAAGTGGAACCAGCTGTTTGGTGAAAATTAGCAGACCCATCTTTTTTTTTGCTGTATACACATAAATTAAGTGGTTCACTCATAGCATAATACGTCATTCATTCATCTGTACAAAAAGGGAGACAACACTGATTTGACGAATTATTGTCGTACTCTTCTCGTCTCGCATGAATGTAAACGGTCATGACGATCGTAGAGAACCAAATAATCATCCAATCAGAGGCCGCAGAGATTCCATAACCCATCCCGATTCATCCATCTCATTACATGATGCCAAAAACCACAGATGGAATACGATTTTTAGAACAAAGGCAAAAAGAGTAAATGTCAGTTTATCCAGTGCAACAAATACAAAATGCAGAGTTAAGAAAACTAAACGAGGATCAGTAAAATTAGTTAGAATACAATGAGTAAAAGAAAGCTATTAAATGCTGCAGCATGGAAAAATGAATTCCACAAGACGGTGCTAATACGCAAGATGTAAAAAAGTAAAGGTGCACCCCTGCAATTGCTTGCTCACGCCACCGCTATGTGAAGGTCCCTTCACTGGAGGGGCTCTCTAGTGCTCCCTCTAGAGCCTCTCTGGAGGGAATGTGTTTTGGCCTACTCTTCCACGCTGGTTAGATGTCTTTAAAGGGGTGGGAGTGCCCACACTTCGTTTATCGAGGTTTGGCTACGTGCGGTGCGAAAGAAGTGCGATGTACGTGCATACACTTTAAACCCACCACACACAACCTGCCGATCGCCTAACTGCGGTTTACCCGTTTATTCTACTGGGTGGAGAGAGGTGTGGGGATTTAAGAAACTTGCCTGTCCATTGTTTCAACTCCTGCACTGGAGTATGAAACCGGCAACCTCTGCATTGCAAGTCAGGTGCACTCTCTCTATTTTGTTCGTCCATCATAGTTGATGATGACCATGGCACGTTTGTCATTTTGTTGGGTTTTGATGAGTGCCTTTAGTGCCATGACTTGCGCAGAGAACTTGGATTTAAGTGAGGGTGATTTGCGCAGCGTCAACCTCACTCTCTCGACCAGCCCCATCTGTACCCAGTGGCAAGACGTAGTCAAGACGACTGGAGATGGTCCTGGTTGCAGTGGAAGGTCCAAAGACCCTTTTTGGTGAAATTTCCTCCGTTACACCACAGCAGAATCCTATGGATGAAATCCATTAAGAGCGAATTCTGTGCTACCTTTTCAGGAAAGCGAGGACGGCATGGAAGTATAAGCACACTTGATGGCCAAGCAGAGGTAAGGACTTAACTGCTCTGCTGAAGTTCAACACATTTCATCCCTAACGTATGCTTGCATGCTGGTAGTTTATGAAGAACTCTGATGACGTTTTAACGTATTGACTGGAAGCATCGATTTTTAAACCATTGTTCGTCACGTCTGTGCATCAAATACATGTATTTTAGCATGGCTTTGACAAGACTTCCTCAGGACTGGTGCAGTAATTGGTTAACGTCAGTCATGAAATCTTGATCTGTTATTTTTTTGCCCACGGTCATAAGCGCTGGGCCACCTCTAAGAGTAGTGCAATTGTATTGTTTCGCTGTAGAGCCCTGGAATGAGTAGCCCAACCCCGCCAAGGAAGGCATCAACGGCAGACGCGGACAGCCTAACGGCCTCCTCGCACTCCCGCCTGTCCAACTCGTCCTCCTTCCGACTAGGGACCATCTTCGGCTCGCTGCGCGGAAAGTCAGTCTCCCAGCAATCCGAGACGGCAATCGCCGCGTGCGCGGCGGCGGCGGCCGTCGCCGCCCCGCTCGTAGCGCAACCTCAGCAGCTTTTCGCCGCGTCGCCGGCAGAATCGGCCCAGGCGCCACCGCACAGTCCCCGGTCGGCTCGGGCCGAGCGGCTGCCGCCGCCGCCGTCGCATCATCATCAGCAGCAGCATCATCAGCAACAGCAGCGCCAGTACGCTCACAAGGCGGCGCCGCAGCAGCAGCAGCAGGTGCCGCAGGGGACCCACGCCCTCCCGCAGTTGTGCGAGCGATCGTCGGTCCTAGCTAAGGAGGGGGGCGGCGGCTTCGCTCGGGCCGCTGGCTGCTCCTCGCCTTCGCGCGCTAAGCCGCACATTCCCGTAGACGCCGTGCGGGTGCTCCCCCCGCATCCCTTCCCGATCGTCAGCATTGTTGCCGCCACCGCCTCCTCCCTCCCTCCCACTCCCCTCAACTCTGCCGCCGCCGCGGCCGCCACCACCCGGCAGAATCCCGGCTTAGGCCAGCTGCCACCCTTCCCCCTGCCAACCAACTCCACGCTCCTGGGTACAAACAGCCACTTTCATATTTGTTTCTCACAATGGCAAATGCTCTTATTGCTTACAGGAATGCGCCGTAACCCTTTCCTGCTGATATGGATTAGTTCTCGCCTAAGTGGCTTAGTTTTACCGTGGTTCGAGACAGTGTCAGAGCAAGGGTAATTTCGCGGAGGGCATATGAAAGTTTAACAAAAATGCATGCGCTATGCTCTCCAAAGTACTACATCAGATGCAGAAAATGCAATATGGTGTAAAAGTTACATAATGCTGCAGTTTCATTGCCAATAAACACAATCCTAAAAGCCAGAACATTGTTCTCTTTCAAAAGATTTTTTCTGCGCTGTAGTTATTGCCAATTACTGTATTTAAAATGCTCATAATAACACACTGAATTTGTATTGGAGAAAGATGCCCTTTAACTTCTTATGGAATTCTGTGTCAGCCAGTCATGAAACATACTCGTTTATTGTGTTGTATTTCACAGAGTCCTCGAAGGCCAACACTCTACCCAGAATGAAACCACAAGATAAGCTCCCAAAGAGCTAAGAGAGGACTTGGAAGGCCAAGTTGTCTCTGTGTAATCCTCAGCGAGAACCCTGTGCCGGTCGTCAGGCGATCGGGCAGGGGGAAAAAAATGGTGCAAGCCAGGCGATGTGCGTACACTCACAGCATAGGGACCTGCTTCCGATATCCTTTGCCGTCGACCAAGTTACATCATCGGCTGCCATGCCAGGATGAGCAGTGAGAGCCGCCCGCAAGAGGAGAGACAACATGATGCGCTGTGCATTAGAAGGAACCGGTCTCGAATGACAAGCGATGTTTGTGTAGCGGCTGCACTCACGGCATCCGTCCTGACATTTTGACGTCGAGGTGCCGTCAATTTGGGTCCAGCGAGGAGGGTCGGGTTGGTGGAGGGGGCAAGAGAGAGCCTGACCGTGAACGACGCCTCTGTTCTTTCCTCAAGCGCACTCCAACGTTCCACTGCCCAAGGACGGACGCCTCGGTTAAACTCCACTTGCGTTGTGGCTGAAGTTAGCGGTGGCAATGATGGCGTGTTTGTGTGTGGTTTGATTAACAGCTGGACATTGACAACCTAAAGGTGCATTCGGTGTTGATACATTCGGGCTCATCAACGAGGAAGCTATACGTCATGAAAATATATGTTTTGTTAAAAATTTCAACGTCGACAAAAAATGTAGCGAATACTTAAATCATTTTAAAGTGGCTGGGAATATTTATATTACAAACGATAAAAAAAAAACTCTTAATTTAAAAGGTGATCTGATAATATTCTTCAGCTGGAAATTGAACAACAACAAAAAGGCGAGAGCTCAGGAAGGTGCAGAAGGTTTATCGAAGGCCAAGGGCTCAAGCAGGGCACTTTATCACGGGCGGTCGTGTCTCACGAAATCTTTGCGTGAGTGCAAACTCGAAGTCGGGACCCACAAATACGTTGTGTGAGGTCAAAGGTCAAAGAGCTAGTGGCTCACACTCAGCCAAGGCAACCTTTTGCATGGTCCTGATATGACCAGAAAATGCTAAAGCATGAGATGAGAGGTCGCGTTTAATGTCTATTGAACTATTACGGTATGTGTTCTAAAGGAAATACAGTATACGGTATCTTACTAAAGAACTTGCATTTGACGTTTCTTTATTCCGGTCTCATTATTCTTTCGAGGACCTTTGTAAACTTTCTCTAGTACAGTGCTGTGTCGTTATTGCATTGGGGTTTAATTTTTGTTCAAATCCATATATTTGAAACACCATCACACATTTACGGAAGCCCCGCCACATTACCCAACACCCATGCCACGAATGTATTCCCCCTTTGCTGTGGTCCGGTCACAAATGAATAACAAGTCCAGATAAATTAAAAAAACGCTGCGGTTATGTCGACAGCCAAACAACGCGAGGTCATCGCGGAAGACATTCGCACAGGGCACACACCGTGGTCGCAGCAACAAAAAGCCTTCCCCCCCCCCCGTACATTTGCGTACACGTTTCCATGTAATTACTTTCCGCGCTGCAGGCAGAGTGTTGATGAAACTGTTTTCTTTCCTCTCCGTCCACTGCTTTCGCTGAGAAGTCAGCAAGATTAATTCAGGTCTGGTACGAGTTCTGGAGAAGACGCAACAACAGCAACAAAAACGATTGCAGTCGCTAGCAGATCATGCTCGGCTATCCATGGAGGTTTTTTTTGGGTTAGATCGCGTAAAGATAAATGTGTCGTTAAACCCGCCGCCACCTGACACAGCTAATTAGTAAGGTTTGTCATGTAAACAAAACATGTCAATTCGCGACTAGTTCAGCACACACCGGTGTGTTGGCGAGTAAACCCACAACATTTACAAATGCTCAGCTACGTGTCCGAGGCTTAAAATAGCAGACACTTGTAGGTATGTTGAACTTCTTTCGCGCTATAGATAGCCAACCGTGCTAATTGGAGGTGCAGAGAAAGGACAACAAACTGAACACAAAAAGCAGTTCTAAATAAAATAAAATCTAGATTTAAAAGTACATAGCCCCCAGTGACTTCCTAATATCGGAAAGAAGAGCGTTCCAGACGGCCGCAGAAGCGCATGTGAAAGCACGCTGCGGGAATGACTGTCTTTGTTCGATGGTTATCCAAAAGCCGTTGCGAGAATGACTGAGGTTTGCGTAATGGTGTGTGCTCTTTAACGAGACCAGCAAGGTATTGTGGTTCATTTGTGGCGAGCACTTTGTGTGTAATGAGTGCGACCTTCCAATGTATCTGTTCGGCAACCGAAAGCCAATGCTTCCGGTTGACGTTACGTAGCAATGCCTTGGAGGCAGAAAAGGGATTCGAATTTAAACTAATCCCATTGTCACCAACATCGTCAGCCGTAGCCCACCCGCTGCTGGATGAAGGCATCCCAAAGCCACTGCCAACCTCTCGCGATCCTGCGATGAAACGATCCATGAACTTGATTTCATCACTCCATCTCTTCAGTGTACGTCCCTTGGGCGAGTTCCATCCCTTGGCTTGATCATTGTGCATCGCACATTAGTCGTAGCGTGGTTTAAACGCCTACCTTTGGGAAATTCACCTCTGTTGGTGAAACCGCTCGCTTTGGTTTTTTTTACTTTGTCGATCTGAAACGTGGCGTGCGTGCAAATGGGGTTATACGCATTTAGCATTGTGCGATGCGTGATGGAGTCCAGCATGGACATCGTTTTGCAACACACGTACCTGACCTAACAGCAAGCGGGCCCCCATGGGACTGTGTCCACGTGTGTGAGGCATAAAGATGTGGAGCGGTAGAGTAGCGGGTGAGCGCCGCGCTACGAACCCGGCAACGCGAGTTCGATTCCCGCTCACGGCACAACGCCGGTGACGATTATCTGAATCGGTCCTGGGCCTCTCCTAGGTCGACTCAGCCTCAAATGAGTACCTGGTGCGGTGTGTAAACATCGCCACTGGGGAGACGAAGGCGGCCGGGCGTGGTGTTGGCCACACGACTCCTCGTGTGCCGTGCCGCCCTTAATAAGTGCTCGCTAACAGCACTTGCCCCAGCAGCCTGTTGAAGCTATACGGGGGAACTTTGTCTTTGAGGCGTAGAAAGAGAGCTGAAATTCACCACAGTATGCTTTTATAAATCTATTATATCACATCTTCAAAAATCACATTAACGGGCAATTACACTGTCACAGATTCAATGTGTCACGCATACATTTAATGTCAGAGTGGAGCTGATCACATTTGAAATGGTTATACGGAGGGTTATGTATATGATACTGTATGTATGTTTAACTTCTTTCGCACCCTACGTAGCCAACCATGCTAATCGAAGTTGATTGAAGGTTAAAATCAGCATTGCAAAGAAATTGCTTTGCAGCATATTCCAAGCACATGGTCCATGTCTGATGCATCGCAATCCAAATAAAGTGTATCCTGTTTTAAAGAGGAAATGATTACACAGTTACATTTTAAAGGTAAATACCTTATTCAGCTGGCTGAGTAGGGAATTACCTTTTTGAATGGTGATTCTGCCTTGAGCATAAAATAAGCTAATTAATTTTTTCACGTTTATTTAAGCGTTAGACAGTAGCTAGTCACGTGACGGTAAGGTTTTTTGTTTGTTTACCAAAACTACCAAATACCGTACAGTATTGTGGTGTATGATGTTATTAAATGTTACGCTATTTTAAATCGCCCTGTCCGTTTGGATTTTATCTGAACTAAAAATAAAGCACACCTGCCAGTACTCCAGGTGTACTTAATCTCTATTGGATACATCCTATATCATCGGGCAGTGGAAGGCCTTCTCCTATATCATGACTGCAAATGACACATTTCCAGCCATGTTGTGTGTACAGTACCACACAATTGGGATGTGTATAGCGTATTTATGTCTATCATTATTTTCTTGAGTCCAAGAACATCAATTGTTCAACTCGGGACAATTAAATTCTGGCATTTTAATTATCTACACTTTATACATTACACGCTGAGCGGTAACAGTCCCCGCACCTTTTCGTGGCAAATGTATTACAAATTGTTGACTGCAAACGTCACACGTCCACTAAGTACAGCAACGATTGTGACTAGCAAAGACACATTTGTCGAGATAACTTATTTTAAATTAGCAAACAGGGCTCACACATTGTTTTTTTCAAGTGGAATAAGGAACTTCCAACTACCAAGTGGAATTTGGTGTAAATGAAATCAGGACATCTTCAGACTGACTTTTGCCCATAGCAAATGAAGCCCTTTACACTTCCCAAATACCAATCTTGCAAATTCCAATGTTTACCATTCATCAAAATTGTGTTATAATTGTTATTAGTGAGGATGAGCGGTGGGCATGTGAAACACGACTGAATGTGTAAAATAAAGTAAGGTGAGAATTCATCATCCTGGGTTGTGCAGTTTGAGAATTGCTGGCCCAAAGTAAACACGGAACGTACTGCTGTAGTTTGGTGCAATGGCCTGGTAGGCTGACCTAAGATATGCAACACCGTGCATAGCTGTGTTGGCAACACCATTGATAATCTTCACAATTCCTTTCTGCAAAGTGATGATATTTAGTGATTTATAAAGAGACGGGAGATTCCAAAAACAGTGTCTAAAGCCGAAGTTGGCCGTCTGATTTGGTGCTCAATTTAAGGGAAGAGGTAACGCGTGGACATTCTATCGTACGGAGTGCAACAGCCGTACAAAACATAAGCATTTCAAATAAAAGGAGTTTGAATTCACTGAGTTTGCACGTTGCATTTCCAACAACGAACGGGAGCAGTGGACTTTTTGGAATATTGCAATAATGTGCAAAAACATGAGAAATATGAGCACTTTGTAGATTAAAAAAAACCCTAGCAAAAAATGTATAGCTTTGTGATGCTTGTTATATTGTGTGCAATACATAAGAGTATTAAAAACAACACATTTTTGCATACTCAATTGATGCCAGTAGATATTTGTATTAAATGTGTTTTTTCTGTACCACATGGCAAGCATATGTCTGGAATGATGTTTTCTTATATTCAAATGTTCTGTCCACTTGTATTATATACGTATTATTATTTTTGTCAAAGTGTGTGCTATGGTTGGTTATGCGTATAGAAAGACAAAGAAGAGCCACATTCAGTGTTATCCCAACCAAAGTATAATCTGGAAGGTTCCAGCTGTGTGAAAGGCCTGTTAAAGGTTGAAGGTAATATGTTCGAGTTGCTTACACACTTTGTTCTAAAATGACTAAATGGTGATGGAGGACTGCGTCAAACGCCTGTTGAGTGCCACCGACACGAGGTCGGGGTGATTGGTGTGCGCAAATTCAACCACGTCGCTACGTCCTCACCAAGCCGATTTAATTCCTTCATTGCATTCAGATAATCATACCGTCGTTAAAGAATCATTTCAAACTATTGAAATCTCAATCGATTGCGTACCGATCATGAACTTCAGAAGTGATTAACGTTATTTAGCAATATCAAGTCAATCTGGTGAATATGTACAATGGATGCAAGCTAATGCTTAAAATCATATTAAAAAAATATTGTATTTCTGAAACGATTGAACTTTTTTGACTTCTCTATTGTCCATTAATTTATTGAGTATCCCAGCCAACAATGGGGCATTCGGTTTTTTTGGTTTGTGTAGGCGAGAAATAATTCGAGGGGGGGGGGGGTTCCGTTAGTATGCTGCCGTGAAAAATGTCAGTCCCACAGTGCAATACGAGCTCACGTGGCCCGGGACCTGATTCTTCGTCAAGCCGGCAAAGTCTTTTGCGTTCGTTTGTTTGTGCCATAGAGAAAAAGACATGCGAGGAGACACCGTGTGAAGCACATTGGAAAGATTTAGAATGCCGGGACAAAAATGTGTACAGATAAACGTAAATATATCTCAAATCTTGTTTTGATATTCCAAATAGCACAAAACGTTACAAGCTGTAATGTACAGTAATCGAATAAATTTACTTATTTAAAACATTCGCTCATCATGTGGTTTTCATTTGTCGGTTCGACTGAATCGTTTTAACATTCCAACACTTTTTTTTATCTGTGGTGAAGATGATATAATTACCTATTATTTAATTCAACTCAGTAACTGTGGATATATATTGTATGTATAATACATGATCGTCAATGAAATGTAACCACTATGCAAATATTACCAATTTGGTTCATTAGACGTACAATAATAAACAAGTGTGTGTGTTAATATTTGTGAAACTATTAATTCCCGTGCTACTTTCCAAGACCAACACGTGATGGTGGCGATTTCCCAGCAACATTATCTCACCGAACAAAAATAATATTCAGGGCCTACCTTGGCTCTTCCCACCCTCAACCAGTATATATACAAATATCGTTTCTTGGAATTTCTCTCACTTGATACAGCTATCGTGCTGTGACGGTTCCACCTGAAGACGGAAGCTTGTGTTGCCTCCGAAACGTCGTGATTTTTTAATTTTACTTTTATTAATTGAATTTTTACCTACGTGATTTTACCGAAAAAACCTAAGAATATTATTTCACCGGTGGTCAGTCACCTCCCTATTGCTCTTCTATCGTTACTACCACGATCACGGTGCCCCGTGAACTTCACTCGATTCCTCCAGCAATGTTGAGGACTCGGTCTATCAGACCGACTGTCTCGCCTCATCTACACTGTGTTCAACCTACCCACTCACTCACACCACCCTGCAGGTCACAACAACTGATCCACCCGCTCACCTACCCACTCACCCACTCACACCACCCTGCAGGTCACATCAACTCAGCCAACCGCTCACCCACCCACTCACTCACTTACACCACCCTGAAGGTCACAACAACTCAGCCAACCGCTCACCCACCCACTCACTCACTTACACCACCCTGCAAGACACATCAACTCATCCACCCGCTCACCTACCCACTCACTCACTCACTCACACCACCCTGCAGGTCACAACAACTGATCCACCCACTCACCTACCCACTCACCCACTCACACCACCCTGCAAGACACATCAACTCATCCACCCGCTCACCTACCCACCCACTCACTCACACCACCCTGAAGGTCACAACAACTCATACAACCGCTCACCTACCCACTCACCCACTCACACCACCCTGCAAGACACATCAACTCATCCACCCGCTCACCTACCCACCCACCCACTCACACCACCCTGAAGGTCACAACAACTCATACAACCGCTAACCTACCCACTCACCCACTCACACCACCCTGCAAGACACATCAACTCATCCACCCGCTCACCTACCCACTCACCCACTCACACCACCCCGCAGGCTACAACAACTCATCCAACCGCTCACCTACCCACTCACACCACCCTGCAGGTCACATCAACTCAGACAACCGCTCACCTACCCACTCACCCACTCACACCACCCCGCAGGTCACAGCTCATCCAACCGCTCACCTACCCACTCACCCACTCACACCACCCCGCAGGTCACATCAACTCAGCCAACCGCTCACCTACCCACTCACCCACTCACACCACCCCGCAGGCTACAACAACTCATCCAACCGCTCACCTACCCACTCACACCACCCTGCAGGTCACATCAACTCAGACAACCGCTCACCTACCCACTCACCCACTCACACCACCCTGCAGGTCACAGCTCATCCAACCGCTCACCTACCCACTCACCCACTCACACCACCCCGCAGGTCACATCAACTCAGCCAACCGCTCACCTACCCACTCATCCACTCACACCACCCCGCAGGTCACATCAACTCAGCCGAACCGCTCACCTACCCACTCACACCACCCTGCAAGCCACAACAACTCATCCACCCGCTCACCTACCCACTCACCCACTCACCCCACCCTGCAGGTCACATCAACTCAGCCAACCGCTCACCTACCCACTCACCCACTCACACCACCCTGCAAGCCACAACAACTCATCCACCCGCTCACCTACCCACTCACTCACACCACCCTGCAGGTCACAACAACTGATCCACCCGCTCACCTACCCACTCACCCACTCACACCACCCTGCAAGTCACAACAACTCAGCCAACCGCTCACCTACCCACTCACCCACTCACACCACCCCGCAGGTCACATCAACTCAGCCAAACGCTCACCTACCCACTCACCCACTCACACCACCCTGCAAGTCACAACTCATCCAACCACTCACCTACCCACTCACACCACCCTGCAGGTCACAACTCATCCACCCGCTCACCTACCCACTCACCCACTCACACCACCCTGCAGGTCACAACAACTCAGCCAACCGCTCACCTACCCACTCACCCACTCACACCACCTTGCAAGTCACAACAACTCAGCCAACCGCTCACCTACCCACTCACCCACTCACACCACCCTGCAGGTCACATCAACTCATCCAACCGCTCACCTACCCACTCACCCACTCACACCACCTTGCAAGTCACAACAACTCAGCCAACCGCTCACCTACCCACTCACCCACTCACACCACCTTGCAAGTCACAACAACTCAGCCAACCGCTCACCTACCCACTCACCCACTCACACCACCTTGCAAGTCACAACAACTCAGCCAACCGCTCACCTACCCACTCACCCACTCACACCACCCTGCAGGTCACAACAACTCAGCCAACCGCTCACCTACCCACTCACCCACTCACACCACCCTGCAGGTCACAACTCATCCACCCGCTCACCTACCCACTCACCCACTCACACCACCCTGCAGGTCACAACAACTCAGCCAACCGCTCACCTACCCACTCACCCACTCACACCACCCTGCAGGTCACATCAACTCAGCCAACCGCTCACCTACCCACTCACCCACTCACACCACCCTGAAGGTCACAACAACTGATCCAACCGCTCACCTACCCACTCACCCACTCACACCACCCTGCAGGTCACATCAACTCAGCCAACCGCTCACCTACCCACTCACCCACTCACCCCACACTGCATATTTTCACGCGCTGTTTTTATTCTGAGCGCAAGCTATTTCACGTAGACCGCAGCGCAATATTCATCACCTTATCTGAATTCTGTAACCTAATGACGTTTATTGGGGCTCCTTGCTTTTTAATTACTCTCCTCTGTCATTAGTGAGGCTCTAATTGGGTTGCTATATAATTCCATGGGAAAAGTCATGAATATTATTGATGGAGGTAAGAAAATCAATTTTGCAGTGTGTTCCAAATTCCCCATATATTTCAGTATAGGTCGACTCAATTACAGATATATATCCAAATGTTTTGCCCTTTGTCATTCCACTGCTAGATGAGGGCCTCTCCACTCCATGCAGGCCTTGGAAGTCTGTTTTATACGCGACTTCATCATGCTGGTCAGCACTCGTTGAAGTCACGTGACTTTACCGAAAGAACCAAGAATATGAATCCCTGCAGTCACGAAAGCTTTAAATCGAAGCAGAAGGGTTTTGTTTAGCACACCCATCTGTCACATGGACAAGCAACGTGATGCCTCGCAACATCAAATCACTGTGGACATTTCAACATCTGGATGAAACCTGTGAGGTATCCAATGATACCTCATTATCATATATGTGACGGGTAGGCGAAGTAGTAACTAATTCATTCTAGATTTGATGTTTTCGTGACTTCAAGAATCTTTGGTTCTTTTTGGTTTTTATTTTTTTTATTTTTCACCTACGTGACTTTACCGAAAGAACCAAAGAGTATAGTAACTAATCGGCACGTTTAGTTCACGTGACAACCCTTACGAATTCGCTGTATCCAGTGGTGGTGGGTTAACGACATTGATATTTACGCGATCTCACCCAAAAAAACCTTGATTATGAAACGCGAGCCATCTGTTGGAACACTGCAAAAATAGTACGTAACAAATATACGTCAAATTATATGGAACTATATAATTAAATGATTAAATTGCGGTTGGATTGCGACATTCTGCCACGTTGATAAAATAAGAGACGAACGAAAATGGCATTTGGTTCCCTGGGCCATGAACACCACACCGCGTATGTACAACGTGTGCGCATTTCTAAAATCATTCTGACATGTGATTACTTTTTCATCAGTGCGCTCTGAAAAATGATTTCTTAATTATCGATTGCCGATAATGCATATGTTTACGCAATAGGTCACATTGGGTAAATTACATCACGAGTTTTTATATATAGCGTATACAGAATTGTTTAACAACAACAACAAACACATGCGGAATTTCGGTGACCACAATTTGATTTTGAGTTATATAATATTTGCACATACGCTGACCATGGTGGTAAACTTTGGTCAAACACATCTGTGGTTGAGACACATGGAATGAGACCATCATGCAGCGGTGGTTTGACAAATAACTATTACTATCACTTGTTGCATATAAGTTCTGAATATATGCAAATTGTTATTCTTACGTAATGTATAATTTTACCTTTTATACATTGTACGGTATTGTAGACAAGGAACACTTACAAATACATATTTTGATCTCAAGTTAACCCTGATTGAGTATACTAGCTCGGCACAGAAAATAGCTATTTCATTAAATTCCCTCATTCCACATCACAAGTTCACATTTGCGGTATTTTCTTACTACCATCTACTTTGAACAAACAATACATCAAAGCTTTTGTGGAACATGACAAACTTAATTTATGGATTTGCCATATCAGTGGCATCAGGGGACATGCCTTCATTCTCATGCAAGGTTTGTGAGTGATCTGATGCCAGTTTCCCACATATGCCAAGCACCTAACTACAGCCCTCTCAAACAGACTCTACAAATTCCTCATCATTACCTCCTCCAGATAATTAGCAACGCTGCTGCTAGATTTCTCTCCAAGACCCATAAACAAGACTCCCCCCATATTACAATCCCTCCACCGACTCCCAATCAAGTATTGGATTAATTTCATGCTCGTATTCACTATACTCAGGAATGGACTTACCTCTCCCCTCTCATCTCACTCTACTCCCCTCCACGCACTCTCCTACCTCTCTCCTCTCATCTCACTCTACTCCCCTCCACGCACTCTCCTGCCTCTCCCCTCTCATCTCGCACTACCCCCCTCCACGCACTCTCCTACCTCTCATCTCGCACTACTCCCCTTCACGCACTCTCCTACCTCTCCCCTTTCATCTCACTCTACTCCCCTCCACGCACTCTCCTGCCTCTCCCCTCTCATCTCACTCTACTGCCCTACCTCTCATCTCACTCTACTCCCCTCCACGCACTCTCCTACCTCTCCCCTCTCATCTCGCTCTACCCCCTCCACGCACTCTCCTACCTCTCCCATCTCGTCTCACTCTACTCCCCTCCACGCACTCCCCTACCTTTCCCCTCTCATCTCACTCTACTCCCCTCCACGCACTCTCCTACCTCTCCCCTCTCATCTCACTCTACTCCCCTCCACGCACTCTCCTACCTCTCCCATCTCGTCTCACTCTACTCCCCTCCACGCACTCTCCTACCTCTCCCCTCTCATCTCACTCCACTCCCCTCCACGCACTCTCCTGTCTCTCCCCTCTCATCTCACTCTACTCCCCTCCACGCACTCTCCTACCTCTCCCCTTTCATCTCACTCTACTCCCCTCCACGCACTCTCCTACCTCTCCCCTCTCATCTCACTCTACTGCCCTATCCTCATCTCACTCTACTTCCCTCCATTCACTCTCCTACCTCTCCCCTCTCATCTCACTTTACTCCCCTCCACGCACTCTCCTACCTCTCCCCTTTCATCTCACTCTACTCCCCTCCACGCACTCTCCTACCTCTCTCCTCTCATCTCACTCTACTGCCCTATCCTCATCTCACTCTACTTCCCTCCATTCACTCTCCTACCTCTCCCCTCTCATCTCGCTCTACCCCCCTCCACGCACTCTCCCACCACTCTCCCCTCACAGCCAGGAACTCCCCCCCCACCCCCCCCATTGCATCCGTGCTGTCAACTTCCTAGCTCAGCTCAGGTGCAGGCTCCTGGACCAGATGTTCCCTCTGCTTGCAACTGACCGCCTCCTTCTGTGGAAGAACTATTCCCACGACTTCCGGATAACGTTTTGAGCAGTGGCGGCTCCTGCAAAATCTCTCAGGGGGGGCAAATGTCTGGATGATTGATAAGGATAAGGTCCACCCATGCAATGGATACATTAACAGCGTAAGCCATGTAAAGGCAACTTCACTTATTTAATATTAATGCTAAATAAAGTGACTCTTACAATACATCTTGTTTGTTTCTATACTCACTATTATTACAATCCACTCAGTTTCTTTTATTAAAGATTCCACTAGGTGGCGACAAATAATATTGTTGGATGAAACGTGCTTACGTATGATGACGTAAGCACGTTAGTGCGAGCCCTCCCGGAAGCCATAGAGAATGCATTGCAGCGCCCGCCGTTCGAAAAAAAACATATTTGAATGTAAGTCTATGGGGCCACTCTGGGCGATTCTCAGCCGGAGGGAAATCGCCCAAAAAGAGGCGGTACTCCACAGAACGTAGCATGACGCTGATTGGACTATATCCAGAGGCACAGTAACGGCTCGCGAAACTCTGTGGTTGAATGAGATTGGTGGTGCGTCGCCCAATCGCCCTAATGAAGAACCGCCCCTGGTTTTGAGAGGCACTTGCATTTAAACACAATCATCATCATCATCACCAGGCATGATCAATCCACTGCTGGATGAAGACCGCCCAAGCCGTCACTATCTCTCACGGTCTGGGGATGTAATACTCAACATATCGCCTGCACACGAGCTGATTCATTACTCCATCTCCTCCTTAAAGGTCTTCTTGGACGCTGCACACATCCAAAGTGCGTTGTCCTATATTGCAGTCTTGGATCGGTCATTCTTAGATCATACAGTTCACATCAGACCATTAATTTCCAGTCTTTTAACTCTCATTACTTACGATTGCATTTCAATTATTGTTTTTATTGCAATGTGATCGGTATGCAAATACGACAACTTAAAAATGCCACAAATCAGCTACAAATTGTAATGAAAGAACCCATCCGCTGCATTTGTAACAGCTGCCAAACACGCTCAAGGCATGTTTTGTTTAATGTCTGCATTGTGTTGGTGACTGTATATAGATCCCCACTGCATGTTTCAATCAGTTAAATGGTGTCACATGCATGACGACGTAGCTTTGATAATTAATTGAAATGTTGTCTCTATCAATTACTCTTTGGTTACCACCCCCCGTTACCCCCCCCCCCCCTGGTCCCCTTGTTACACCCCCCCCTTTCCCCACACAGATCCACTGGTACCCCCCCCCCCCCCCCCCCCCCATCTGAGAGGACCTTTAGCCGGGCCCGACATAGGGTAAGTTATTCTTGGTTCTTTCGGTAAAGTCACGTAGAAGGGAAATAATAAAATAATAAAAATTAAACATAATAAAATAATTCTCACGACGTTTCGGCCACAACGCAAGCAGCCGTCCTCAGGTGAAGACCAGGTCTAAACACTATCATCATCCCCGACAGACCTGGTCTTCACCTGAGGACGGCTGCTTGCGTTGTGGCCGAAACGTCGTGAGAATTATTTTATTATGTTTAATTTTTATTATTTTATTATTTTCCTTCTACGTGATGACTTTACCGAAAGAACCAAGAAGATGAATCCCTGCAGTCACGAAAGCTTTAAATCGAAATAGGGTAAGTTCACAAGTCACGCACGTTTTGCCTCATCGCCACGGCTTACTTCATTCCGAGTGGCTTTTTAATCGAAGGGAGCCTCGGTTTGACAAGCAAACGCATCGTTTTAAACGCCCCCCCCTCTCTCCACGTCACAACCCACGACAATTGAACCTCGTGGCTGGGCCCCGGGGTCACACCATGAGGTTCAATTGTATTGGTTTAGCCATGTTTGTTTGTTGTAGTACAGAGTTAGACTGATGACCTTAATCTAAGTTGTCTTGTGGTTGTTGTTGTTTGACTTGCATCGCACTGGGATTTTTGCACACAGCGTTGGTGTACGGTGCTTTTTTTTCTGCAATATTTTGCTGTCTTTTCTTGGATTTTCTGTTTGCACTTAGTCACATATTCACTTTAAGATGTTTCTTGTTCATGTTTTTTGTTTATTGCGGTTGCACCCGATTCATGAGCCGAATGGCTCACAGGGCTACACCTGATACATGAACTTGAACTTCCATTGCGCGCACGGCACGCGCGGGCATCGTCGCCCCGCAAGCCGCGTCCGTCCCCTGGGGTCGTCCATAAATGACGTCACGCACATAGGGGGGGGGGGGTCAGACATTTGTGACGATGTGTGACGAGGGGAGGGGGTTTGAGAAATGTGACGTCACATCAAAATGCGCAACTTTAAATAAATATAGACAACACGTTCTACTTAATTAAATAGACTTTTTAATAAATGTTTTCTCCTACAACATCAGAGTGCAGCGCCACATAAAATACGCACTACAATGCCAATAGTTTAAAGCGATTTGAAGCATGTTTTTTTTTTGGGGGGGGGGGGGACAGAGCTTTGTGACGTCATATTTGAGGGGGGGGTCTGACTTTTTGTGACGCCGTGTGACGAGGGGGGGGGGGTCAAAAATCGTCCAAAATCGCGTGACGTCATTTATGGACGCCCCCCCCCCCCCACTCCTGCAATGAATGGCAACTTTCGAGAACAAAAAAACTCTCGCTTGCCCGCTCCGTACCACCTCCCCCCCACCACCCCAGCTCACCACGACTCTGCCCACTTGACTCTGGAATTCCAACCGGCTCAACGCCTGTCCAACGAGTGGCACAGAGGTGAGGCACCACGGAGGGCCCAGCACCAACCACGGGGGGAGCTGCTGGCTTTCCCACTTTGGACTTGCCGCTGTTGATGCAATCGAGGCACCAGACTAGGTTGATGATGAGACTTTAAAAAAAAGAAAGGACAAATAAAATACTTGCGCAATGTTTTTTTTGTTTAAACGTCAAATACATCATCAGGTCTAACGTTGAGCAAAACGTTGGAATGAGCATTTTGAAGAAGTTTTTTTGTAATATAATTGCATGTTGTTGCTCAAGTAATGATGTTTTTTGTAATATAATTGCAAGTTGTTGCTCAAATAACTTTATTTTAAACAGTCATACCGCTCTGTTTCGATGTTTACTGACCGCCTATGTCTTGCAGGCACCGGTTAACCCAAGAGAAACCAGGAACAAAAGCAACCTTCAAGGCATCAGTTGAAGCACCGCTAAGATGAGAGCGCCGCTGTGATTACATTTTTTTGTCCCACCCATCCTCAAACTCCGCTTTAGTGAGCGAGATTTGTTGAGCTTAAACGAAGGCGACCTCAAGATGCCAAACACCGTTTCAGACGCGGAGGGCTACGCTGCGGTTGAGATTGGAGCTGGGTCCCAACTCAACAGCCGCGAGAGGATTCTACCAAATCTGGAGCGAGTCGATGACACCAGCAGCCATGCTCCCGTGGCCAAGAAGAAACAGTTCCCGGAGCGAGGTGCTTGGAAGGGAAGGTTTGACTTCCTTCTGTCGTGCGTGGGCTACGCCGTCGGCTTGGGCAACGTGTGGCGCTTTCCGTACTTGTGTGGAAAGAATGGTGGAGGTGAGCGGGCGTGAGACAGTCGGAGCGTTTCGTACAAAGTGTTGCTGCTCGCTGTGGAACGGTTCACGGGTTGAGACCGGGCGGGCGGCCCTGGTCAATGCTGTGGGTGCATGAAGCGTCAAACAAATAAGCGCCGTCTGCTCTCACAGCGGCCGTTAATGATCCAGTGATGTCATTCGAATAAGACGAGGCCACGTGTGCCGACGTTGTGTTACAAATTATCAAAATGAACGTGTTGTGACGGTACACCGGTGTGCAGTATTAAACTAAAGCACGTTTTTTACGCCGTCAGAAAATCTTGCGGGATGCGTCAAAGTGAGTTCTCGTGATGTCGAAGCAGTCGGAAAACGAATGTCAGTTCAAATGTTGATGTTGGACTGTTTTATGAGGACCGGTGAGTTATTGCTGCAACGGTGTACCCCCAATACGCCCCAATACATAAACCAAATACCCTACCTGCAAATTATTATTTTGGAAAGATACGTAGTAATCATTACCCCATTACTGCAAAACGTAGCAGAACCCTCTTAGAATAGAGTTTTGAGACTCAGTGAGACTTTCCTGGGTACATAAATGTAAAAAAAAAGTGTTTTGTGCGCATTTATCTTCCAGAGTTCTTTCCCCATTACGTGAGTCATTTCACCATTTGTCAAATCACGACTTGCAATTGCGGTTGTGATTGATGTTTGACTTTTTTGTTTTTTTCTGCAAAATTGTTTCTGAGAAAGAAATATTGAATCAAAAGTGGATTCTTACCAGATTGTGAAGTGGTGATGAATGTTCCCTTTAAAATATACGCGTTAAAGTTCAAGTTTTCTGGCCCAAAATTGCCACGGAAAAGATATAACATTGAATTTTACGTCATCCATGATTCCTTTGCTTCATTAATACGTTTTACCAAACTATTACAAGACAAAATAGGGAATACACATTTCGTGTAATTATGTAGCAACAAGAACTTTTGAATGACATGTATTTTAACCCGTTGTAAATTAAGACTTTTGAGAGTGATCTTGTACCCGCTTCTTGGATGATTCTCCAATGGTGTTCTTCTGATAATTGGTTCTTTACCCTTCTACCTGGCAACAAAACTGCATAGACCGCAATACGGTCTATGCAAACATGACTCCTTGTAAAAAGGTGTCAGTTTTGTTGCCAGGTAGAAGAGTAAAGAACCAATCATCATATTTTTACTGGCAAATGAGGTCCCCATAGGGTGTTCTTCTGCTTTAACAATCACTTATGCGAGTTGTTCGTCCAATCTAACTTCAAGTAAAATTGTCTCCGTTGCTCGAATTAACAGTGGGATGATGCTATTTTCTGTTGGTGGCCCAAAGGCAGTCGTGGAGATTCCACATTTCCATGGCAGTAGCCAATCGATCCATGGATGATCACTGTTGATTTCTCAACAAGTGGTACTCATGATCGTAAATGTAAAACGTTAAGGTGCAGCCCTTCAACTGTGGACAGATAGTCCCCGAGTTACGATGCTCCGACTTACGATATTTCGATCTTACGATAGCAATACGACAAAATTGTAAAATATTTTTAATTTCGCGCGGCAGGTAAACGCAGCAGCATACGAATCTTGGTGAGTACAGTACAATATGATACGTTAAAATACGTTCAATGTATGTATATACTACACTAAACACTACACTACTATACACTACACTATACACTACACTATACACTACACTATGATACGTAGCTTTAGCGATTTTATTTCAGGATTACCACAATACGATACCTTCAATGCATATTAAAAGTTTTTAAAGCAGATAGGATTGTTTCCTGAAACAACTTTCTATTAAATTGCAGTTCATATAGACAGGCTAAGAATTTACTTTGGTTTTTATTACTCTACATTTTACTGTGCAATACAGTATTGTAATTAATAAATACATACAGTATATAGTTTATACAGTACGGTACTGTAGGCTAGGCCATCTTCGACTTACGATATTTTTGACTTACGATGGGGCCGTCGTAACGCATGTACATCGTAATCAGAATAATCCAACTCGACTTACACACGCTACTGCTGGCCGGTGGGTCTCCACTGGAGGGAGCTCTCGACCCAGAGAGTCCCACGAGAGAGTGTTTTGGCCTACTCTTCCACGTTGGCCAGACATCATGGGTGAGGTGGAAGCACCCACACTTTGCCTCACCACACGCGGACCTGCCGATAAACGAACTGGTTTACCCGTTTTTATACCGCTCGCCAGACAGAGGCGGGGGTGGATTTAAAGAAACTTGCGCGTTGTTTTCAGCTAAAATACGGGGTACTTGATAATTGTTTTTTTACCCTTCTATCTGGCAACAAAACTGACACCTTTTTACAAGGAGTCATGTTTGCATAGACCGCAATACCTGCAGTCATAATACAAACAAAAGACATAACTCTGATAATATGCACTGTCCTTGAAGTTGATTGGTCCACACCCGAGACAGCTTTCCGGTATTGCGGTCTATGCAAACATGACTCCTTGTAAAAAGGTGTCAGTTTTGTTGCCAGATAGAAGGGTAAAAAACCAATTATCATATTTTTACTGGCAAATGAGGTTCCCATAGTACGGGGCACTTATTCAAATTGTGCAATTTGCCATGTGACAACTTCCGAATGTGAATGCTGCTCACATCTGACACATTGCAGGGGCGTTTCTGATCCCGTACTTCCTGACGCTGGTGTTTGCTGGAATTCCGCTCTTCCTGCTGGAGACTTCCCTTGGGCAGTACACCTCCGTAGGCGGCCTGGGAGTCTGGAAGCTGGCTCCCATGTTTAAAGGTGACCGGCGGTCACGACTCTGCCCTTTTACCGAGGAGCAGTGGACACCAGGTTGTGCGATGCAAGAAACAAATAAAGAATTGCACATATTGGACGCTTAGATTGCCCTAGAATCTCAACGTGCCTGACATCACGTGTCATCTCAATTATTTCATTTCCCAGCTGTATATTTCGATAGTTTTTCTCTTCCTAGGGGACCCCTGGTGGTATTTTTTCCTGTTTGGCAAAGGGTGGAAAAGCTCCTGTCTGCAATTGGAATTTAGTCTGGAAGTCAGGGGCAATGTTCCCCTTGGTTTTCTTAATAAAGTATATATTTTTCAATTCTAAATTCGAATTCCTATTATCTGCCATCCTATTATCCACCACTCCTATTATCCACGGAATGGCTTCCTATTGTCCGAAATTTGTTGTTGAAAAATTGAGTCACGCAGCGAATTCCTTTTACTATCTGCGGGTTATCCACAGGAATTGAACAGCAGTTTTCTGGCAATCACTGCAGAAAATTGTCATTATTACTTTTATCTGCAATTGTTTTCGCAGATAAGTAGATGGAGTTCTGCTGTGAGCCCAATCTGTTCCAAAGCCCAGTACTTCAGTGGTCTCGACCCTTTATCAAAATCATAAAAATATTATTTCATATATCCTTTCACAGGACAGCTTTAAAATCACAAGTGTGACATTGCAAGGATGATTTATGTGGTCTGCTAAATACAATTATTTATCTTGACAATTTTATTTTGAAAAAGCTATTGCACCATCCACTGATAAATCAAATCAATGATAATATTGTCCTAATATTGTACGCCGACGACTTTCAATGTGTGGTGGTTAAGGGTCGTGATTTCTTTTAAATATTTACACATAAATTATTGACGAATGTATAATCTACTGTCTACGATATTTATTTCTCTTCTCCCTATCCGCCCTCCACTGTTGCAATCGCCATCGTCTCATATCCCATCTGCTGCTGATGTTCCCGTGTCATTCCTCTCTACCTTAGCGCGTCCTCATCCACTCCATCAGCCCAGCGGTTTTTTTTTTCTTCCGCCCACCTCTCCCTCGATTGCCTTCCGTTAGCGTTGTCATTGCTTTTGCTGGACATTCATATTCGGTGGCATTCTTATAACGTGACCATGCCACAGCAAACTGTCTTCCTCAATTCCCTCTCTTGTTGCTCGTTTATGATATTCGCCACGGTCAAATGTCATTGTACTCGTGTTGGCATGTAGGAGTTGGGCTTGCTTCAGTCGTGATCTCATTCTACCTCAACATCTACTACATCGTCATCATCTCTTGGGCCATCTACTACCTCTACCATTCCTTCACCTCTGTGAGTAGTGCGCGTGTGGTGCTGTGCGTTGACCAATTGATGTAGAGGAGGCAGAAAAAAACTAAGCAAAGTAGCACACAGAATACCACGTGCCAGGTGTAATCATCAAACTCATCGACATGTGCAATGGAAAATCACGTGACATTTGGGCAGGGCGGCGGCGCAGTGGTTAGCGTACTGCTAACGTGAGTTAATCTCCTGACTACGGCTACCATCAGTGACGTGTAATGTTAGAACCAGAACTGGTTTCTTCCCTGCCTGTTCACCAACCCCCACACTGAATAATGATCGAACGACCCTGACGACCGACACAGCGTGGAGAGTACTGGGTTGACAAAGGGTTGTGTATAACGGTAGCATACGCCACAAGTTAAATTCTCCACTTCATATTCATGTTGTCCGCATCATAGTTCCGTGTCATGCGAAATAATTATATTATCTTTTACTTGTTCAAGCCAGAGGGTGCCTGTTGGCTCCAAGTTTTGGAACATTTAGCCGTCACCACTGAGAACCGAGTTTGACCTTGGGTTTGGCCCACCCGTGATGAATCAATGACCTCAAGCCCAGTGGGTCAATGATCTCAACCTGGTCGCCAATGACTGCACCGCGAAGACCGACACATCGAATCGGTTTCAGTTTGGCTGCCACGCTGCAAACATCTCTGCTGCCGGGTGCGTGGATAAGAGGTCGCTTGAAGGGGTCTCAGAAGAAGTTCTATGACATTTCAATTTCGCAGGCCTCTCTACCAGGGGACGGTGCACTGCTCTGCGAAAGTTCTGGCTGGATATACCGTCGGCTCACAAACATAGCACCAACAGAAAAACTGAAATAGCATTAGCGACTTAGACATCAAATGCAATGCAAACAAATTTTGTTGACGTTTTCATAATTAAACCAGCTGCATTAATGCCTGCTATCAGACGTTTCCACATGTTGCAATGTGAACGGGGCGCTAGGGAGTGATGGCACTGTGGTAAGCGCATTGTTCTGTGAACGTGGTATGATTACTGCTCAAAGCTAACCGCAGTGGGTGAGTGAACAATTAACTGATTGTGGTCACCCCCACCTCTTTACGAACCTGCATTCACCAGCACAGTTAGTAGAACTGTCAATTAGTATAATGAATATGCATTATTTTAATAATCACAAATAAAGCAGCTGTGCTTTGTGAAAAAAAGCTTTATAGCTCGTCGGATTCCCTCCATTATAAACACATAGTATGATTCTGATTCTATTTTAAGTGCGTATCTTCCAACTGCTGTGTGCTGCGTGTTTTCAGGTGCTGCCATGGCAAGACTGCAATAACCCGTGGAACACAGATAAATGTTTCTCGAATTACAGCATCCTTGACACCACCAACCTCACAAGCACCGTTGTGGAGTTCTGGGAGTGAGTGGCCAACAGCTCCGTCAATAGAGACATTAGCGTTTCCGTCGATACATACACTAAGCAGTATTTTTTTGTTATTGCCACTTGGAAATGATAAAAAAAACACTTTGTGAAAAAAAGCTTCCATTACATAGATTTTCCGTCCAATTTGGAAAGCAATCTAAAGTGTAAATAATAGAGCAGTCACTTCGTGTAAAGTTCGAGTACCTTCAGTGTACCTAAACAAGTGCTTGCGGAGTTAAATCGAAACCAAAAGCATAGCTCGGTGATATCTCACAATCATTGCACAGTGGCAGCAGCCTCGGTGGAGCGACTGTGCCCCCTAATGTGTAGCACGCGCTCATGCAGGGAAGTGCTTGACTGCTGTCTTTATACTGGTAGGAACCTCCTGGTTACACCAGCCCACAGGGGATTCTTGTGTCCGTCCGTCGTGCAGGGAGGGGCTGGGTGGGGAGGGAGGGGCTGGGTGGGGAGGGGAGGGTGGAGGGGCTGGGTGGGGAGGGTGGGGCTGGGTGGGGAGAGTGGGGAGGGGCTGGGTGGGGAGGGTGGGGAGGGCTAGGTGGGGAGGGTGGGGCTGGGTGGGGGGTGGGAGGGGTGGGGCTGGGTGGGGAGGGGCTGGTCACCCCGTGGTGCCCTTATAAAACCCAACGTTTAACCTACTAACGCCAGCTTGTGCCCGCCCTCACAGTCGGGCATATTTGCGGAATACACCACGCCGCCGTTGACCCTGGCCATTGACCGAGCAACCCAACGTTCCTACCAGCTCCCTCCGCAGGAATGTGTTAATCCAGAGCTTTAATCTCCGGTGTGGCAGTTTAAACAATGGCAAAGTTTCTTAAATTCGTCTCTGTCCAGCCAGCAGTATATCTGTGTATCACACGATTAGTCGATCAGAAGATAGTGTATGGCGAGGCAAAGTGTGTGGTCACTCTCACTTCGTCTAAGACATCTGTCCAGCATGGAAGAGTAGGCCAAAAACCCTCTCGAGGTGTTCAACAGGACTCTTGTCTTAAGGAGGCCTTTCTGCCAACAGTGGCATGAGCAAGCTGATGTTGCGAATTTGAGCAAACGTTGGGGACCTTTGGTTTTCATCTTTTGATACCAATGAACTTAGAACTGAGTCAAGTTGATTTCGGAGGGAGATATTGGTCCTCACGCAGCTTCATTGGGGTTGACACAAAGTCTTAAATGTACTACGTCGTTTTTGCGATGGTTCTGTACAGCTCTCCGACGTATTTTTGTAGAACGTACCGCGTGTTGTACGGCACAATGTCCGACGTTTCGCTCCACGTCCTGGTGACTTCTTGAGCACGTGCGGTGAAACGTCAGGTACCATGGCGAACGACCCGACAACACATTGGAGGCTAAGCATTACATCCGTTGACAGAAAGTGACTCTAAAAAGATGTTTATAGTCATGTGAGAGGGGGGTTTCATTGGGCCACTTTTGACATTTTCACGAGTCCGTAACCTACTGATTTAAAACATAATAAATTTGTATAATGATCCAAGCGAACGAGCCCCATAAATAAATGAAAACTAACTTTTTAATGGCCACCGCTGCCATCCCGTCCTAACTCATTTGTATATACAATAAAACCTTGCATTGCGAGCATAATTCGTTCCGGAAACGTGTTTGTAATCCAAAGCACTCGTACATCAGTGGTGATCACGTGACGCTCGGCAGACAAAGCGTGTACACTTACTACTCGTATTGCAAGACCTCGCTCGTTTATCAAATGAATATTTATTTTAAAAAATTGCTCGTCTTGCAAAACACTCGCAGACCAAGTTACTCGCAATCCAAGGTTTTACTGTACTTGTCAAAGATGTCCGCAATTTAAATCTTGGGGGTGACGTCTCGGCTACAGTGACCCAATACTGACATCAACGACTTCGAGAGCCATTTTAGTAAGGAATGGTCGTATTAATAAGTACACCCGTGATGCCATCGGCTCGTTGTTTTATCCACAACCGCACAATGCCAATTGTTGAACTTGCGCAGAGACGACGCGTGCCTTGCATTTCCACGAATGCAGGCGGAACATGCACCAGTTGTCCAGTGGCTTGGATGAGCCAGGTGAAGTGAGAGGTCCTCTGGCCGTCACTCTCGCCATCTCCTGGGTCTTGGTCTACTTCTGCATTTGGAAGGGAGTTGAGTGGACTGGCAAGGTATGCGGCGTCTCAGCTCTCCAAATGTTGCTGGATTTGATGGATGACTTTAGAATGAGCATTCTGCCATTCAAGGGATGATTATATAACATCGGGCCGTCGTAGCGGTTCTCTGGTTTTTGCGGATATCTAAATTTAGCAAATTTAGTGGAACAAAAAATCTGCGAGTGTTAAATTCAGATTTATTTATTCTAAATGGTTAATCGTAAACAGTGCATTTGTTGATTAAAATGTATGTTTAATGGTTACATTTGTTAATTCACGTCTTAGAGCACACTAATACTATCAACTTGTTATTTTATAGTAAAGATGGAATTATGGTGCACTTTGAACCCAATGACCTGAGCTCAATTCCTGGCCATGGCTAACACCAGTGGCAGCGATATTTGAATCGGGTTCGGAATCATATGGCGTGGAGAGGAGGCCTCATTCAGCAGTGGATTGGCAGAGTGCTAAACATTCCCTTTAGCACTACTATTATTTAACCAAAATTGTTCCGCACTCCACTGTTTCATCGACGCAACATGCGGTAATTCGCGAACAGGTTAACAAAGCGTTGCGGGCATTGCTCTGACAGATTGTGTTGGGTAACCATGACGATGCGGTGGGTGGCATCACAAGAATCTCGAATCCACGTTGGGTTGCCGTGTGCAGGTCGTGTACTTCTCGGCCACGTACCCGTACGTCATGCTGATTGTGCTGTTCTTCCGTGGAATCACCCTGCCGGGCGCCAAAGAGGGCATCCTGTTTTACATCACACCAGACTTCCGCAAGCTCACAGACTCCGTGGTAACTAAACACAGCACACAAACGCACACACATAGCAGGGTACATCATGCTAATCACACTTCATTGCCCTCCAATTAAGGCCAAGTATTGATTAGAATTAAGAGCACGCGGGTGGTGATGCATGTGTGTGTGTGTGTGAGCTGTGCATATAGATAACTCATTGATTGATTTTCAAGGTCTGGCTGGATGCTGCGACGCAGATATTTTTTTCCTACGGCCTTGGCCTTGGTTCTCTGGTCGCTCTTGGCAGCTACAACCCCTTCCACAACAACGTTTACAAGTGAGCGGCCGTACCCTGATTTGAATTACACTGAATGTGTTCCGTGCTGTCGTGGTTAATTGTGGTGAAAAAGTATCGGAAAAGGGCATGGTTCAACAACATTTATATGTAGAGGTGGAGCCCTGAAATTTGGGTTAGATCGTGAATATTGTGGGTTTACTCTCCAACACACAATCGGTGTGCTGAACTAGTAAGGAAATGGCATGCTTAGTTTGTGTGACAACCCTAACTAATATTGGCTGTGTCAGGTGGTGGCGGGTTTAACGACACATTTATATTTCTCTATTATGGACTCTATTACGGAGTGCCGGTATAGTTGATGGTGGCAGAACAGGTGGGAGAGGTTCAGGTGCGGTTGAGGGAGGCCTTGTCGGAGCTGGGGGGGTCGTGATATTTCGAGCAGAATTTTGCTTAAGCGGAATCAAACATTGGACAGGTTTTTTTTTACTTTGCCTGTCTCGTCTGAGGTGTGCGTGGCCCGTTCAAATTTGTGTTATCCCTGATGCTGTAAGCGAGAAAGAATTGCTCCGCACAAACACCTTGAGACCCATTTTGTGGAGCAACGGCAGCATTGTTCACATTTGACGATTCACTTTGTTGGTGCATTGCGAGCATTTGCTGAGCAGACCGCAAGCTGCTGAGCACAGGAATCTAGAAGGAGCAAAGGCCATCGCAACGAAATCGTGATTACTTGTCACGTGGCGACACAAGATCTTTCATGATTTTGTTTAGTTGTTTTGTAGAGCACGCTCTGCTGTGACGTCATCCGCTCTAGATTCCATCTGGTCATGTGGTGTCTTTTATCTTATTATTCCGCTGTGGATTTAAAAATTGGATACATGCATAATGGTTCCAATATAACCCAAGCGTAACTGTTAACGGGCGTTGGAGGCTGCAGGAGTACGTCGGAAACCGCAATGTTATGATTACGAGGATTACATTAAAGTGTCCGATGACACCTTTCTGTGAGACTTGATTAGCTAACCCATTGGAAAAACTACCATTCACTGTTGCATTTATTTATGAAAGCTTGACAGTTTAATAAGTGTTAAACAAGTGGCTAAAGGAACTGGCCAGGTGGCTCAGTGGTAGAGTGAGCGACCCACAATCGTAAAGTTATGAGTTCAAATCCTGGTTGCAGTTTGACTTAGCCTATTATCCCTGTAGTATCAATAAAATAAGTACCACATTCTGGGTAAGTCATTAGCGGTTGTTCTATGGATACACTCGCCCCCGCCACATCAATGTGGAATTTACACCACCAGCTCGGGGCTGCAAACAGGAGATGACGCACCACAACAAAGTTCATTTGAGCAGGAGATCACTTCAAATTTACGCTAAAGGGCATGGGGCTGCGACAAACAACAATTCTTTGTTTTCCATCGGCAGGGACTCCATCATTGTGTGCTGCATCAACTCGGTCACCAGCGTCTTCGCTGGATTCGTCATCTTCTCCATCGTGGGTTTCATGTCTCACATCACAAAGAAGCCTGTGAAGGAGCTGGCCGCATCGGGTAAACAGACGCAGGGTGCCGCACACAATATTCCTGGATGCCCAGGGCAGAATGCCACGTGGGGCATACTTATTCATGACCATTACCGACACCTACAAAAAAAACAGGCCTCATGTGGAGCCCTCTTTTGTGTGAGGCCTGGAGGCAAATCCCCCCCGCCACTTTTGCCCCCACCGCCTTTGAATGGCCTTGCTGCAAAAAAAGTGTCTTTTTCACAATGTTTCTCTTATGACGGATATTCTCAATCTTTTACAGATTTGATTGTCTCGTTCACGTTTTGGCAAGCGTTCCTCTTTGTTTGTTTGTTTGACAAATGTGTTCAATTTTTCTTCGTCTCGTTTTTGGTGAAAATGTGCCAATTTTTGTGATTGTCATCAGATAGGGCTGCAATCTCTTGAGACACAAACACCACAACATATCTTGGGAAGACAAATATTTCACAATACCACTATATGCGAGAACTACTTTTAATTGCATTGTCTAGAGTGGCATGTTGTTATCATGATTACGCAACTCACAAAAGCGAGGATTTTTCATGTCCCAGGAAGACTGACACATTTTCCAAAATGTCTGCCTCAGCAAAGAGGCTGATCCTGGGAAACCAGAACAGAGGGAAAATAACCAAGCCAACGTGCATCATGTAAATTGTGAATAAGCCGAGTATAGCCGTACTTCTTATTCTACTCACCACGATCTGTCATTCGTGTTATTGTCAATTGTTACAACATAAAGTGGATTATTTTACTCTTTTCCTTTGTGCTTCTCTTTTGCGTGATTAGGTCCAGGCCTTGCCTTCCTGGCTTATCCACAGGCTGTCACCCAACTTCCCATATCGCCTCTCTGGTCGATTCTTTTTTTCTCCATGCTTCTCATGCTTGGACTGGACAGTCAGGTAATTTTTCGGGCTTTTTATCAGGCAATACCTGCCCACTGGGGTGTGCATACATTTGTTCAATGTGTCCTTATTTAATATACAAAAAAATTGTGTTTATTTACCAATTTGTAATTTTTTATAACCCATGCGACTCATGCAAATGAGACTATCCTTGAATTTTATGTTCTTACCGGTTGAACGAAATAAACAAAAAAGTACTATTTGTGATAATGTGTCGACAGCATGGAAGAGTAGACCAACACACCCTGTTGGAGGGACTTTACAGAGTTATTTCTAGTGGACACCCCTTGCTCCAGCATGGGTGCGAGAAAGACATTACAGAGCCGTAAATTAACTTTTTTGACACTGAAAGTGCTGTGAAATTACGTTTCTCCTGCAGTTTTGCACGGTGGAAGGCTTCGTCACAGCCCTATCTGATGAATATCCTCAGTACCTCCGTGGGCATAAGGAAATTTTCATCGCCGTCATTTGCGTTATCTCCTACATCATCGGACTCGCCAACATCACACAGGTTAAGTGCGATGCTATTTTGTTGTATTTTTTTTACAATTTAAATCCGTTTGCGCTATCGGTGTCATGATAAAAAGCAACGTTTCCATTTAGGACTTTCTCAGAGTACTAATACATCACCCTGTGTGGTAGAGAACAGCCCACGAAAAGTGCATGCCACAACATTCATCTGACAACCATTGCAAAGAGGAATTCACCCAAAATAACTAACAAAAAAATCTACTTTAATACCATTTAACTTGATGTATTGATTGGTGATTAAGATCATCAACAATTATGTGTGGCTGAAACCCAAATTCAAGCCTAGAATCATCTGAACAGTGCCGACTAGATGCTCAGTTTCCAAATAACAAAAATAAAGAAGCAAGCAAATTCTACTTCTACACCTTCACATATCCGTCCCTTCACGTAAAAAAAATACAGGAAGTTATTTTTACACACCTCATCAGCCGCACGGCCTTCTGGGAGTGCATAATGTCAGCAGCACAAACACACTGTGGACCAGTTTCGACATTCAGTGTCTCATTTAAAAGTAAGCCCTGCTCTGTATTATTTAAATGTCATACTCGATAAATATGTCAGCGATGTTGTGGCTTTTAGTTGGTAAATTTAGCAGTACATTGTTCTTCATGGGTGACATAGACCAGCGTTAACACAATGCAGTGAATTTTGTATTATCTCGAAAAAGTTGACAATTTGCTTTCATGTATTGTGCTTGTTAATCCAGGAAAGCCTCAGTGAGTCTCATGACTCTTTTTCAGGAGGGTCCTGCCAAGTTTTCGCACTGCCAAGATTTCGCTGCGGCGATTCAAACTGAGGAATTTGGGGCGCAATCTGTCAATGATTAGGACTGTGACACCGGCACACAATAGCCCACAAATCATGTCACGTGGTTTTTTAAGCGCCCACCGTGAAGCAGACGGCACGCGTGTTTTCAGCGGTTAATACGCACTGCAGTATTAACCGGGGTGGCCGCCGGGCTAGGAGGCTTGAACCTCTCGCAGCAAGCCACGAACGCGTCACCGCTGGCCTGTGTCGCCACCCTGAAATGACGTGAATTTGCTTTGACTGCCTGCCGATCCACAGGGCGGGCTGTATGTCTTCAAGATGTTTGACTATTACTCGGCAAGTGGGATGAGCCTGCTCTTCCTTGTCTTCTTTGAAACGATAGCCATATCTTGGTGTTACGGTACGTTGTTTAAACATTTGAATCTTTGTTTAGTGGCTTTTGAGAAAGAACACTGTGGCGCAGTAGAGCTCTCGTTTTAATAGATGTTCATAACTTTTATTTCGCGTTGGAATGGTATTATGTTGAACGTAGCCTGCCGTACTCATTGTAGGTGCAGGGGAAGGACAGCCATCTAAGCACAAAAGCAGGAATTCCATGCACTCTTGTTTTCGCAAATTCTTATGACGTCACTCAATTTAATAACTCTACAGTATTAATCATCATCTATTACACCTTCAAGAGTGCTGTTTGTTGCTGGCAAGTTGACATCTTGCGCCTTTACTAGGCAACCGTAATTTAAAATAAAACATGCACGTGAAAATAAACTGCCTATAAGAAAAATAAGATAAACCGGTTGAATATTGAAAAATTACGATGTGTCATCACACTTACACCGTAGTTGAATGTTTTTTTGTAAGATGGCGTTGCATTTGTCTCCTCGCGACAAAACATTTTCACCTACGTTAATAAATTCTAGATTTGAAGTTTTCGTGACTGCAATGATCCATGCGCTTTGGTTCTTTCGGTAAAGTCACGTAGGTGAAAATAAAATGAAATAAAAATGAAAACAACTAAATTAAATCACGACGTTTCGGAGGCAACACAAGCCTCTGTCATCAGGTTGGAACTGTCACAGCAAAATTACTCACTACATTAATTTTGATCACTACAGTAATTTTGCTGTGGCAGTTTCACCTGATGACGGAGGCTTGTGTTACGTTAATAAACATTGCTGCTCAAGCGAACACAACAGTGACAGGCGAAAACACTTTCATCTCACGAGCATGCGTGAATCTTTTTTCAGGTGTTGACAGGTTCAACGACAACATTTGCGAGATGATTGGGCACAAGGTCCACAAATGGTGGAATATTTGCTGGGTCTTCTTCACTCCACTCGTGGTCGTGGTGAGGATATGAGGGTTAATTGCAATGCAGAACATGGAATTTATTTTCTGTCCATTAAGCACACAGAAGCATAGCAACTTAGAATGTGTTTTTTCCAATATCAAATCATTATTTTACACATCATGCCGCAGCACGACATTGCATATCTGACCACCACACATCTGCCCTGACCAATTAACCGCCCACACTCAGTGCAATATTCTTACATGGTGTAGCCATTATTATCTACGTTTTCACAAATCTAACCTTTTCACACGCTGTAATGTATTCTTAATCTCGTGTACATGTGCTCACTCCTAGAGTACATTTTTGTCCAGTAAACTCTCTATGCACGGTTTCTGTAACTGTCTTTTTTTCTTTGGATGTTCAGATATCTGACCTTGTCACAGTACCCAAGAATCAGATATGCAATGTTCTGCTGTACAATTAATGCCGCACAACTCCAAACTGTATGACTTGATTCCAAAGTATAGAAGAATTGTTCAAAATATATTATCGTCATCGACATTATTTATAATAACATTTAATAATACAGGTTTCAATGTGCAAGCTCCATAAACCCCACCATTTTACGTTTTATATTCCATGAACCAGTCATCCGTTTGCAGATAAAACAGTACATTGAATATATAACCCCTGTTAATTAATATAGTACAAGTAATGAATGCAAGAGGTATATAAAACATATACAGTATGCTGAACATCAACAAGTAAAATAGGGAAGACCAATTTATTTTCTTTCTACGTGACTTTACCGAAAGAACCAAATAGTAATTCCTGCAGTCACGAAAGCTTCAAATCAAGGAAGGCCAAGTTTTTCTGGCTCACCGACGTGTTGTTCAGAGTTGAAATAATATCTGACGTTTAGTCGCACATCACGCTGAACGTCCAGCACATGGAACGTCGGACATCCGCGCTGAGAAACACGCAGTGCGACCCGAAAACACATCGGAGGGCGAGAACATCGCAACCGCGGAAAACCTAAACAGTTGCACAATTATTTTGGGATTTAAAACAAAATCAAATACTGCTTAAAAGATTGACCGATGCATTTTCACAAGTAAACATGTTTGCCGCAGTCCAGTTTTAAAGGCTGCCAAGTGGTTTGCTTTTTTCTCATTTCCCAGGGAGGGGCTTTCCATGAGCTTAAGGCTCGACGGAGAGCATCATGATGCACTGTCACGGTCGGTTGTGGGACATAAAATAGCAACATTAAAAATGGACAAGGGTCAAATAAACACGACTCGGAGAGCTGTTGGCTATAACATCTGGCGACGAAGCAGAATGTATTTGACATACCGTGAGGCTGAGAAAGTCGATGCAGCGAATACTGCTGGAAAACTCTGGATTGTGTTTCGTTTTGTTCCGTTGTGGTGGAACAACTCTGTTGTCTAATCTTGACGTTATTATTTTATTCACGATCGGAATTAGATTGAAAGACAAAATAGAGAACGCAGGCAGGCTAGAGACTTCGTTAAAAACGTTCAGGAGAGAGTTAAGTGGGCTTGGGCCAGGTTACACCGCTAAAACAAATGATGGGCAGTGTTCAACAACAGCGAGGAAAGGAACGCATTCCAAGAGCACATCTACAGAGGAGATGGAGCAATGGAATCAGCTCATGTGTAGAAGCTATGCGAATTGTTATTTGGCAGAAGCGTGAGAGATAGCGATAGAATGTGGAGGAGGTCTACATCCCACATTGGATTGATTACAGCTGATAATGATGATGATTATTCATATTATATCACTCACATTGCAAAATAGCAGCACATTCTGTCCCTTTTAAACACTTTGTTTACATCGAACTTGATCTAGTCGTTGTGTACAATACCCATGTTTTCCTCCATTGCATCTTATCATCAGGAAGAATGTTGGCATCCATAAATAAAGCACAATACAGAAAACCACCACAGCTTGGGTGTTCCACAAGTCTGAGCCGTGAACCTCGTCACGGTGTTTACTCTGCACATTCCTCCGTGGCGGAACACTGACAGCAGTGTTGCTGTTTATGAAGAAACAAACACTGTCCCCTTTACAAATGGCATCTTGTGGGTCCCCATTTGCCCTGTCTGCAAGTGCAGGTGGTGGTGGTGGTGATGGGGCATTTTAAAGGGTTTGACCTTTGTAAACAAAGAGTCTTTCCAAGAAACACTTTGTTTTTCTTGCAGGGAATGACAATGCGGCCTCTCCCTCCTAAGTGGCGCATTTGGTTGTTGATCGATGAACGTGGTGAGCCGAGCCGTTTTCTAGCAAGAACCATTGTTTTTGGTTCCTTGGTATGAAATCAATTCCAAACCGCCCTCGGAAATTTAGAAATTGTCAGTAACTGATAGGATAAATAAAATACTGTGTAATAAATAGGTTTCTAAAAAATAACCGAATTTTTTTTGGGTTAGATCGCGTAAATATGATTTTAGTGTTAAACCCGCCACCACCTGACACGGCCAATTAGTAAGATTTGTCACGTGAACAAAACGTGCCAATCCGTTACTCGTGCAGCACACCGGTGTGTTGGAGGGTAAACCCACAACATTTACACCGAGTAGCATAAATGGGTACACGAGTCAGTCAATCGGCAGGTCGTCGCTTGTGGTGGAGTAAAGCGTGGGTACTCCCACCGTCTTTCGAGACGTCTGACTAGAATGGAAGAGCATGCCAAATATTCTATATTTGAAGTTTTCGTGACTGCAAGGATCCATATTCTTGGTTCTTTCGGCAAAGTCATGTAGGCAAAGAAAATATTTTTTTTTTAAATAAGTTATTTTTTTCTTTGCCTACGTGACTTTACCGAAAGAACCAAGAATATGAATATGCCAAATATTCTTAAGAGGGACTCTCTGGAGCCTCTGTAGCGGACGGCCCTTCTGCCAGGAGTGATGTAAGCGACACATTCCAGGGCTGCACCCTTTTATTTTTTGTTACCTTACCTCGGACTATTATTTATTTAGGTTTGAGATAGGCCCTCTCGATGGACAACCCCATTAATTTGTGGTCATTAAGTGGTCGGAAGCCGAAGCGAGAAGCGGGGGTCACCGCGGGGTCATCGCAACAAACGCGACCGTCTCTCGCGAGATGAATCGTTGAGAAATTGAATTTTATTCTCCACCGCTCTCTTAACCGCGCCGTATGCCGGGTGCCACTGCAGGGCGTGTTCATGTTCAGCGTCGTGGAGATGACTCCGCTGACGTTGGGCAGCTACACGTACCCGATGTGGGGTCAGGGCATGGGTTGGTTCATGGCGTTGTCGTCCATGCTCCTCATCCCTGGATACATGGTCTACCTCTTCTTGATCAGCAAGGGAACTCTGCGACAGGTACTAAAGCGATGTCCACACCGCAGTTCATCGTTGTAGCTGGTCGTAGTCAAGAGCTATTAAGCCATATGAATCGCTGAACAATATTGAAGTCATCATGGGACCTCCTTCGCCAGTACCAAAATATACTAATAGGGGTTTTCCCCTTTTTTCTGGCAACAAAACTGACACCTTTTGCAAGGAATCATGTTTACATTAACCACAATACTTGCAGTCAAATGCAAACAAAAAACAATACTCTGATCTTTTTTTTGCATTCGACTGCAAATATTTTGTGTTAACGTAAACATGATTCCTTGCAAAATGTGTGAGTTTTGTTGCCAGAAAAAAGGGGAAACCCCTATTAGAATATTGAAGTCGTTACAGGCCGCACGTGGACACCGATGAACATACCCAGCATGATGCGGGGAGAACGCTTGACTCACGTTGCGATACAGACGTTTGTCTATGTTGTACAAGTGTGTGGGCACGCGTGGTGTCTCCCACCTGACGCAGTGAGTGCCGATTCAAATTAAGAGATTAGCACGGTTGGCTGCTTAGTGCGAAAGGAGTTCAACGCAAATTTTGATTTAAAGCTTTCGTGACTGCAGGGATTCATATTCTTGGTTCTTTCGGTAAAGTCACCACGTAGAAGGGAAATAGAAGGGAAATAAGAAAATAATATACATATATTTACGTGAGTTAATAATATAAATATATTTATATTATTTTAATAAAATAATATAAATATATTAATATTATTTTATTATTTCCCTTCTACGTGACTTTACCGAAAGAACCAAGAATATGAGTTCAACGTACATGCATGATGATCGGCATTTACAATCATCATGTACGTGCACCGTTAGAAACTACATTTTTTTTGTTTGAGTGGAGATGTTTGGTGGGTATGGAAAGGTGGGCATTAGTCGGTTATGAGGCACGGGTCTGACTAAAACCCTGCCTTACGTGGTCACTTACCACCGAATACCGACAACGGGTAGAAAATGCGCCTTCTCTTTCCATACAGGAAAGTGCCACATTTCACGTGTGCGCAGATTGTCAAATGTTTCACACATGTGGCTTTACGTGAGCCATACAGGCGTATATGTTAAGCGATATGTATTATTAAATGTACTTATTAAAAAACAATTATTGTAGTAACAATATACAATGCATTGTCAAGCCATTGCTGGCTGAAGCCCCCCCCCCCCCCCCCCATCATATAAATAATTGGGGTGGCTTGACCATACCTCACCATGCTGGTCAATGCAGGTTGGGGATTGTGGGTGGTGGCAAGGGCCAGACATGTTCATGTATCGCTCACAATGTAAGTTAGCTACTGGTGCAGGAATCGAACTCGTTTTCTCAGATTCAGAACAACGCCGCACTGACCACTGTGTCGCAGTTTCTTCCCCTGTATTGCAACGTGTACTGCCTTTAATATTCTCTCGTTTCCTTCGTTTGGCAGCGATGGCACCAAATGTCCAGAGTTCAAGTCACCAAGCGCCAAGACAATGGAGGAGAATGCTATGAAAATGAAGTCACGTTCTGAGCGCTCGTCAACACATTTATTGATATACGTTCAAAATTTGATGTGCATTTGGTTCAGACCGAGAATGTGGTCTCCTTTCATTGTGTTGTATAACTGAAGCCCTTGTGATGTGTACTATGTTTGAGCATAGAGCTTCTCAATTCAGTATGCACAGTGTGTTTTGGCAAGAGGCAGCATTTAATTTACAAAATATACTGAAGAAGCAATGTTAGCCCCTGTAATACCCCCCAGGCGAAATTGAATTGTAGCCATGGGTAGCATAAGCAATATTAAAAAATGCACCACGTTCCTCATCAACACTGCCTTATGAAGGAAATATGCTAGAGTAGAGCTGGACTATCACATTATTTAAGGCATACATTACTTTACTGATCATTGGTAAAATTTCTTAACTAATTGGATAACACGAAAACATTTGAGGTGGTGTGTCACGATGGGGGCGTGGCTTCCAGGGGGTTTCCTGCTTTCACAAGCAGGATGTGGAGGGTGACCAGCGTTTTTAAAAGTGCCCAAGTAATCGATGACAAAATAGTAGTCAACTTATTTTTTAATCCGATTAAACTGTCCCAGCTCTATGCCATTGTAAGCTATAATTCCACCAATGGCATGTTAGATTGCGATGTACTTTTCTGGTAGAATGCTGTGTTAATAACAAAGGTAAAGTAACGAACACTTTTTTTCCTTTGTGCTTGTGCACCGCTGCAAAGCAGTCAGTGTATTTAATTTTCCCATTCTCCTAATACCAACACGAGGAATTTTGGCTATCATCCCCTAGCAGAACCCTCCTTTAAATTAGTCTTGAGATTCCATGATAGTGGGATAAACAAATCCATTATGATTAACGGCAAATGTGAGTGATCTGATTCCAGTGCCCACAACCAATTCAATGTCAATTTGATGGTTCATATTGCCTGTGATAGTCTGTATTACTGCAGTAACTTTAGCAATATAAAATTTGACTAGTTCTATATATTCCATATTTTAATATAAATTATTAAGAAAATTGTATTAGCAAGATGTATAGTTTCTTTAAATGCATATTTATGCCAGTGATAGCTATTGGAATGTATTGTACCTGACTTTGAATGTATATGACAAATTTGTGACGTTCAAATCTCCGTGTTACTCGGCCACCATCGATTACCAAGTACAATTAACTGACACGTGCAGTAGTGGAAAATTACAGGGTGCATCATGCACTGTCAGTCGTGGCACTTTAATGAATGTTTACGCGGATTCAAATAATATTCAATTCTGGCCTGGAATTAACCGGGCAGGGAAGTGTTGTATCGATGATGAGTTACGTGTGACCTACGAACAAAATAGAACATTTTCAACATGCTATGGGGTTTTTAGAAATATTTAAACTCTCTTTCCATTGCTACTTTTGTGTTTTTAATGAGTTGAGACCTGCTGCTTCAGCGGTAAAGCGAGTGGCTCACATTTGGAAGGTTCCGGATTCAAATCCTGGTTGGAGCTTGACTCAGCCCCATCGTTCCCCTCGCTGGGGTCAATAAAATAAGTAAAACAAATTTTTGGGAGGGGGGGGGTCAACAGTGTTTGTGCTATGGATATACTTGCCCTGGTCATATGAATGTGGAATTTCCACCACTGCTTCAGGGCTGTCAATGGGAGATGAGCACCAATCCAATGCTCATTTGAGCAGGACATCACGGAGACTGTTTTGAGAGGCAATATGTTTGTAAACTGAAAGGTTAATCTCGGGAACAACCTCATTTTACTTTTTTGTAATCAGTGCCGGATTAAGCTAGTACGGGGCCTGTAGCATATGTTATAAAGGGGCCCTAAAAAGACGTAAATATTAAAACACAAATGTTTTACTTGTATAGTAAAGCAATTGTATTTTTTCATTTGCCATACAGCCAGATAATACGATAAATCGCTAACCTTAAACACCCAGTCGTTCATAAAAGTTGAAGGCAGTATAGTACTATAGTAATAGAGCAAGTGCAGAATCACTAAACTGGAATTGATAGCTTGAAAGCATTTAGCGCGGGGCCCTTGAAAGTGCGTGGCCCGTAGCTACTACATATGTAGCTACTACATGTGTAGTAGCTACTACTGTGTTCTACACACACGGTCCCCTGGACGAGGGCCAGCACACGCCATGGGTGGGTCTGGTGGGGAGGGCATTTGACCATTCTTCACCATCGCCGGTCCACTCCAGTGCAAGTTGATGATGGGGGCAGTGCATTTGGCAAACTGTAATTCTTCCCACGACACTTATGTAGTTTAACACGTAGGCTTTCGCGACCAATATCATCCATAAATTTTTTTTTGGGGGGGGGGGGTTAGATCTCGTAAATATATAAATGTGTCGTTAAACCCATCACCAACACCACCCGACACAGCCAATTAGTAAGTATTGTGAATGTTGTGGGTTTACTCTCCAACACACCGGTGTGCTGTACGAGTAACGAATTGGCACGTTCTGTTGACGTAACACACCTTACTAATTGGCTGTGTCGGGTGGTGGCGGGTTTAACGACACATTTCTATATTTACGCGATCTAACCCGAACAAAACCTGCATTATGCACACTCGTGAAATTGCAATGATACATTTCGTCCGAGAGATGGTAGCCTCGCCCTTGTGTTATTTAAGTAGTAACCCACTAAAAAAAAACTCACGGAACGCCTCTCTTTTGAACGTCATCCACCCTCCACCCCCTCTGTGCGTAACGAAATCACGGCGATGCGCACTCAATTGAACCGTCCGGCGTAAAAACCTGGGAGTGAACCATTTAAAGAACTGAGAAAGTTTGCCTCGGAATTTGGGTAAGACACATCTCCATAACAAGTCTCCGTCCGTGCGCTTGAAGGTCATAACCATGTGAGTATGTTAAGGCTTCTTCTTGTGTTACTGTTATTAGCCACTTGTGTTACTGTTAGAGACAGCCCGCGTGTGTTTGGACTGGCTTCATGCTTTATGTCGAGGCAATAGGCGTTTCGTTTAACCCATTTTGCTTTTAGCATTTGTGTCCGCTGCTTTCGTGTGTGTATATACAAAATACAACGGATACATTTTGAGGAAACAACGTTTAATTCCCAAGCCTCGTCGCATGTCCCCTTACAAACCAATGTGAATAAACTCATTTGAACGCACTCCTCTGTAAGATATGGAGCTTTCACGATTTTCGATCAGCTGTTGAGAAGTTAAAGAGTCATTAGAAATCAGTGACATATCTCTGAATGTATCACCCCTGCGTATAGCACGCGCACCATAGCTAGGACACTTGGAATAAAGTGATAAATACATGTGAACGTCAATACATGGTGTTGCCAATGTGATTGTTTGCAAATGCTATTCGGATTACTGCAGAATACACATTATCTGGTCATTCTTCTTTACATTCATCAAATGTAAACTGCCGAACTTGTCGTATCTGGCTGGCTTTTGCTTGGTCTGATACATTACAAACAATATTGAGTCACATTCTTCGTTGAAATGTGTCTTTATCGGGTGGAGTGGTGGCACAGTGGTTAGCGCACTGCACTATGAACTAAGCCACATGAGCGCGATACCCAGCACACAGCTAGCTTGAGTGATATCCGAACCAGTCCTGGGATCGATCTCCCTCTCCCTTCATCAACACACGCTGACAAGTGTGGTGAAAGTATGATTTAAAGAAAAGACAATCTAAGACGTCATTCAAGTTCCACATGTTATTATGGACTAGGCTAAGACTATGACTAAAATGCAGAGGTTTCAATTTCAAAGCTGTAAATGATGAGAAAAGCCATCACTAAAGAAGAGGCAGACTTGGCAGCAGTAAGCATCGGTGACTGCCGTACTGATGAGCACTCACAAGAACAAAACTGCTCGACAGTTGTCTCCGTGTCCCACGGCTGCCTGTTGATTACGAACATTTGCTCGAACCATTGATGGTAGCCACATCATAGGACCTCCTTTGCCAGTACCAAAATATGATCATAGGTTTTTCCCCTTTTTTCTGGCAACAAAACAGGCGTTGAGATGTTAAAACACCAAACTGAAACCTTTTACAAGGAATCATGTCTGCATTAACCACAATGCTTGTGGTCAGAATGCAAACAAAAAACATACTCTGATAATATATGCATTGTCTTTGAAACTGATTGGTCTACGCCTTTTGACGTCCTCTGGTCTAACACCGTTTGAGACGAGGCTCAAAAGAAAGCTGTCTCTGGTGTGGACCAATCAGTTTCAAAGACAATGCATATATTATCAGAGTATTTTTTTGTTTGCATTTTGACCACAAGTATTGTGGTTAATGCAGACACGATTCCTCGTAAAAAGGTTTCAGTTTGGTGTTTTAACATCTTAACACCTGTTTTGTTGCCATAAAAAAGGGGAAAAACCTATAATCATTTTAGACAAGATGACCAACAGTGCAGTTCATCATGGAACCAGTGTTTTTTTTTCTGCATAACGGTTGAGAGGCGGAGAGCTTTTTTTTGGCACACAACGGTGCGAGCTTTGCGCGTCTCGGCGAACACAAACGGTGAATGACATTGACACCGCTCGACCGTCAGGCGCGGTTGGGTTCGCTTCGAGGTGCTGCTGGCAGTCGCCTCCCTGTCGCTCCTTCTCGTGTGCGCCTCCCCTCGACCACCGGCCGCGGACGATGACAACGATGATGGCGACGACCTGCCCGAGGTGTCCACACAACCGCAAGTCGTGAACAACTTTCACATGGAAGGTACCGGCATCCCCCCTTCCACGCCCGCCCTACTTTGAGAGTAACCTAAAGAAAGCGAATTCCACGACAGCTCAGTGTTGAGTGTCCTTAAGAAAGTTTGGGGACAGGGTGAACCCGGGTGGCTCAGGAGGTCAGAGCTCTTGAGGCCGGCAACAGGTGAGAACCCCGAGATTGAATCCGGGATTAAGCGACCCGTGATTACAATGGGGTGCTAAAGGGTACGTTGGGCGGTCACTAATACCACACACCGTCGGTAGAATCTTGATTTGAAGCTTTCGTGACTAGCTACGTGACATTACCGAAAGAACCAAAGAGTACCATCGGTAGAATTTAAATGAGGTTTTTTTCTCACTTCATTTGGCTTATTTCAGTTCTTAGATGTGAGAGCATTGACACGTGACGGACACGTGTTGCTGGGAATATAAAAGTTGTGCTCGTTTTGAAGCGACTTTGTAAACTCTATGATATTATTATTATGTACGCCGATCTGTAGGGTTCTATATTTACATTTGAAATATGCCATCAATGATGCAGAAATCACAAATTAAAATATAATTTGGAAGATATAATTTATATTTATTTACATGTATAATTTATACACTTAAAGATATATGTTTTGAGCTTGTGAGCTTCACAAAGTAGCCGTGTAACTACAGCATTGGGCACTGGATCATATCGCCCCATCATTTCATCATTGAGATGCAGCGTTGTTAATGTGGACTCTTTAAATGGTATTAACATGTTCCCACTGAAAAAAAATCCACATCGGGGAAATTATCTTTCTTAAGAACTGTAAATGTTTTCGCTGTTGTTGCTGAGCGTGTGCAATGCGACGTTTGATCTCTCCTCCACACAGCCCTTCCAACAGAGTTCAACACTTTTGACATTGACGGTGACGGGAAAATAACATTGCTTGAGCTCTCAAATGTGACGGAGACGAGCGAAGACGCTGCCATCAAGCCGTTTGAGAGTGCGGACGTCGATGGTAAGGAAGATAGCTGTTGTGCCAGCAGTTGAACTGCAACGTTGCTCCAGCTAGAGCAGGAGTCAGGAACCTTTTTGACTGGGAGAGCCATAAAAGCCAAATATTTCTAAGTATATTTCATTGAGAGCCATATAGTATTTTTAACGTGTACTAAATTAAATATGTCTTACTTTTAATGCGACTTCTGGTGCTGCATGGTTTTGCTGATGGCCTTGTAGTCTGGTTCATACGTGGTGAGGTTGAGCTTCATGCAGGCGTGACCCGTGAAATTTATCTTCAAAACTAATTTCTGTTTACTTTAAAATGACACAGTATTATTAAGTAATATCACAAGTATTTTAAAATCAGTTCCAAACTGATTTTTTTTTTCAACTCAAAATTGTTTGGGAGCCATATGCCGTCACTGGAAGAGCCATATATGGCTCGCGAGCCATAGGTTCCCGACCATTGAGCTAGAGGCTTATATAACAAAAAAATGTTTGAGCCCAATGACAACGATCCGAACATCTGTTCACTGGAGAGAGAAAAAAAAAATACTTGAGAAAAACCCTGAGTGATGTGTCAAGATTGGTTAACAACACGTTAGTTAATTTAACGATTATGTAAGTGTTTAACTTTGTATTGAGGGATGCGGTGGCTCAGCGGTTAGCGCACTACACTGTGAACCCGATGAACTGAATTGGATTTTCCGGCCACACCTAACGTCAGCGGTGAGTGGTATCTACCCTGGTCCTGGGCCTCCCACTTCACATGGACTGTCATGGTGAAGTATAGTCAAACAATCCTCCCCCCCCATAACCTGACACATTATAGGGATACTTTCGCCCAGCAATGGAGTCACAAGTGCTATGAATCATCATTATTATTTATAAATGAAACATATATAACATTCTTTTCTTCATAAAACTTCAAAGGCCGTAGCATTGTATTTTAATAATTTACTGCGCATTCTCCAGTGTTCTTCAAATGAAAACTGCATATGCTGTGTTTTTTTTCTTTTTTAGGGAATGATGCTCTTTCCAAAACAGAATTTTTGGAAGCGCCTTGGGTTTTTCACGTACCGGAGGACATTGCCAACCCTGTTAAAGAAGATGAACAGGGACACTTAGTCATTGAAAAAGTTGCCGATGGGGAAAAAGTTTCTGTGGAAGAATAACGCATGTTTTTGACTCCAGTGTTCTTGTTGAGTGCAACACTGGTGGGGTAGTTTTTTTTTTACTTACTGCCAGTTACAAAAAAACGCACACCTATGTTATCTAAACACATTTATGCATCATGTATAGCCGTGTGTATCACTGACCCTATGCCTTGACAGGCACATCTGCTATTGGAAATAAAATAACTTTAAATAAAGCAAACCAATGGTGTTTTACCTAAAGGTTTCCAAGCATAATTCGTGCTACAAAGGGCTTCCTTAATTGGCTTAATTTCCCCATTTTCATACAGCCTGCAGTTGTATTTTAACGATTATAATATAGAAACGTTTATGGTTAGGTAACATAGTTACACATGATTAAAACACATTGTTCTACCTGATTAGGGCTGAACTTCAAACTATCTTCAAAACAATACTTTATTGGAGTGTCCTTTATCGATTATATGATCTTTATTAGAAGGGAATTCTTTATGTGTTGAGTAAAGCTGTACGTTTTTTGTGTAGCTATCGGCCTAACAATGTTAGCTAACATATCGTGTTAAAGAACAGTAACCATTAATGCCACAGATTGGCTTTAACAACATTTTATTAAAGCCCTTTACATAAACAAAGAAAGGAAGTGAAGTGTCATTTAACATCAACTTTGTTACACATTTCCAGAGAGTGCTTGAATGACGTCACGTGGAATATGACTCCCAACGTCTGGCATTTAGATCTTGGAGAAACTGAAATACAAGATGAGTAGTGAAAGAATATGATTTAAAAGAGCACTTTTAACCTATTACATTTGAAAATATATCCTGTAAGAGTATATTATTTACCGTATAATACCTATGATGTTTTCAATATCACTTTTTATTCAATGAATCTGTCATCCGTAACTTTATTTGCCCAAAAAAATACATTTTAAATCACTGACTCGATACGGAGGACGAAGCCACGTGTCTGCCGTTTATTAGGCTATTGGGGAGTTTTTTGTTACACATCTGGTTTGCACAGCTCATGGAATATCCCAGAAATATTCACCGCTGCGATCACTGACTTTAGTCCAACATCTTTCACGCACCACCTCACCCCACGACTCTCTTGCCAAATAAGGACGCAGGGTTAAAAGCGACACTTCATTTCACAACCGTTTTTGCTTGAAATTGCCCATATGTCTGCTCGTCACCATCACCAACTTTTTCCCCCTCTCCCAGATTTACTTGTGCAAGGCAATGCACAATTCAGTGGCACTAATACAAATCAGGTGTTTTTGCTGGTATGCAGAATTTACCATCGGAGGGTAATTGTTCCAAACATCTGCAACTCATTTTGTTGCAAAGGGAACACTAAAAATGCGGGCTTGTGTCACATTTGGACATAACGCGGTGAGACACGGCCATTACTTCACAGGAATGCAGGAAGGAAATGTCAGCATTCAATACGTCATGTGCCTCTAAAAGCAGACTTTAAAATTTGTTTACAAAAAAACATCAGGAAAAATCCTTACCAGGATCTCTGCATGAAGTATCGGGTTGCCACTTAAACAGCATTTAATGTGGGGTCTGTTTATTGTTTATGGTTTGTGTTTATGGCTTATGTTTATGGTTTCCCCCCCCCCAAAAAAACCTTGTCCCCCATTACAAATAAATAAGTGATAAATGCGAATTGTTATGGCTTTTAGAGAGAGAAAAAACATAGCTCAACGCATTCTATTAATGAACCACAGTCAATTGTAGTAATTATGCACCAGCTAAAATGCGACAGTGCAACGTCACGTATCCAATCGTCACATATCCGTCCTGGCAAAATAAACAGCCGACAAACCGCAGCAGTATTTATACACGGTGCAATTGTAATCTTCTATAAATGTTCACAAATATGATCTTTTCACTTGCAGTATTGTGTTCTTAAACTCATGTAGATTCATATTCTTAGGTTTTTTGGGTAAAGTCACGTAGGTAAAAAATTAAAATTAATAAAAGTTCAATAAATAAATAAATAAAAATGCCTATTTCATTTTATTTTTATTTTACTTTATTAATTTAAATTTTTTACCTACGTGACTTTACCGAAAAAACCTAAGAATATGAATCCTTGCAGTCACGAAAGCTTCAAATCTAGAATCATGTAGATTCGCTTATAAGCACATTCGTTTCCCACGTTGAAAGCAGTTTGTGCTTTATCCTTGTCAAATAACGTTTTTTTCTTCATGGTGTCATTCATTATCTTTAGATGTTCACGTATATAACCTTTTCACATATCCGCCTACATTGTCCTTCACACCAGGATGTGCGACGTTGCACCGGGCCGTGTTCTTTTGCTACATCTGGCGGTGCCGCCGAATGCGACGTCTCGCGGGGTGAGACGTCGCGGCAGCGATGTGAGCAGTGGGGGAATCTCTCGGTGTGGTGTCTGGGAAGCGAACGACTCCCGATTTGGTCAGAGGTCACCCCCCCCATTGTACCACCGCCCCCACTCAGAGGTAGCTCTTCAGGGTGGCTGTGGGGATGCACCCAAGTCCAAAGTAAAGGTGGTGGTTATGGCCAAAAGCCGTCATTGATTTCACCACACCTCGCCACCTATCAGATGCCATGGCCATGAGGCCAATTGCATCCTACAGGGGTTGCCAAACTTCCCCAACTCACAACTCACTGGAGTAGTCAAATTACTATGTGGTGACCCATGCCCAGTGAGACAGTGCGTGTAGAGGCTGGTGACATCTTAAGTCAGAGGGAGAGGCACAAGTACAAACCCTTGCCAAGGACGGAGGGGCGGGTGATCTTACACATTCTGCAAGTTATGTTAGCAACAAAGGTGTGGGTAACAGAGGAGCCTACCTTTGTATGAAGGTGTTAAGAGTACAGCTCACATGGTGATGGGCGCCATGCTAGCGAGGTAACTAGCTCGCTTCGTATACAGGAGGTCGTGGGTTTGATCTTGACCCTGACGCCTGCAGTCTATTTGGAGTTTGCGTGTTCTCCCCGTGGTCGTAGGGATTTTTCTCCGGGTCCTCTGGTTTTTCCCTCCACATTTATAAACGTGCAGTTAGAGTATTTGGCTGCTATAAATTTCCACATGATAAGCCACTTCGTTGAGCTATCATTTGTGGCCAGGTCTCTTCTGAAAAAGAGCTGTATACCTCAATAGGCCTGAGCTATATAGCTGAGTGGGCCTGATCTGTATAGCTTAAACTATGAAACGATTTATTTTCGAGTATCTATCGGCCTAACAATGTTAGCTGACATCTCATGTTGAAAGAACAGTAACTCTTAATATCCATTGATCGGCCTTAACGACATTTTATTAAATCCCTTACCATTAACAAAGAGAGGAAGTGATGTGTCATTTAACATCAACTTTGTTACACATTTCCAGAGAGTGCTTGAATTACGTCACGTGGAATATGACTCCCAACGTCTGGCATTTAGAGAAACTGAAATACAAGATGAGTAGCAGAATAAAAATAAATAGTTTCGTATTTTAAAATACAGTTGGGCAAACAGACCCCGAGGTACACACACAGGGAGACACAACTGATGCCACAACACACCTGGCGTTACATTTTGCCTTAGTTTGTCACTAAAGTCAATACGTTTCAAATGGAATCAGCGGCTGATCTCTGAGTTATGCTCCCTAACCATCGCACGCGGTGAGTTTTACACGGAGGGGGTGAATGTGAGTGGCCACCATCTCCATGGTATGAGGTGACCTCAGTGGTGACCCCCCCCCCCCCGACACCACCAATCACACACACCGTTTATTCAGGAGAAGCCTCAATGCCCCTCGTCAATACCTTAGCCAATTCTACACGAAACAAAATACTACTTTTAAAAAAAATATTTGGCACGACATCCCAATTCAGCATTCTCCTGAAAAAAGTATTGAGATGCAATTTCATGTTTTTAGAATTGGAAAATAAAATGTTAGGTGTTGCAACGATTCAGCCCTCGAGCGATTCAACGAATTGTGAAGATTCGATTTAAAATTCACCGGTCAATTTTTCAATCTCATTTGTACTGTGTTTTTATTTGTTCTGTCTCATTTTTCAACGGTTGTATTACAGTTTCGTATTTTAATATACAATTGGGCATATACTCAATATATGTTCTCACACACATGATTCAGTGCATGTACCATGAGCCTTTGAATCGTACGTATCCAATGTAAGAACATATGCATGCATCATTCTTAAAATAAAACAATCGGCAATAAAGAATGATATATTGTTTTTATTGTCTGACCATGTTGTTTTGGTGCAATAATGCATCAGTGAAATGGATCTCTGCTGACTTCAACGTTCAGCCACCTGTCCCATATTCCTCCTCAACTCCCCACGACTCCCATCATCAACCCAGCACGAGGTGGGCACACATCTGGCTCTACTTGGTACGCGGTTGATTTACTTACAATTGAGCCTCTCGAAACAAAAAAAAGTTTTTGGCATTCGAGCACATGTGTCTGAGACGGATGCTCGAAACTTTAGTGCAAGACACGGAGAAGCGATGTGGACGTCCGCAAAATAACGTGGCAGGTGAGTGTTGTCGACATGATGAGGCACTGGGTGGGATACGTGTGCAGGATGGGGGAAGGCTAGTTCCCAAGACATAGTCCTTGGGGCCGTCCATAAATGACGTCACGCGATTTTAGGCGATTTTTGACCCCCCCCCCCCCACCTTCGTCACACGGCGTCACAAAAAGTCAGACCCCCCCCTCAAATATGACGTCACAAAGCTCTGCCCCCCCCAAAAAAAAACATGCTTAAAATTGCTTTAAACTATTGCCATTGTAGTGTGTATTTAATGTGGCGCTGCACTCTGATGTTGTAGGAGAAAACATTTATTAAAAAGTCAATTTAATTAAGTAGAACGTGTTGTCTATATTAATTTAAAGTAGCACATTTTGATGTGACGTCACATTTCTCAAACCCCCCCCCCCCTCGTCACACATCGTCATAAATGTCTGACCCCCCCCCCTCCCATAGGTGCGTGACGTCATTTATGGACGGCCCCATACCAGATATCGGTACCACCCAAGGTAGCAAAACTTCAATGGTGCCATTTTATTTGTTACACCAACACAAGTAAAATAATACATGATTACCTTTCCAAATCAGCAGCTGTTGAATTTTTCTCGCAGGCAACCTGTTTTTGCATCTATCGCAATCACGCCTATTTGCCCGGACGTTACAAATAAAACATTCCAACACCTCTGCTGTTAATTAAGACAATACAAATTTGACAAAATGGATGTTTGTCCCAAGGCATGTATTTTATACATATTCTTGCATTTATTCACGATTGTTCTTCAATTTCAGTGACTTAGTTCAGTCTGGGATAGTTTGGCGCCATCTGATTTCCTTCCTAGCAGCTTGTTTGCTCATGATAATTTACTGGCAGGAGATATCTAAAGTGCTAACTTTACCTTCAATGTATTGTTAATGTACCTGTTAAGTTTATTAGTTAGGGCCAGGTCCTACAGGCAAATATAATGATTTTTGTTCAGTTTGTCAATTTTTATATATTTGTTTATATTTTGCTTCTATAAATTGTAAACTTTCATAACATGCACACAATTATTACCAATAACCTTTATTACCAATAACTTTGATGTTGGTAATAACTGATGATTCAAATCATAAAAATAACTATTCATATTTTATGAATAGTTAGTTTTTACGATTTTAAACAAACTTCGCCAAGTAAACAAAGCCTTAAATTAGCGTTTTTTAGCATCTTTCATCGCAATTTATCTCCGCATTTTAAGAAATAACCTAGTTGAATTGCATATCATTGAAAAGCTTATTCTTTGGAGCAGATGTGTAGCTCAGCCATATATGGCTATTTACTTTGCTGTCATGGCAATACGAGGGGGGACACACAAGTAGAACTCTCAAATATCATTGCTACGGGCATCACAATGCCAGAACTGGCATTGCGTTTTTCTCAAAATGACATTTTGCATGCCGAGTTTGACAACTCATGTTTCATACTAGGTAAAGACACATAATTCTAAATACTGCTTCCTACTTGTAATCGCTAGAAATGTTGAGGGATTTTTTTATGTCTTTTGTCATTTTCATTTTATGTGGTATTATATCTAAAAAATGTTGATGAAAATGTAGTTTTTTAACGTGTCAAGTGTATTTTAACATAATTAACTGAAAGAACGATATTTTGACAAAAGCCTCTATAGTTTACCAACCAATTAGTTATTGATCACAATTAAAACAAACCAAAAAGTTATAACTTCATCTACTAAGTCAATATTGTGTTTTACATAATATGCACATTTGTGCATATCTAATGCGATAACACAGCATATGCATACATGAATCGGGGGAAGTCACAATACAAAAAATCTTATATTTTTGTGTATATTCATCTGGTAATTTTTCATTCTGATACAAGGTCAGGAATTTGTTTGCCTATTCACCTGTAGTACCTCCCCTTAATTTAGTTAAGATTAGTTAAGATGAATTTTACCCTTTATCAATGTTAGTTTTGCTTTTGCGTTGTAACTCTCTGCTGCTGTCAATGTGTAACCAAAGTACTGACAGATTAATTCAGGGTTTGTATGAAAGTAATGATGATTTCTGATTGTACTGTATGGTGTAGGTGAAAACTGACTGAATATGACTGAATATACTACTACGCCCAGATGTCTCAGCTGCCCATCACACACCCAGATGTGTACACGGAATTCATGGAAGGAGGCTTCTTAGTTCAACTGGACTCCAACAATCACTTTGGCCAAATCCAAGCTATAGAAGAGACGGTGAACAAAGACTCATAGACAGCTGGAAGGACAAAGGGATTTCAGCTTGAAGCCAGGAGCTGTGACCAAATATTACCTAACAGCTGAATACAGAAGCATGTACCTCAGACAGCTGAGAGACATGATAGGTCATGGCAGGTCCAAACTGTCCCATCCAGATCTACAGGGTCCAAGGATCAAGAGAGATGAAGCAGATGTCCAGTCTCTCATTGACCTTATGGAGAATAACTGGATCAATCCTATGTCCCCTGATGAGACAGATCTGGTTAGCCTCTCCATTGGCACCATGGCTCCATCTGATGTGACCAGGGATCTCTTGATAGCTCTTGAGATAGGAGAAGAGGTTTAATAGGTATTCAAGCAAACAAGGTTAGCTGAGGACCCACCATCTGTGAAATTCCACGACAAGATGACCAAGCAAAGTCTGAAGACATTCTCCAATATCAGCACAAAAACAGCACGTGGAAAGAAAGGACAGGATGTGGTTATGAAGGCAGATATAAACCTGTTCAGTCACATGATCCTGGTGGCTGAAAGCAGGAAGGTGAATATGAAGGCATGTCCTTGCCCACCCACTGGGCTCACAGCCATGGGCACTGGCAAATGCTGTTGGGTCCCTACGAAAAACAAACAAGGCCGCACTTGCCAGAGAGCTTGAAAAGAATGTGTCTCTTGCAGAAGACATCCCAACCCCATCTACTTCCATCATTGATGCGATGAGCCTGCTCCACAAAATCAATCCCTGCAGTCACGAAAGCTTTACATCGAAACAAAACCTTTGCCCAGGTGGCAGAGTCAGCCTTGACCCAGGTCCACCACGAGGGGGCACAGAGTGAGAGTATTGATGTTTTTTATGTCTACCGACAGACTTCGATCAAAGATGCTAGATGCTGAACGACTGAACCGGGGTCCAGACACCACTCTCCAGTACAATAACCTTGGAGGGGGACACCACGTCCAGCAGTGGAGAAAATTCCTGTGCAGTCACTCCAACAAGGCCAGTCTCATCAAGTCTCTGGTGGAAGAGTGGAAACTGACACGATACAGAGAGATGCTGCATGGCAAGGTGTTGTACATGAGCTGTGAGGAAACCTGCTACAAGTTGACAGAAGATGAGTGTGAGGAGGTAGCAGAGCTGCACTCCACGCACGAAGAAGCTGACACCCGTCTGCTCCTGCATGCATTGCATGCGGCAAATGTGGGCTCAAAGGAAGTTATCATCACAGCTGAGGACACGGATGTCATGGTGCTTTGTCTTGGCTTCCAGAAGGACATCACCTGTCCCATCTACCAAAAGTGCGGGACACAGAACCGCACACGGTTTGTCGATATCAGCAAACTGGCAAGGTCACTTGGAGACAGCATCTGTGACAGCCTAATTGTCTTACAGGCTTTCACAGGCTGCGGCACTGTCAGTGCATTCGCCGATCGAGGGAAGCTCAATGCCTTGAAGATGGTGAGAAAGAACACTTCCTGCCAAGAGACTTTTATTCGACTGGGGCAGTTATGGAATGTGAGTGATGAGCTGTTCCAGACAATTGAGCAGTTCACCTGTCGCCTGTACGTTGCTAATAGCAGCACTGGTGAGATGAACGAACTGCGCTACCAGCTCTTCTGCACTAAAAGGGGAGAAGTTGAGTCCAGCCAGCTGCCACCATGTAGAGATTGTCTCTTCAATCTTCATGCATGTTCAACGAGCCAATTATCAGGCAGCAATCTGGAAGTGCTGTCTGCAGGCTAACCCTGTGGTGCCAAGCCCTGCTGAGTGTGGATGGACAGACGATGATGGCAAGCTGGCCATTTACTGGATGCGCTCCCCACTCGCACCAGATGTGGTCTTGGAACTGCTAGCATGCAAGTGTGTGCATTCATGCAAAATGCCAAGCTGCACGTGCCTGTCAAATGGACTGACATGCACAGACATGTGCAGGTTACAGACCTGCAGTAAGCAAAAACTGCAGGATGATCCAGAATCTGACTTTGAACTCGGGGAGTCAGATGACGAGATAGACGAGCAGTTTGATGAGTGACAGGGTGGTGATTCTGATGGTATTACTGTGGTAGTAATAGTATACATATACCCATCACTAACGATATATATCGGATAACATGTACCATTGACTAATTATATGCAAATGGCAATGTTTACAATATTCAAGTACAGTAGTTCCTTACCTCACTATAGTATTACTTATTATCCTGTGTTTTCATTGTGTATTTAAACCAATAAAGACCAGTTTGTGACCTAACTGGCTTTGGTCTAGGTAGTTTTTCAGTAATAATGCCCATTTCATCATCCGGACGCCTGTCATAGGGCATGGGTATAAAAGTCATGGTAACTACAACTCAGCTGCCACTCCGCAAAAGTTATCATATCAGAATATGTCCCACACACGTGGAGGATTACAAAGATCATCACTAGACTTTGCCACCTCAGGTGGTACCAATAAGTCATTTTTTTGGTCTGGGCCCATGGACTAACAGGCATTCGAGTGATGTCCATGGGTCTGACAACTCAAGGGGAAGATCTAAGACCAGATGGCGGGATACTGTTAGGGCAGATTTTGGAGATCGTGTGTCTACTGTTGAGCAGCTGCAGGCTCTGGCCGAGGATAGAAAACGTTGGCGATGTGCGGTAGCATCAAAAGCAATGGTCACGATGACAATACAGTGCCATTTAGACTTGTCATGTGCACAGTGCTCATTTTCTCTTGAAGAGAGAGAACTCGGAGGCACAAGGAACGACAGATAAGTGAGAAGGCAGCGAGGCGGGGAGCCGATGCCAATGATTGCCCGAGCTATGTGGTCCGGAATCGTCATAGAAAAAACACGCGTGCCCGGGGTAGCGACACTCTCCGTATAGATGGACATAGATGGAGATCAATCCGCTTGCGTTGCTGCCATAGGCTGGCAAGCCAGGGTATGGCGAACTCGACGGCCACGGTAAGGAGCTCCACGACATTTGTGTACTCCATCAACCCTCGCCTACGATGCTGGATTACAGGTGAAACTCTCAAGCCAGCTGGGTCGCACAGTGGCAAAATATTGCAGTACAATAAGTGTGTTTGGGAACCCGTCTGTGAAAAAAATCCCAAGTCATATCTCCACGAGTGTAATGTAAGGATATGTTCCTTCTAGCAGAACTGTGCTTATAAATATGTATTTATATCCAGGCTCTACAACAGTATATATGTCCTATCGACTTTTCAAACTGTAAATTCCGTCACCTGTATAGGCCTGACCCTGTACATGTGTACAGTTGAAAATCACATCCACGTGGATTTCTTTAACCATGAAATCATCAGTAGCATGTCATCACATCTTAAGCTTTATTACATGCTTCCAGGTGTTTCATAAAAATGTGTAGGTTTTTGTTCACCGCAACTAATATGAGAAGGACAAGCATGAGGAATTCTATAAGAGGCATCTCCAACCCATTCAGGCGGTGTCACTCTCCTACAGATAAGCCCATCTCTTCCCATCTGCAAAGTCACAGGCAACGGGGCCTTGAGGCCACGTCAGGCATTGAGGCCACGTGCCGGGTTCCACCGAAGCCGATCCCGACTTTAGCTTAACCGTTACGCGTTTAAACCACAGCAATAAAAGTGCCAGCGGAGATCGGGCTTAAATAAATCAAACTCAAACCCCAGTAATTCTTCTTGTGCGTTGAGACAGATGCACAACCACAGTGGGCGGGTTTAATGCCACATTTATATTAACGGGATCTAACCAAAAAACAATACCTATATTATGGAATTGGAAGTTCAACTCCAACGCTTTCTGTAAATGATAGGAACAGCCATAATCAAAACGGGAGAAAAAACATCGTAGGCTTTTTTTAGCACATTTTCGCAAATGCGTGTTGTATTTCTACAGTGGGAAAACCTCCTCGAGATGACAAGAGTAGATTTCTTAATTTATATATAAACATGTGTGCGCCAAAATCACATGGCAGCTTGTTTGACCAAACTTCTACCACACCTTATGCATACCAATTTCTGCTCATGGCCCCTTTTCTTAAGGGGCAGTCACAATTCACTGGGGGACAATGTGCTCTGCTGCTGTGGGTTATCTTACATTTATTTGCATCAGTAAAACCTCGCTTATATTTATGAGATCCACGTCATAAATTAAAGTAAGACGGTTCATCCAAGAGAGTTCTATACATGTGGTTATAGTGACATTGCTGCATCACAACAGACGTGTGATGGCATCATACACGGTGTTGGCATAATGTCCATATATTCCCGTCTTATGCTAATCCGATGGACGAAGACGGAAAGGATTCTAGGGAATTCACACCTTCCACATAAGAGTAATTTTAAATCCGCCACCATTTAGATTTTTACAAAGATGAGTTTTTTGTCATCATACGAGAGGCAGTTCTGGCTGTGTTGCACGTGTGCAGTTAAATATAACGACATGTCGAGTTTCTTTATGTGAAAACCACCACAGAGACAGAATTTTTGAAATACCATGCAAGACCTGACCCCTGTATTTTTTATATGGTTCTTAGGGACTGCCAGAGTCTTCTGAAAGCCCGGTTGTTTTCACTGCAGCCCCAAGAGCTGAAAAACAGCAATGCACGACACAGTTAAACGTAGTTTTTCTTTTAACTAACACATTCACTGCTAAAACATTTCACGCAAAATTAAAGCCCCGGTTGAGGGATTCAAAGGTCGATTTTTAATTTTTAGCATAGCATCCTCGTGAGAGGAAATTATTGATTTGGGAATTATACACATATTGGTTCATAAAGCATGTCTTTTCCAGGCAAACGTTTTCAATAGATATAATAATTAACTTTATATGAATTTTTTTTTATCTACAATCAAACACTAACAACTACTCCAAAAATGTATATTTTTCTGCAAAAAAGACAAAAATTGTTTACAACCTAATTCAACTTCTTATATTTAAAGACGTATCCATCAGGAGCCGCTCACTTTAAAGATTCCGTTCTTTTTTATGACAAAGAACAACAATTTATGAACTGAATACTCTGAGGTGAAGGGTCTATCATTTACCGATTTCGAATTATTTAGATTTGACCATCATAAAATGTGTATTTTTTCGTTCAAAACCGCTTAAAACCGAAATATTTCCAAAACAATAAAATATAGAACAATGGTTCTCCATTTCATTTTATTTACTGTTTAACGCTCGATCAAACATAAAAAACCCCAATTTTATATTGTAAATGGTTTCTCAATGACACACGCAAACATGATTATGGGACACTTAAAATTGAGATTTGGGAGCCTGAACATAGAAAATCTCGGATTTTCTGATTTTTCCTGTTGTTTGTGTCCTAAAAGCTACATATGTTCCGAATTTCATAATAAAGTTTTTTTGGGTTAAATCGCATAAATATTTAGATAGATTTCGTAAATTTTTACCCAAAAAAAAACCCTGTATTATGGATGATATTGGTCGCGAAAGCCTACATGTTAAACGTACCAAATTTTATTTTTCTACCTTATCGGTGAGTACCCTAGAGTTTTATGAGACGTACATACAGATTAAGGTATTTATTTATATAGATGCTGTATTGCAACAAAATTAATATTGTGGTAAAATGTAATGTCTGTCGCAATTTGATGTACTACATTGGTTCACGTTTCATGCAATGAACCTGGTAACCTTAGTTTAATTCCCTGGGATGGCTAATATCCGTGGTGAATAAGATATGAAATGATCCTGGGCCCCCCATGGATTAACTGACGCTGAACAGCATGGTCACTTGCCGTATGGACAAATAACCAAAAAGACCGGCATGGCATGGGGATGCCCTCATTCAGCAGTGGATTGACAAAAGGGCTGTCCACAACGGCCGAAATATAAAAATCCCGATATGAAACCTCTTTAGCCTTTCAGTCCATGTTCACTGATGCTTCCCCTATGCAGAAACATTTTAGCAGATAAGAAGAGTAACCATTCTGAAACGTGCCCTTGTGCACGTTTGGTGTCCTAAGAAGTGCCGGTGTTGTATACCGTCGTATACCAAGCCATGTCGACCACTGGCTGTACGTGTACATAGTTTTACCAGTGAAAACCTACTACTATATTTTGCCACTGGTATAGGAGATGTCTCATAGTGTAAATGCTTATCCCGAGCTCTCAATACTCTGATAATGAACTGTCTTTGAGTTGTACGCCTTTTGGAGTCATCTGGTCCAACACCAATGGAGACTAGGCTCTAAGAAAAGCTGTCTCGGGTGTGGACCAATCAAATTCAAGGACAGTGCATATCATTATCATCATCAGAGTTGTTTCTTTTTGTTTGCATTTTGACTGCTTGTGTTGTGGTTATTGCAAACATGATGCCTTGTATAAAGGTGTCAGTTTTTGTACCAGTTGAAAAGGTAAAAACCTACTACTATGTACATAGTTATTGTATTACCGGGCAGGTGAAGACATCCAGCTTATCGTCATCCCCCTCGCTGAGGGCCTCTCCAGCTCTCCTCCCGAGGGCTGGGCCACACGCCCTTTTCCCGGGACATCTCACCGGAGCGCTTCGTGGACTCCACTTGCCCCTCGGGGCTCCGAATGTGCAGATCCAACCTGCCCTGCGTCCCCTCCTCCGGTACACAGCACCTGGATCTCCCAGGGCCTCGCATCACTGAGCAAGACAGAGCGATTGTCTGTGGTGTGAAGACATGGAAGTGGCTTGTCGTGCAATCTATATCCTTTGGTCTAAGGGGCAACCCTGTAGCGAAGGGGAATTGACAAAGGGAGTGGGGACTGCACGCCACGTATTATGCTTTGCTGCATTCACTGCTGCATTAGCTAGTTTTACTGTATATCAAACAGAGTACGTTTTCATACAAAATGCTTGCCAACGGGGCAAAACTCAGAGAGTCAAGCGGTCAGTATCAGTGACATCAGTGCACGTACACTTTATCCTGCAGATTATCACTATAGTTACATTTTAATTCGACTAAAATGAAGCCACACGATGGCTCAGATCTAGTGGAGGTCAGTTTAGGAAATTAAAAAATTGACAGCAGCTATAAACGATGCGGTAAGTGGTAAACTTTAGGACCATACAGCAGCGATTTGAAACCGTAACAAATACTTCATAACGTTTCGGCCACAACGCAAGCGGCTGTTGTGGCCGAAACGTCGTGAGAATTATTTTATTATGTTTTATTTTTTATTATTTTATTACTTCCCTTCTACGTGACTTTACCGAAAGAACCAAGAAGATGAATCCCTGCAGTCACGAAAGCTTTAAATCGAAATACTTCATATAAAATGCATGTGCATAAAACAACAACTTACTTTGGCAGCATGCACCACCCATGATGGTCTTCCAACTGCGTTGGCCGTCCCAGGTCCACACCAAATGGGAGGCAAGTGGCCGTGGCTGCTCTTAATAACAGCGGACACTTTTCACGCTCTTGCGTTTCACTTCGTCATTGTTTTGAGAGCAGAGCCTCGAGCACAGCATGGAGATGCCCGTCTTGCAACACGAGCTCACAGGGCTATACCAAATAAATGAAACTGAAATAAATGAAAACTGAAACTATAGGTGACACAGCAGCGGACATTGTTATATTCAGTAATGCTCACTATCACACTTGTTGTAATGTACACAAAATAATGATAACTTTCATCAGTGGTGGTGCTGGTCCATTGGGGACCTTAAGCAGAAATGATTTTGGAGGGTGGGCCATCCTTTAAATGTATAAACTTCTATTGAGATGATGGAAGAGACAGGGGGTATGAATCTTCTTGGTTCTTTCGGTAAAGTCACGTAGAAGGGAAGTAATAAAATAATAAAAAAAAATAAAACATAATAAAATGATTCTACGTGACTTTACCGAAAGAACCAAGAAGATGAATCCCTGCAGTCACGAAAGCTTTAAATCAGGGGGTATGAAATTTGAGTTAGATAAGTGAAGACACAAATATGATAGGGATGAGAGAGATTAGCTGGTTAATATACTGTATATTAAATGTTTTTTTTACGTTAAATAGGATTTCAATGTCTGCTTACAATTTGTTCTACACTATTTTTCGCATGCATCTTGGGTCCTTTGAGCTTCTTGGGATCCAACGATTTGCTTAGTTTGCTTCTGTTACATTTTAATTATTAAGATTTGATTATTATTATTGACGATTAATGGTTAAATGTTGTCGTTGATGATGGCGTGATATTCGTTACATGACGATAATTCATACATTGATGTGAAGTTATTCACCCAGCAGTCAATCCACTGCTGGGTGAATGCCTCCTGATGTCGTTTGTTGTTATGTTTGGCTCATGACGAAGACGATTTCAAGTTCAAGTTCATTTATTAGGTATAGCCCTGTGAGCCATTCGGCTCTTGAATCGGGTGCAACCGCAACAAACAAAAAACATGAACAAAAAACATCTTAAAGTGAATACGTGACTAAGTGCAAACAGAAAATCCAAGAAAAGACAGCAAAATATTGCAGAAAAAAACACCGTACACCAACGCTGTGTGCAAAAATCCCAGTGGGATGCAAGTCAAACAACAACGAAACGGATAAATGACAACGCCACAACCGCACAAACAATCGCTTGTGTCAACTCAACAGAGCAACCAAAAAGCCACCGCACAATCCACAAACCACCCCCCAAAAAAAATGCCCCCAGCGGCTCATCGCCTCCACCAGGGGCGCTATCGTTGCGGAAACAGCCGCAATTGCCACTCAATCTTTTTTTTATTTGCGAATTCTCGCAAGTTGGTTGTGAGAACGGAGGGTTTTTCTTGCGTGTGGGTGGTATTTTTTTTGTTACACCCCATCAGATGTCAAGTGACGTTGGTTGTGGTTCCACCATTCGCTTCCGTGATCAGGGACATCAACCCCGTGGTGGTGGTGGTGGAGACACGCGGCGTGCGAAAGGCGCAAGGTGGTGGCAGCAGCAACATCATCCTCTGATCGGCCATCAAATCGTGTAGGTCCCCCAGCCCGACAGCGGCGGCCACAGAGGGCAGTGGAGGAGCCTCACTGCTCCTGCTGCTGCTTCTCCTGCTGCTGTTGTTATTGCTGCTGCTGATCTGTGTGTGTGCGAAGGGCAGCCACAACAACACGACTCATCCGCGAATGGAAGTCGCAGCAAAACTTCGAGGAGACGGAGCGACGTTTGGGTGGATTTGGTGAATTATTACATCGTGGGGAGGGGGGGTCGTGTGAGAGGCGGCGGCGGCGGTGGTGGCTTTCATCCAGCAGTGGATTGGCCATGGCTGACGACAACGACGACGATGATGACTTTATTGAAGTAGAATTCTCGGTGGGCCCTTTGGCCACACACAGGAGGAGGTTGGGACCTGCCGGGTCACGTGGTGGTCACGTGGTGGGCGGGGAGGACATTTACTCGAATCCGCGTGTTGTTGTTGACAGTTGTGTTGAGCTGGTGGTGGTGTTGAGCTGATGGTTGTGTTGTTGTGGATGGCTGTGTTGTTGTGTTGAGCTCGTGGTTGTGTTGAGCTGGTGGTGGTGTTGTTGTTGATGGTTGTGTTGTTGTGTTGAGCTGGTGGTTGTGTTGTTGTGTTGAGCTGGCGGTTGTGTTGAGCTGGTGGTTGTGTTGTTGATGGTTGTGTTGTTGTGTTGAGCTGATGGTTGTGTTGTTGTGTTGAGCTCGTGGTTGTGTTGAGCTGGTGGTGGTGTTGTTGTTGATGGTTGTGTTGTTGTGTTGAGCTGGTGGTTGTGTTGTGTTGAGCTGGTGGTTGTGTTGTGTTGAGCTGGTGGTTGTGTTGTTGATGTTTGTGTTGTTGTGTTGAGCTGGTGGTTGTGTTGTGTTGAGCTCGTGGTTGTGTTGAGCTGGTGGTTGTGTTGTTGATGGTTGTGTTGTTGTGTTGAGCTGATGGTTGTGTTGTTGTGTTGAGCTCGTGGTTGTGTTGAGCTGGTGGTGGTGTTGTTGTTGATGGTTGTGTTGTTGTGTTGAGCTGGTGGTTGTGTTGTGTTGAGCTGGTGGTTGTGTTGAGCTGGTGGTTGTGTTGTTGATGGTTGTGTTGTTGTGTTGAGCTGGTGGTTGTGTTGAGCTGGTGGTTGTGTTGTTGTTGATGGCTGTGTTGTTGTGTTGAGCTGGTGGTTGTGTTCAGCTGGTGGTTGTGTTGTTGTTGATGGTTGTGTTGTTGTGTTGAGCTGGTGGTTGTGTTGTTGTTGATGGTTGTGTTGAGCTGGTGGTTGTGTTGTTGTTGATGGTTGTGTTGAGCTGGTGGTTGTGTTGTTGTTGATGGTTGTGTTGAGCTGGTGGTTGTGTTGTTGTTGATGGTTGTGTTGTTGTGTTGAGCTGGTGGTTGTGTTGAGCTGGTGGTTGTGTTGTTGTTGATGGTTGTGTTGTTGTTGAGCTGGTGGTTGTGTTGAGCAGATGGTTGTTGTGGTACTTTTGCTGCAATTCTGTTGAATAGTTTAAGGCTGTTGTTTAGTTGGGTTTATCATCATCGTCGTCAATGATGGTCAATCCACTGCTGGATGAAAACCTCCCCAAGTTGCCACCATCTCTCACGATCCTGGGATGTGAACAATCCACCCAGCATTTGCACACGAACCAACTTCATTGTGCCTTTCTTCCTGACCGGACGTCCTCTCGGACGAGTTCCATTTAGAATGGACATGCCTTTAGAGTACGCGGCTGCTGCTATAAATGTCCACGCGATAAACCACTTCGTTGAGCTGTCATGTGCGAGAGCCAGGTCGCTTCTGAAAGAAAGAGCTACATAGGACAGTGTGAGCCTTACCTGTCAAAAAAAACAATCTCTTTGCTACATACTCTTAGATTTTTTCGGTAAAGTCACGTAGGTAAAAAAATAAAAATAAATGAAAATAACTTAGGTATTTATTTATTTTTTATTTTCTATTTTTTTACCTACGTGACTTTACCAAAAAACCTAAGAGTATGAATCCTTGCAGTCACGAAAGCTTCAAATCTAGAATCTCTTTGCTGCCACTTATTCTTATTATTTCGACCGTCATCCATTACGGTGACGTGTCCTGCCAAAGCTGCCCACTGCATTTTCCCATGGTGCACTCCAGCAATTGAGACAGACACCCCTTTTGAGTTCCCAACCTGGTTTCAACAAAATGAAATCCGATGTCTGCGTTTGTTGTTTCCCTGTGCGCAAGCTGTTCACGGGACCTCGTCGGAACCCACCTCTCTTGAGCAATGGCGAGCGGAGGAGGAGCGCCAGCACCACTGCAGTTCTGTCCGTTCAGCAGTGCTCTCGACTCGGGCTTTTGGCACACGCTGAGCCAAAAGAAGGTGAACGAGTACAAGCTAGATGAAGCGGCCAAGGAACTCAAGGGCTTCTTCTACAATGGTTCGTACGGTCTGGGCGCGGGTTTCAGAACGCGAATTGGATTAATGTATTCGGGAACGCATTTTTGTCAATGATATATAACGCGGATGCGAATTGGATATAACGCGGTTGAGTGGTCGGAGTAAGCGGTTGTGCGGGCTGCCTTGGCGTAGCATCACACAAGGCAGTGGGATACAGCTGGATGCTTCTAGATGTTACCCACGTGCCTCAGCCTTAGTTCAGCCTGCGTACGCATCTCACGTGTTATCGGGGACTTTGCTTTACCCTATGTCATATGTTATTTATTATAACGCATTTTTCCGTAACGCGGCGTTCTACAGGATCGCTATTACCGTGTTATAGGAGAAAAGACTGTAAGAGATCAAACCGAATCGGCAATGCAACCGCGCCGACACGATCATCACGTTCTGAAGAGCCGTTGTTTTGATGGCTTGAACCGACGTGCTGGAATTCTCTAAACATTTTCTTGTTCGCTGGTTGTTTTTCCAGGAGACCCTCCTGGCCTTCCTGCTCGCATGATGCTGGAGTTCAACTCTTTTGACCCGTACGGCATTTTGTTTTGTTTCAAACATATCCTCTTAAGGAAAACACGTACGCATGTGTGACACTGATTCTTTTGGTTTCGGCGATCGGGATATTTTCAAACAAGGTGCGTATTTTGAAATACTTTGCCGGATTAGTTTTTGCGCACTGTGCCAGGTTGGTTTTTATTAGCTTAGTTTGTTTTCCCAACGTCACGGTCCACTCATCCATAACAGTCATTGCCTTTAAGACCAAACTAAAACATTTATTTTCTCCTGTTTAGTTTAATTTCGTTAATTTTTGTTCCTCTGTGTCATCTGCAATTCCATCTCAGCTGTTTGCTGAACGTGACGCATTATACATCTTGGATTGATTGATGGTGTTGATTCGCCCTGAATGGTGTGTTTTTAATACGGGGGTTGTACGGCAATGTTTCTGGCACGCGGGCAGGCAAGCCCCCACGCCTGCCCGCAATTGCCCCATTGCAGGCTTTCTCCACAACACCAACACGCTGGAGACCTTTAAGAAGTGCGACAAGAAAGCGCTTTTGGATCAAGCCGCGCAGAAGGTTTACGCATGAGTTGTTAACACCATTCACTATTCATCCTCCTTCATGGTACACGGATTTGTACACCTTCGTTTACTGCATTACACTTGCTCAGGCTCCGTCAAGCAATAAATAAATGATGCCGCAATTCTGCATGATTGTTATTATTAAAACAACCGTTAACTTTCACAAGTGTGGAGACAAAAAAAAATAGATGCTACGTTCCAGCGATGTTTGTTCACCAGGTCTGCCCACTATTTTTTTCCCAAGTCATTGGTTCTTGCTTGTAAAATAAAAAAAAAAGTTGCTCTAAAAGCCCACCTGGGGGTGGTGTGCAAACAGAGTGGTGAAAGGGTCCTTGAGAGTGGACCTTTCCTTTTGTTTTTGTTGCAGATCTGGGAGGCCGTGACGTCTGGAGCAGCACTGCAGGACCCCACCCTCCTCAACCAGTTTGTTCTGCTCACGTTCGCCGTGAGTGTGGCCATAGAGATTTCTCTGTCCGTGCGTCCTTATAAACGTTGTGGAGTGGCTGTGGATGGGGAGCGGGGGCGTAGTGGTTAACGGACTGCGCTACAAAACCGTTCGACCTGTGTTTCATTCCTCCTCCCAACCAATAACAGTGGCGAATATTTGAATTGGTCCTGGGCCTCCCGTAAGATGACTCGGTCTGAAATGAGTACCTGGTGCGGTGTGTAAACATGAGCACTGGGGAGACGGAGATGGTGGGACATGGTGTTGCCCACTCACCCCCTCATGTGCTTTGCCGACCATCATAGGTGCTCGCTAACAGCATCTACCCCAGCAGTCTGTTAAAGGCTATAGAGGCGATCTTTCTCCTTGTGGAGTGGTTACACACTGGTTCGTGCCCTGCTCAACCATCCAAGTATCCGAGGTTCAGTTCCCAGCTATGATGCACAACGTCAGTGGCAAGTGGTGATCTAAACCAGCCTCAAATGAGTACCTGGCAGAGGTCGCAATCGGGTACCCGATACCCGTACCCTACCCGATACCCGGCTACCCGTTTGCGACCCTGGTGCGGCCGGGTACGGGTACGGGTAGGCCGTGAGTCACTGGTGAGTAACCGTTTGTCACTCATTTCCCAACGTCTTGTCTCTTCTCACAATTCAAGTTCCTAGAATCAACCCACCCGCGCCTGCAACATGGCTTCATCCCAGAGGTCGCAATCGGGTATCCGATACCCGTACCCTACCCGATACCTGGCTTCCCGTACCCGACCGGGTATCGGGTACGGGTACCCGTTTGTGACCCTGGTGCGGCCGAGTACGGGTAAAGAATCAAAACCCGTTTGCGACCTCTGGTACCTGGTGCACCGTTTGAAGATCAGCACTGCGGAGACAAAGGAGGCCCGACATGGGTGTAGTCACACCACTCCCTCCATCTGTCATGCTGGCTAACTCAACAGTCTATAATGCTCAAAGGGGTATTATTGTGTTTTTATGTGAGTGGTGGTGGTTCCTGGAATACTGAGGTTGATATGATTCTCAGTCATGGCTCGTCAGATCTTAACCTGTCCAGCACCTCAAATAGTTTGATGTCGGCTTAAATGAATACCTGTTGCAGTATGTAAACATCAGCGCCAGAGAGGCAAAGTTCATGGTGCTGGCCACACCACCCTGGTCGTGCGTAAAAGCAGCTTGTGATGCACTGTGTTTAAGTTTATTTTATTTGTTACACGGATGTGCCTGTTTAGCTAGTTGCCCGACTATTTTACAACGGAGATCCGTGGCACGTGAACACAGAATCAACAATACAAAGACTAAAAACACATCAACATTGCAGAAATCGAGTAAAGGGTCCATAGGGAATATCACACAACTAACAAACGAGGTATTTAACGTCCTTATATTCTAACTGGTTAGAGAACTGCACTACGAACACAGCAACATTCATTACATTTTCAGTCTTGTCTCGTCCCCATGACAACACTTAGCAACAATTCTATATAGGGCAGTATGAATTTAATTTTCCTTTGTTTTGTGTGCGCATGTGTGGGTATCTTTGTGTTTTGTGTTTAAGTGAGAACAAAAATTCACAGCTGCTCTTACGGCCTTCCGACCTCCCGTTTAGTGAAGCGGGCAGATGTTTTGGAAAATAAACTATAATCACTACGTTGGCGACGTGGGCGAGTTGTAAAAACCGGGGATAGTTTTTTGTTTCCATTGCAGTGCAGCGAGCTGTGAAAATCATACACATCCTATGTTTACGTTTGAGGGGGATACCAAACTGGTGTGAACATGTGAAATACAATCCTGTTCTCTGCTCTGCTGCATATTCTATGTTGTGTGTTGTTCATTTTTTCCCTGTCTCCACCGATATTCTCGTAACAAGTTCAAATTATCTCCCCGCGTCTGTTTTCCAGGACCTGAAGAAGTACCATTTCTACTACTGGTTCGCGTTCCCGGCTTTGTGCTTCCCTGATGGTATCGCTCTTCTGAAGCCTTCGCTCCCCCTCGGCGAGAGATGCTCTACTGCCCAGGTGCCTCTGAATATTAGCGATGCGACTGTTTTTCAAGAACATTTTGGTTCTTTACTCTTTGGTTCTTTACTCTTTGGTTCTTTTGGTAAAGTCGCGTAGGTAAATAAATCACGACGTTTCTGACGCAACACAAGCGTCCGTCATCAGGTGGGAAAGCATGGTCTGCTGCTGAGGCAGACTGTTTAAAAGGTTTTAAATGGGTGTAGCCCAAGGGTCAAAAAGAAGTGGCCGGGGCTAGTGATGTTAATGTGAGAAATTAGCATGTAACTGTATGATAGGAGAGCGGCCTCCTCGACGAGGGCACGGAAGTGGCTATGTTAATGTGAGAGATTAGCATGATGTTAATGTGAGGGATTAGCATGATGTTAATGTGAGAAATTAGCATGTAACTGTACGCTAGAAGAGCGGCCTCCTTTACGAGGGAGTGCAACCCAACGGGTGCAATCCAAAGGGCATGTGAGCATGAGAGTGCAATCCAAAGGCATGAGAGTGCAATGCAAAGGACATGTGAGCATGAGAGATCTAAGAGAGAGGCATAGAGAGAAAGACACAGAGAGTCGAAAAAATGTTGGTTATTGCCATAAGCTGACAAGCTGTGCTCTCTGCGAGCATGATTTACTTTAAATAACTGACAGCACAATTGATATTATACAGTTGTTTCCAAAGTTCAGCCAATTGGCAACACAAATATGACTCCAATTTTACCCGATTTTTTTGTTAGGAAGTAGGAAAACTAACTTCGGTTATTCGAATCAAATTCTAATAATTTATAATGCTATTTCATTCCCTATGACACTAGCGTTGACTCTAAAAAAAATATTTTTTAGGAGGAACCTCGATTAGGATATTTGGTAATTAACAATTAATCAGTGTCCGGAATGTGGGGTGGACATCAGAGTGCCCAGAGAGAAGCTCACGCATCCGAGGCGTTAGTGCTAAACACTCGACACTGCTCTCTCCTGGCTACTTTGTAGCCCCCATGCGTACAAAACACATGGATAGCCCTGATGTATCACTCATCCAACTACTAATTGGGCTCAGCTCTGCTTACCTTCTGATATATGATGAAATTGGGCCATTCAGGATTATTTGGTTGTATAAGTTGAGTGTCGTGTTTCCAGAACATAATTCTCTATTTCTAACAGCCACGACTGGCATAATGTCCTCTTATTTACACATTAGCTTCTTTGCCTGTCCTAGGACGTAAGCTGTAATATTTTAGAAAAAATTGAGCAGAGTATAATTGTATCTTGTGTAAATTTGATGGCAGTAAATCTGCCACAAAATAAGTCATAAAACACTCCACTGCAGTTCACTGTAGCACTGTATTAATTCTAGTGATTCTTGCACAAAATGAAGTCATAAAACACCTCGCTTCATGTCACTGTAGCACTGTATATAACTGACCTTCAATTTGTTCAAATTCACTGCTCTTCTGCTTTCGGTTGCTGGGGTTGAAATAAATTAGAAATCGATACAATATCTGGAAAATCGCTGAGAAATGTCTATTTCACCATAATGTAGAAGCATAAATGAGACTTACCTTTTGTCTCAAGTGCTGAAGAAATAAATAAAGACACCAAATCCACTTTGTTGCTGCGTAGCATTATTTATTAGATTCACTTTCAATAATGAAACATCAAACTTAAAGCGAATGTGCGAAAAAAAAAATTCTGCTCGACCTTCTGCGTCGGTGTAAAAAATTAAGCCGTAAAAACAAAGTTTTTCACTATAAATCCTTTATATGCGTGGCATCGGTTTTATTTTATTATTCATTTCTGTTTTTCTTGAGTAAGAGTTTCATTTTTATCACATTGGTATTTTAAATAAAATATGAAATTTTTTTTTCCTAAAAAGTGGAAAATTTTGGAAAAAATTTTCACGAAAATAAATTGTCACGCACGAGTCTGTGTGCAAAATGTCAGCTCGATTGGATCACGGGAAGTGGGTTAAAAAACGACCGAAAGATTTGCACGGTCGTAAGCGCGCAAGCAAGCAAGCAAGTGAACTTAATATAAAGGATTTAAAAATCCACCCTCTCATGAATCTTAATGAGGGGGGGGGGGGGGTGTGGCATGTGGAGTGACGTCACGCGTGGGACAAACAAACAGACATTCTTGGCTCATTATATTAGCAATTGTTAGAACTGCCGTAGATTTGGATGGAATGCAATATGTGAATATGATTTTTTATTTACAAATCATTTGTTGAACCCTACGTACATTAATATATATAAATGATAGGACGCACACATTTGTATTCTGTTTGTGAGTCGGTATGTTTTTTGGATGGATGTACTGTTTTTTATTTTTCTATCCAATGTTTCTACCAATAACCAAATCGTACAAATTGCACCCAATCCCATTATAGCTCAGAAGCTAAGCAGACTTAGGCCTGGATAGTGCTTGGATGAGTGATCATCATGCACAGTACAGATTGCATGGTTACATGGAGTGACCAGTAGAAAGTGGTGCATAACAGCACATTGTTGTATTGTAGATCTATTACCCCTAAATCAATGCTCCTTGTCTTCAACATCCCGCACCAACCAGCATGGTGAAGCATGGTTAAATAAATTCCCCGTGACCTACACGGCGAGAGTTTACCCACGTCCAGCAGTCAATGAATAAAGTGCTGTCTGTAATTTATCGAAATGCTTTTGAACGGGACAAATAGCACGTATATTTGCACACAAAAGTTAAACGGAAAGCCATTAGTGAATTTGCGATGAAGTCTCACGTGAGTGTTGTGGTTTTTTGATTAAAGGTCCAGGCTCTGCTGACCTCCTACGATGGACTTTGCGCCAAAGAAAGTGTGACTGCTCTGCCATGCTTTCTCGTGGGCTTCTCTGGGGATGACGTCTGCGTTGCCCCATTACGCGACTGGGACACCTTCTGGCCGCAGCAGAACAAGGTTTGAATGATAAGTAATATTTGAAAAAACTTTTTTAAAAGCACGCTTTAATGAAATGTACCGTACTAGTAATGGAAGAACTCCACGACTCCAGGAAGTGGGCCCGAAGCTTGCCACAACGTAAAGGACTCTGGCCAACTACAGCCAACGTCAGTTGAGCGTGGACAATTAGACCCAAGCCGAAACATAAGATATACAAAAGATTGCTTAAAATATTTTATATTTTATTTTGAATGATAGAATATAGTATTGTCATCAGTATGACATAAGTATACCAAGTTTGCAGTCGACACCACATTGGGAAGTGGGTCAAAATTGAGTTACAAGATTTGAGGATACAACAGACAGAGTGAATTTATCAAAAGCGTGTAAAAGAACGTTTTAAAATATATGTTTTAGATGTTTTTATGATACAATATAGCCTTGTCATCAGCATGACATAGGTATACCAAGTTTGCAGTCGATAGCACATTGGGAAGTGGGTTAAACTTGAGTTACAAGATTTTTTGAGGATACGACAACAGAGAGTGAGTTAAATAAAAGCGTGTAAAAATGGCTTTACCCTAACTGGCATCAATACAGGTGTTAAGACATTCAAACACAAGATGCCAATTGCAAGGCATCATGTCTGCAATAACCACACGTACTTGTGGTTAGAAAAACACGAACAAATATGCTTTTGTAATGTGCGCACCGCCCTTGAAACTGATTAGCCTGTGGCACAGAGAGCCTCTTTTATGGCTTTGTCTCACTCGTGCTGTTGACCAAAGGCCACCAAAAGCCAAGTAGTACATGGACAGTGCAAACACCAAAGCATTAATCGCTCAGGTTAAGCAGTTATAGTATGGGACCATTTTGACAATATCAACATATTGAGTGCTACGAAAAAAATGCTTCAGCATTCTATATCTGGATACTCGCAAACGGGTTCCATAGCTAGGGCAAGGTTTATCTAAGCCATATGGCCACTTCTCAATGTAATGCTAACTGCTGCAGTTGTTTTGTGTGTGTGTACGTTGAACTTCTTTCGCACCGTACGTAGCCCACTGTGCTCATGGGAGGTGTGAGAAATATGATTGTTTTGTTGGATATATGATTATTTCTTACAAATTTGGTTCTGAAAATCCCTAAAAAAGTATTTCTGCATCTCCAGATATCTGTAAACGAGAGAAATTAACAAGAGGTTTTTTTTTGGCTGTCACCTGATGAAGCTAGTTGTAATTACTGGCGAAACGTCGTACTCAGATTGTAAATGTTGTGGCTTGGTGTGCTGTACTAGTGACGAATTGGCATGTTGTGTTCACGTGACAACCCTTACTAGTTGGCTGTGTCGGGTGGTGGCGGGTTTTAACGATACATTATATATTTACGTGATCTAACCCAAAAAAAAACCTCTGTTATGGATGATATTGGTCGCGAAAGGCTACGTGTTAAACTGAGAGAAATTGATGTTATCAACTTCTCAAATAATAAAAAATGTACACTATTTGCCATTATGGAATTTCACTTCCAGTATTTTATCAATATTGCTGTATGTAAGTAATGTTAAGATTGTGGATTTTGAAAACTGTTTGCAGGCAATGGTGGCTGTGTACGATCCGTGCACGCTCCAGCAGCACCCTGGATGGCCACTCAGGAATCTCCTCATTCTTCTGGCACACAACTGGTATGAGACAAACGTAAACAGCAATGCATTGTCATTGTTATTATTATAGTGTTAACAGACGTTGGGAATATGACTGCGTAGAGTTTCGCGGTTGTGCAGCATGGCTCTCCGATATGTTTTCGAGTTGCACCAAGCGTTGTTCGGCATGATGTCCGACGTTTCACTCCACGTGCTGGGAGCTTCAAGAACTGGAGTTGTCAGCTGTCGGGAATGCCATACTTCCTTAATAATAACTGTTGGCCTTTGCCATGCCATTGCACAGCGATTGGTGGTACACGCAGAAACAACAACCTCCCAGTGTTTGTTGATACTCTCCATTCAACGTTTTACCACCTCACCCCACCCCTCGACCCCTGCCAGAACATTTATTCCAGAGAAATTTCTGTCTCATCTTTACCATCATATTTTTTATGTTTGTAGTTTTTTTTTTCCTCCATACAATTTTTTTTCCCCCATAGCCCAAATACACTTTGAGCATATCATTTACACACGAAATAATTTCCCAAAGTTGCATGTAATTTGTATAACTTGTAAATAATTTATTTTGATGCACAATTCAACGAATGTGACTTCAGCCATAGAATACACTGCAATCAATGAGTCGGTCCATCATCACATGCCCAGTTGATACCATTGACCAATGAGATGCTCACAAGCCTTTGGTAGTGCTGTCATTACCCTGGGTCCAGGTACCTTTCTGTGGATTTCCTTGTCACTTTGTCACTACTGGAGGCTCATCTGCCTTTGAAAGTTGTACCACACTAGATATCCAACAACCTTCAGACTACGCTTCTGTCGCCATTACTTCAATTTGATTTCTGCTCATAATGTTGCCTCACCCCAATAACAAGGATTGATGGAACAGACCTCGGAGGGTTGGTATAGATTTGTAGCAGCTGCAGCAACTTGCAGGATAATTTTTTTTTAAAAAGTGTCATGAATTGCATTGGTCATGATGACTGATTGACCTTGACCTTTGCCTCTGAGCAGGGGGCCCTCTCTGGAGTCTCTGGAAGTGCTGTGCTTTCGGGACCGAATAACCCAAGGTGTCCGAGACATCACTCACAGCATCGTCCTCACCATTAAGATGACTTCAATTGCAGATATTCCAGGTATGTACAATGCTTTTATACAATTAAAGTTGGAGTTTTCTTTATGTATATTAAAAATGCCGCCACATCTCGGTGCACTCTACAGAAACATCGGGCATATTTATTTTATAGAGAGTGATGGTCATGCCATGGACAGAGGGAAAAAGGAAGGTCTTCAGCCTGGGCTTAAATATAGAGTCAGGGAGTAAACAGCACAGGTGATTGGGGGAAGGGCATTCCATGCTATGGGGACAGCAGTGGGGGAATGAGAGAATTCCCATTGAGAGAAATGTCGATCAGGGACTTGGTCAGATAATCTTGGTTCCTAGATTGAATAGTGCATAGTGGAGAGGAGTACAGTGAGAACAGAGGGCACGGATATCCAGATTGCCTCATTTCTGAGTCATGCTCCCCTTCATTGAAAGTTCAGTACTCTATGTCCTAAATGTGTACAACTACCAGGAATTTACATTATGAGAGGGCATGATTGTGAGAGTATGTGCATGCCGCGTTGGCAAGATGTTATGTCCCTCGCCTGGTATGTAGGAGGTAATGGGTTCAATCCCGACCCTGATGCCTGTATATTTGGAGTATGCGTGTATTCCCCGCGGTCACGTGGATTTTTCTCCAGGTCTTCCGGTTTTTCCCTCCACATTTAGCAAGATGTTCGTAGAGTATTTGGCTGTTATAAATTTCCACGCAATAAGCCACTTCTTTGAGCTATTATTTGTGGCCAGGTCACTTCTGAAAAAAGAGCTATACAGTTCACTGGTCTTCACTTGCTAAAATGTAAATAATTAGGTATTTACCGAAGATGGCCAGTCGGCCAAAACGTCGAAATATTACTTTTTTCTCAGTAACAGTGAAGGACTCCTGATGCTATTTAAACTGTTAACCCATAAAATCGTGTACACGCTTACAGAAATGCCAACTTTGATGCCTTCGCTGCAACACTCAAGTAGATATCAGCTCCTTTTCTGAACAGTTTTTGCTTGTAAAGTACACACAAATATAAGGTTTTTGTGCACAGAAGGCTGTTGTATGGGCTGGTGAGTGAGAATGGAAATCGGGTATGACATCTTGTATTTTTAATGATTTGGGGTCAGGTGGTCCAAAGTGTGTTGGCTGGGAGAAAAACCAGAAGGGAGTTCTTGCCCCGAGGATGGTGAACTTGAGCGACTCCATGGACCCAAAGAGGTACAGCACCTCTTCTGCCTTTGCGAAAGGGGCAGTGTTTCACGGGTCCCCACTGGGTTAATTTCATCTGCTGGTTAAATAAAGGATCCTGACCGATACAGTATTACTATCTTAACATTATGTTTCATACATTATTTTGGGTAAGGTCGCGTAATGGTGCGGAGAAATTTGTTTCGTTAAGACTCCGCCATATTCATGCAAATCATTCTCTTCAACTTAACTTCTGAGCTGACACAATAATAATGTGTATGTAGTTAATCGCTTGTACGCTGCGTGACAGCTACATTTGTTTGGCCTCGTCAAGTGGTAGAGGGCCTAAACAACCCAAATTCTACCAAATCGTTGCGGCCCCACAAATCTATCGCGAGTGTAAATAATAACAACAATAACATACATGCTCTGGCCGTGTCACCACTGATATCTCTGGGCTGTTCATTTCACGACGCCGTCGCATTCCAGAGCCACAATTCCTCGCCACGCAAAGCTAGCGCTGTACCGGGGGTTTGGCGTCGGGTAAGGTTATAACACGCGCGTTCCAGGCTGGCAGAGTCGTCGGTTGACCTGAACCTCAAACTGATGCGGTGGCGGCTGGTCCCCTCGTTGGACCTGGAGGCCGTGTCCACTGCCCGCTGCCTGCTGCTGGGAGCGGGAACCCTGGGCTGCAACGTGGCCAGGACCCTGCTGGTACCGTAGCCCCCAGACCCACGCTGCCACCCGCTCCCTCGTGCAGCACGATGCTCGCGTGCATCGTGCGCGCCGCTCACAGAGTCTTGTTACTGAAGGTTGCGTGATTCATAATTGTCTTCTTTTGGGTTGGATCGCGTGTGCGTATGTTGATGTTCACTGCATTGCAATCGTTTTTTTTATTTTCCGTTTATTATTCGGTGTGTTCCATTAGCCAACCATGCTCATGTCAGTGTTTAACTATAACCCTCCGCCACCCGATTGGGTCAATCAAATCAAGTTGTCACGTCATGGGCAAATGTGCCACTTGATTTAGTTTATCAGCGAAACTGAAATGTGGAAAAGCATACACGATATAACCCAAAATAACTAATTACGAATCATAATATTGGTCACGAAAGCCTTTGTATTCATTTCGGATTTTTTTGTTTAAAAATATGACTTTAGTTTTGCTCTTCCAAGTATTATTACATCCGTACCAAATAACTCGATTGAACGACGCACATGTGGTTCACGCTGTTGGTGTACAATGTGGAGGTTGTTTTTATTATTCGAACCAATGGGGCGGAATGGGTGGGGGTTTGTTGCGAGGAATTTAAGGATTCTCCCCAACCCACAGCGATTCCATGGATTGCCAATTATTTGAGGGCATGATTGGATTCAAGGATTAATAATTTTTATATTTTGTTTGTATTGTGTCGTTTGTGTTATTCGTCTCGTTCGAACTTTTAGTCTCGGACAGGCAACCTGCCTTGTACATCTTTTCCCTCATTTGTATTGTCTTTATTATTTATACTGCCCATCCCGTTGGTACGGTCTGTGTTGCTTATACAGTTCCAGTTACATTAACTGTCTAGTTTGCATTGTCTGTCTCGTTTGTAATGCATTGCAGTCTCTTTAAAATTTCCCATGTATTCTTCGATGTATTACATTAGCAACATCAACATATAATCTACACGAATCCTAAATAATCGGTTCTGACACACGCGATTCAATGTATGCATCGTGATTGAATGAATAAATTTCACCAATTGAATAGAAGCATCCATTCCGTTAGATGCCCTTGTTGTTACCCCATGACCTGGGTCTGTTCCCCACAGCCATGGCGCCAGTTGGTCACCACTCCCCCTCCGCCCTCTGACCACCCCACGCATGTGTCTGGCCGTTGCCGTGCAGGGCTGGGGCGTGCGTCACATCACCTTCGTGGACAACGCCCGGGTGTCGTACTCCAACCCCGTGCGGCAGACGCTCTACGAGTTTGAGGACTGCCTCGGCGGCGGGAGGCCCAAGGCGCAGGCTGCGGCCGAGCGACTGCGCCGAATCTTCCCAGGCGTCGTACGTGATGACTCCCGCCGCCACCTCTCTCTCACTACCACCTCCATCCTCCTCCAAAAAATACAAAGATTCCCCCCCCGTAAAGACTTAACGGGTTGTTGGACCAAGCGCTGTTAGCCAGCTCCTATGAAGGCCGGCACCGCGCCCGGCAGCCTTTGTCCCCCCAGTGCTGTCGTTTGCACACCACTCCAGGCTGAGTTGACGTAGGGGAAGCCCAGAAGTTGCTCAAACATTTTCTACCGTCATTGGTCATGAGCGACAATCGAACTCGGATCGCCGTGTTCACAGTGCAGTGCCCTAACCACGACACTACCAGTCCCCCACCTCCTGCAAACACACGTAGACACATGCGTATATGTGATTTATTTTACCCAGGTGAGAGCCAGTTGAGACATATACCCTCTGGCACATCCGAGCCCCACTGACACGAGGTCTTTTTGCCAAGTCGAGCCAGAAGCGAACCGTGAAAGTCTGGTTCACCTGGCATCAGTATCTGTCCCGGTGGCCAAGCAGGGCAAGGGAGGGGTTTAAGAACTTTGATCGCATGTTACATGTTCGTCATGGGTTGCATCGACAGGCTCCTTGTTCGTTGTGTGTGACATTATAAACACAGATTGGATCCTGCAGAAGTAAAACAACATGGTCTTTGAGAATAGGTTTTCCCCTTTTTTCTGGCAACAAAACAGGTGTTGAGATGTTAAAACACCAAACTGTGAAACCTCTTACAAGGAATCATGTCTGCATTAACCACAATACTTGTGGTCAGAATGCAAACAAAAAACATACTCTGATAATATATGCATTGTCTTTGAAACTGATTGGTCCACACCAGAGACAGCTTTCTTTTGAGCCTCGTCTCAAAACGGTGTTCAGTGGAAAAAGATATATAAAAGTCTCACTTTCACAGAAGACTAAACTTATTTCAGAGGTCACCTGGCCACAAATGATAACTCAATGAAGTGGCTTATCACATGGAAATTTAGAGTAGCCAAATACTCTAAAACACAAGTTTCTTAACGTGGAGGGAAAAACTGGAGGACCACGGAGAGAGCACGCAAATTTCAAATATACTGGCGTCAGGGTCGGGATAAAACCCACGAACCCCGTAAATGAGACGAGGGAAATAACATCGCGCCACCGTGACTGGGTGTCACAAAGCAATAGAGTATTGAAGTATATTTAGGAACCACCATTAGCATCCAAGTGTAATAAAGGTCGTTGAGGCGACTTCTGGAATCCGTCTTTTATTCAACTTGTATTACAGCTTTCCTTCACGCTGCTGACAGGCAGCGTGAGAGGGACAGATAGAGAGACGCACCGCCACGTGGCAACTCGGAGCCCCGCTCCCGCGTGGCCCCCCTCCTCTGTTCGTTCCCGTTCTGACCCCGTGTCGTTCGTCTCGACCCCTATTTAATACCCGGGTCACGTGGTACGTTTCCACCAATCCTGGTTAGCCTCCATGGAATATTCCAGGCTCCCTCGTAAGCTCCCGGGACCACGCCCCCTGACTCATCTCCCCATTGGCTGTGGCCAAAGCCAGCAGAACCAATCCTCTACTTACAGCTGTCACCTTTCCATTACGTCAGGGCCACGCCCCTAGGCTTCCCCCCATTGGCTATAGACCAGGACCGGCAGAGCCAATCATCATGACGAGTTGTGATACGTCAGTGAGCCGGATATATCCTCACATTACACAAGCAAAACCACCATAGATAAGGAGGATGGGTTTCCCTGCAACTTGCGTTTGCCCAGGTGTCGGAGGGTCTCTCACTGAGCATCCCCATGCCTGGCCACGCGGTGGGCTCGTCGCCGGAGGCTGAGGAGCAGGCGCGCAGGGACACGGCGGTGCTGGAGAGGCTCGTGAGCGAGCACGACATCGTCTTCCTGCTCATGGACACGCGGGAGAGTCGCTGGCTGCCGACTGTGCTGGCCGCGAGCAAGCACAAGGTGCGTGCCCACCCCCACGCATACTAAACTATTGTGAAACAATTTTTGTATTTTACCAGGGAAAGCCCATTGAGCCGTGTAGCTCTTTTTCAGAAGCAACCTGGCTGTCACGAACGATAGCTCAATGAAGTGGTTTATGTGGAACATTTTCGCAACCAAATACTCTAAAGGCATGTTGATTCTAAATGTGGAGGGAAAAACCGGAGGACTTGGAGAAAAATCCACCCGACCACGGAAAGAGCACGCAAACTCCAAATATACAGGCATCAGGGTCGAGATGGCACCCACGACCTCCTGTATACCAGGCGAGGTAGTTAACATCTCGCCACAGTGGCGCCACATACCCACCATCGCGGGCGGGGAGTCCCATGTCCACCAGCTCTTAGGTTAGACGTGTTCGCTATGCTTGGTTAAATTCACATCTCCTCCCCCTCCCCCATGAAGTAATTTGTTGAATTTCCAACATTTGGGGTCCACGAATATGTTAAACAATTTTTTTTGTCTGGTTAGTATAGTCTCATTTTACGTGTTTTCCTATCTCATTCGTACAGTTTTGTTTGCTTCATTAGATTTAAGGTAAGTGGAAAGGTACAGCCCTGCAATTGCCTCACCACACCGCTGCATGCGGGAGAGCGAGCCTCCGCTGGAGGGAGCTGTGGAGAATCCCTCCAGAGAGGGTATTTGGCCTACTCTTCCATGCTGCTCAGATGTCTCTGAAGAGATAGGAGTACCCGCAGTTTACCTCGCCAAACGTGACCTGCTGAACGACTTCATAAAAAATAATTTGATTGAAGTAACATGGTCCCGCTTTACAGGTTTTCAACTCAGTACATTTTTGTTCATTTCATTAGCTTGTATGCATAAGAAATGAAATAATCAACATACTCTCATAACTTGGGAATAAACTCTTCTCATATGCACGCTTCGAGGTATGTATTGTGGATGTAAGAATCTGGTTTAATCCAACAATTGACGCATTGTCAATTACACGCCTCATGCCTCGTGTACAGCTACCCGTCTCTTCATCCTTGGCGATTCCACGTGTCTTTCCGCTGTGTCGAGCCGTTGAAATAAGTCAACTGTGCCTTTGCACCTGCTCGCCCTGTCAAGACAACTTGTTGTGTCTATGCCTTCCTCCGTCTTGACGTTTGTTTTTAAAACAAGCCACGATGTCTCTATTACAAATGACGATATCCAATTATGCTTCTTCCAATCTCCCCGCACAAAGTTTTCTTCTTTGATGGCAGTTTTGAGGGAAACTAAAAAGCAAAAAATGCACACTATGAAGTTATAAAGTTACCGCTTTCGTCAACGTGGACAATAAATAACTGGTTAATTAAAAATAACAGCGATTTGTTTTTACAATTGCTGAGAGGAAATAATGATCGTCACAGTCTGTTGAAATTTCAACATTTCTGTGAAATAAATAGAATCAACTTTGCAATGTTGTTTTGTACCTTGTTAAAATGTCATTCATAACCAATATTTTATTCTCGCCTTCAAAAATATATATGAAGTCATAATTAGTCAAAACTCAATTAGTTAAAACCTCAAAAAATTTCCCCCCCCCTCTTTTTTTGACGATATAAGAACACAAACAAGAAAATAAATCCATGTGATTGTTTTTTTTTTATATGAACCCATTCCATAAAAGCAAACCGAAATAACCTTCACTGTGTTGTAAATGTCCTTGTTCACAACGTCCCATGCGCAGGGGCGGAACTAGAAACTTTTTGAAAATGTATCCTACTTGAATATTATTTTAAAATGTATATTAAATAAAATAACACATTTTCAGGGACTCAAGTTGAGGGGGAGGGTGTATAATCACCCCTATCACCCCACTCACCCTACATGGATCCACAGCTCTCGTCTGCATTCTACATAATCGTCACAGGACCATGATGGACGACTTGGAGAGGCCTTCACCCATTAGTCGATCGACCCTTTCCAATGACGATAACGGTGGCGGTGTCGTCGGCTTTCGTGTGCCGTAGCTGGTGATCAACGCTGCCCTTGGCTTCGACACGTTCGTGGTGATGAGGCACGGCCTGAAGGCAGCTAGGGAGGACCCGGGAGACGCACTCGGTAGTCTCGGCGCTGCCGCCGCCGCCACCACCACCACCTCCTCGCTCTTCTCGGACATCCCCGGCCACCGGCTCGGCTGCTACTTCTGTAACGACGTGGTGGCACCTGGAGACGTGAGAGGCTCTCTCGTGAAGCGAGAACGCGACGGGGATGAGTGTCGAAATTAAAAGAGCTTTATAGCTCATCGGATTGCTCCGGTGTAAATCAATATTCTGATTCTGATATTAAAAAAAAAAAATCGGTTAGAACGCGTAAATATAATTGTGCCGATAACCCGGCACATCCTGACACAGGCAATTGGTAAGGTTTGTTATATAAACAAAGCACCGTTTTCATTCCGTCATAGCTCTGCTCTTTAATAATGACGCCAATATCAAGTGTACGACGTTATTAATTGTCGTTATTGTTGTCATTCCTGTTGTTATTATTATTATCCGCGAGCAGTCGACGAGAGACCGCACCCTGGACCAGCAGTGCACAGTGAGCCGCCCGGGCCTGGCCATGATGGCCGGAGCTCTCGCTGTGGAGCTCATGGTCTCCGTGCTGCAGCATCCAGAGCGGTACGCCCTTGCGCTGCGGCTGGTCAGCCCGGCTCGGCCCGACAGCGTTCTTCACGGAACAAAACGCGATACAGCGGTGCATTTCACGACATGACCGTCATTGTAACGTCCCTCCCATCATTACCTCTTTTCCCATGTTCCCATAATGTATGTGTTTGCATGTTGAGCTTCTTCCGCGCCATACGTAGCCAAACTGAAGGTGCAGGGGAAGGACAACAAACTAAACACAACCTCGCTCAATACAACAAACGTATTAACTCACATTGCATGCTCTTACAGTAGTCCCTGGTCCTTGCTGTCCGCTTGGCAATCTTAGACCTTTGGGCCCGGCGATTATAGTGATAGCGGTTTTCGGTTACGTTGTATTTTCACGTATCTTGCAATGATTTGTTTGTGCTTTGTTGCACGTTATGTGCAAATAAATACTTGCTTCCAAGTCATTCTGCTGCAGTTCACGCGACATAAACCTCCCGTAAGTCGTCAAATCATTGTAACTTTGCAATCTGTAACACTTATAATGATACACTCTGCCAAAAATTTATGGCGTCATATAACCACCATGCAGAATCAGAATCACGATCTTTATTTAGACTGGAGAAAACAGATGTCCAGTAGCACAATTACTCCAGAAATCTTTTAAAATGCATTAACTTAACGAACATAAGCTTTATATTTTTGATTATTGTGTTATTTCATTATTATTAATGCAAACTATGGGGTTTTTGTAGCCAATATTATGTACGATCCAAATTTGTTTTGGCTCAGGCCACATATTTATTTTGACAATTCTTGTCGCTAACTCTCCGCCAACCAAAGAATGTTACCGCCTTCACGCAGATATTGTTATTACTCCGTATTATATACACGTGGCCAGTGCATTGGTCACATTCTGACCGATGCAGCTCCTCCTAATCGATCGCCCTGAGACTCTTTGTTCCCGAATTCAACAACATACAACGACATTCCGCTCAGACTGCTTTGAGATACTTCCGGTAATTCTCCCAGAAATGCATTTGCTAATATTTGATGCATATTTTGTGGGGAAATAAAATGTTTGAATCGATCAACGGTCACCACGTCATAATGACATTTAACAAATTGGGCGGTCCAATTATGTTATATCGTACGACATGATAATTGGTTTTTTACCCTTCTATCTGGCAACAAAACTGACACTTTTTTTTTACAAGGAGTCATGTTTGCATAGACCACAATACCTGCAGCCATAATGCAAACAACAAAAAACATAACTTTGATAATATATGCATTATCAGAGTTATGTTGTGTTATGTTTTTTGCATTATCAGAGTTATGTTTTTTGTTTGCATTATGGCTGCAGGTATTGTGGTCTATGCAAACATGACTCCTTGTAAAAAAAAAGGTGTCAGTTTTGTTGCCAGATAGAAGGGTAAAAAACCAATTATCATATTTTTTACTGGCAAATGAGGTTCCAATGGTGTAAATCGTACGACATGTCTCTCGGTGTCGCCGCAGTGTGTGAGTTCTCGTGACGACCCTTCCCCTCCCCTCCGTCTCCGCGTCATCGCCCACCCCTCGTGCATCTGAGCCTTTCACGTCAGTCCATCTGGGAAGGGACGTGAGTCGCTAATTGATCTCCGTGCCGTTACAGGGGCTACGCCTCGGCCAGTGTGGGAGATGACCGCATGAACGAGCCCCCGACGCCGCTGGGTTTGATCCCACACCAGGTGCCGCTCGCGTCTGCTTGGCTTGCTGTGTGACGTGCGCACGCATACGTATGCCAACCGTGCTAATCGGAGTTGCGCACGTACATACGTGTGTATACGTACGTGCAAAAGAAATTGGTGGGGAGCGGCGGTGTCACGGTTAGCGCGCTGCGCTATGAACCCAACGACCCGGGTTCGATTCCCGTTCACGGTCAATACCAGTGACAGTTATCTGAACCGGTTCTGGGCCTCCTCTAGATCCACTCAGCCTTAAATGAGTACCTGGTACGGTGTGTAAACATCGCCACTGGGGAGACAAAGGCGGTCGGGCGTGGTGCTGGCCACCCACCCCCTCGTGTACCGTTGCGGCCTTCATAGGTGCTCGCTAACAGCACTTGCCCCTACAGTCTGTTAAGGCTATACGGGGGATCTTTTTGTTATCTTTGTGCACACACACATCAATGACCTATGTTTACTGTGCATTCATTGATAACACTGCCATGTAAAATTATAAAACGAACCAAAGTGAGCCCGATCAGCTCTCGGAAGCTGTACAGGTCTCCGATGCGTTTGCGGAATTTACCGCGTGTTGTTCGGCACGATGTCTGACGTTTCGCTTCATGCGCTGGGAGCGTTAGTTCCTGAAGAAGCTCTCGGCTTCAGTTCATAAAGAAGCTCCGATCACGTAAAGCGAAACATCGGACGTAACTCTGAACAACGCAGTACAGTTATCTCTCTGTCTCGCTGCTGCCTGTCAGTCTGTCACATTTGCTAAAATGTATTTGATGGCGGCCGAAGACATGAGGACCACAATGCAGTTCTCCAGTACCTCTCGGTGGCTTTTGCACAATGCACACGGCTGAGTGCTTTTTGCACACGTAACTGTGTGTTGCTTGGAACGCGGTACGAGTTCATGAGCCTTGACCAGATGTTTCACGTGTCAGTACCACCTGAACTAGCACTTTAGCGGTTCCAATGTCGTTGGGACCAATAACAATGAAGTATCGGATTCCCATTTGAAATCAGTGGGTTATTAAATAATCGACTCTCATTAGCCACGTAAATAAAGTGGAATTGCTAAAGTTTTGCGACCTTACGTGGTACCAATATCTACTCTGGTCCAAGGACCATCTATACATATATAGTTGACCAATGTTATCCATAACGCAGGTTGTTTTGGGTTAGATCTATAGTAAGCACAAGCCTCCGGTAAATCATATGACTTATGCGTAGCCACCACTACTCTGGATTTCTCCCCTGTCCCCGCCCCCTGTGAAAAGCAAATCTGCTTGTACCTTCTGCCTCTCCCTCCCATCACTGTCTCATCCCCGACACATTGGCCCAGTCATTCCTTCTCCCCCACCTCCCCCTTGCGTCTGGCATTCCTTCTTTCTTCCTGGTGCTCATCTTGAACCGTGCCCCTCTTTTTCTTGTGGACTTCCGTCCCAGCATTCCTTTCACTACTCCTCTTCCCCGTGGTGGTGTGTCACGGAATGGCAAGGATTTCATGCGAACCGAATCGGGGCGGTGTTGTTTCTACGCCAGGTGGCGATGTCGGCCACAGCCAAGACAGAGACGAAGCACTGTACAAGGGGCGTGTGTCTTTTGTCAATACTTTGGCTGCTTTACAACAACAAAAAACATGTGCACGCAAATGCGTGCACAACCATGGCGATTATATATAAATACACAAGAGGCAGCTAAGAGTGTGGCAAAGAGAGTGCGTCAGAATTGTACGTGCAGTTTTTTCTTTTTCACTGCACTGTAGTCCCAAGTGCGGTAACATGAATATGTTGATATCTGAAAGAAAAAAACAGCTAAAAGCTTCACGATGGTTTGGTCAAAACTTTTTCGTCTTTTGTTTTCTCAACAATTATATTTGGCAATATATAAATTCAGGGATAGTGGTGGTGCAGTGGATAGCACCCAACGCTTTCAAGCCATAAACCTGAGTTCGATTCCTGGCCACAGCTAACACCAGTGGTATCTAAACCAGCACCTCCTGGGCAGCTACCCCCCCCCCCCATCACCAAAACACACCGAGCAGCGTGGTGAGGTAAGTCCAAAATAACCCTCGTGGCCAGCACAGGGCTTCGTCTTGCTGTGGATTGTCATGCCACTGAATTATGTTATTAACTTAATATATCGATGAAACAAGTATATGGGAACAGAGTGAAATATTGAAATGTATTCACCGTTGCTTGTGATGTCACTTAACTTCCCTCCCATGGTTTCCTTGCACCAGGGACTTGGGAGGTCTCAACAGGTATCTCCTCTGGTCAAACAAAGTCAAGGAATGTATGAGCTTGTAGTGACGCGTCGCTGACATCAACACAGTGCGATACAAAGGACACAGCACAATGTTTGGATCACCGTTGCTCTCTGTATCTCGTTTCCAGATTCGTGGTTTTCTGTCCAGATTTGACCACGTGCTCCCTGCCAGCCTGGCCTTTGATAAATGCACTGCCTGTTCAGCTACAGTAAGTAAATCTGGGCTTAGAGAAAGAAAAAGACACTCACACACGCACGAGCACGACAGCGAACTTTTGCTGCCAGTGCACATTTTCACTTGGTGGGTTTTTTTTAACTTGTGAAATCTTTGACAAAGTGTAAAACCAGACGAAAAAAACTGTTCCTGTGAATGAAAAAACTGCGCTGTTCAACATACAGATGTTTTAAAATTGTACTTAATGGACATTTTACTACCGTCATTTCCGTTTCTATAATTAGCATCGTTTCTCCCTGGCCATCTCTGCCGCCTCCAAAAAAGTACCGCGCAAAAAATTTACTGCCGATGCATCGAATCGGACCCTGCGAGTCTCCGTTCATTCCCCTGCGCGGGTGCATTTGCAAGGCACCCGGAAAAGCAGGGTGGTCCCATTTGGCCCACACGGTAATCTGGGTTACTTTGGTGCTATTCTATCACTAGAACCAGGGTCAGCATCGATGTTCTTCTGCTCCTATTCACGGCGCTCTGCGCGACTGCGAGACTATTCCCGATAGGGCGTTTGAATTGTTCCCTACATTTTGTCCCTGGGCCCCGTTGGCGAAAGGGATGCTGCTGCTGCTGTTGTGTAATGGTTAGCCCACTGGAATTGTTACTCGGATGCGTGGCAATTTAAACAATGGCAACACTTTCTTAAATCCTCCCCGCCTCTGCCCACACAGCAGTATTGATGGGCTCGCCACAGTTGTATGCATGTATGTTGAACTTCTTTTGCGCTGTACGTAGCCAACCGTGCTCATCAGAGGTGCGACGGCTCAACATTTAAATTTCGATTTAAAGCTTTCGTGACTGCAGGGATTCACATTCTTGGTTCTTTCGGTAAAGTCACGTAGAAGGGAAAAAACAAAATAATAAAAATGAAACAATAAAATTCTCACCACGTTTTAATTGCAACACAAGCAATCATCATCAGGTGTGAAAACCACCGCCACTTTTTTCAAATTTTCTTGCTGTGGTTTTCACACCTGATGATGATTGCTTGTGTTGCAATCGAAACATCATGAGAATTTTATTGTTTTATTTTTATTATTTAGTTTTTTTTCCTTCTACGTGTCTTTACCGAAAGAATCAAGAATATGGCTCAATAATTAGTTTGAGCGGCAGGTTGCGTGTGCTGGGATAGAGTGTGGGTACTTTCACATATTCTCAGATGCCTGGCCAGTGTAGAAAGTAGGTCAAAATACACTGGAGGTGCTGTCCCTGCCACCAGCATTGGTGTGAGAAAGCCATTGCAGCGTGGCACCTTTACTTCGGGTGAAAGTACCTATCTTCATCTCGCCATGGACACAATAAAGGTTTAATCCCAAACATTCAATGTGAAAACATCGGAGCATCGGGTCGTCCGGGTTGTTTGACCTTACTTCACACTGATCAGTGAGGGAGAGATTAGAACAGCAGTGGATTTGGCTGCACTGACCTCTGCTGCCCGTAATAACTACTGCACCTGTTTTTTTGGGGTATCAGTGGTCACCCATCCAAGCACTTTCTAGGCTCAACACTGTTTAGCTTCCAAAGCCTGAAGACTGGGCATACTCGGGGTGAATTGGTTCATAGGAACATGTCGGGGATGTGTTTTGCGACTCTAGGTTTTAATCCAAACAATCCAAAAATCGAGCCTAGGTACAACATTTTAAATGATACAAAAACATGCCTTGACAGGAAGTGACGTACCTTTACGTGCCATCACAGGAACTGAAGTCACTTTCAGGCCATCTCTTCTGTGGTTTTCTCGCCAAAATGATGTTACGTGACATCAGGTGATGTCACCACGGTTAACGCGGAGACATTTTAAACTGGCACGTCACAAAAACACTGTTCCAGCACACGAATAAAATCCCAAATTGTCATGCAAAAATACAAAGCCTTTAAATCTGAAACTGATCCCTTATACGTGCAAGTGTACGTTTTGAGCCATGCTGTGCGTGCATTCGTGCCTTTCGCCGGGTGTTCAGTGGCTGTGTTATAGAGTAGGCATTTCCATTGAGTGGCAAGTCTCTTGGGCAACCTGACGCATTGTATCGTTTCACGTGGGCAGAAACAGGGGGATAGCTTGAGGGGAATAAGGTCGCTGTTGTGCGTGGGCAGGTGTGTGCTGTACAGGGGAGCGTGCTGTGAATTTAGTGGGGGGGGGGTTCGGGGGGTGGGGAATCCCATTCAATTTAAGTTACAAAACTCGCATTTCGTAGAGCTTTTTGTACTATTGTGTACAATCTCTCGAGTGACAATGTCTGGCTTTGTGCCTAGCGGTAATGTGCTGATAATGTTCAACTGGCACTACCCTTGTGAGGGCATTATTTTCCTTTTACAAAACAAGCCGTTGCACTATTAGGGGTGGACTAGTGGCGCCACGGTTAGCACACCGCGCGGCGATGTTCACCCCGGCAACCTGGTTTTGATTGCAGTGCACGGCTATCATCGGTGACGAGTGCTATATGAACCGTGGGGTGACCTCGACCCAGCTTTAGATTGAGAAATAAATATATTCTCTCTATTTTCATAATTATCGCTACACTGTCATCGAATTTAGTTGTTGTTGCACTTGGTTTTATTATCATGGGTGATGAGCACAGGCCCAAAGGCCTCGTATGCCAAGTAAGCAAACAGCGCTGCTGAAGGATTCATACATAAGAGTTTAAAACTAAGACTACAAAAAAAGACCCACTGGGCTACATAGCTCTTTTTCAGAAGCAACCACAAATGATAGCTTAACGAAGTGGCTTTAATGTGGAAATATATAGTAGCCAAATACTCTAAACGATGTTTCTAAATGTCGAGTGAAAAATAGAAGGACCCAGAGAAAAATCCATGCCATCACGGGGAGAATATCAAAACCCCAAACATACAACAGGTGTCAGGGTCGGGATGGAACCCACGACCTCCTGCATACCAGGCGAGGGAGTTAACATCTTCACCACCGTGACGAGGTGTTAACACACCTCCTAAATCGAGCAAGGCAGTAAGAACTTGGAAAAGGGGACAATGGGTGAGAATGTCAAGGTTGAGCAAGAAGCAGAAAGAGGAGAAGTCTTGTGACCTGCGGCGTGGTAGTTGAACACAGTGTGGTTGAAATCAAACAGTCCACGTGATTGACCGAGTCCACAATATGGGTGAAGGAATCAAAGAGTACAGTTTACAGGAACGAGTAACCATGGCAGTAGCGATAGAGGGGTGATAATGATGCGATGAGCCAGTGACTGGCTAAAGAGGAAACGTATTTAAAAAAATAAATCTTAGCTCAGCTTGCCATGAAATTCGTATCTGTTGCTGCTGTCACTGGATCCGGTTATGATCCGCAAAGGTTTTACCCTGGCCACACAACCTGTCGGTACGCCAATAAATAAACGCTCCCTGGTACCATCTGTTATAGGGACTATAAATACACGGGGCTATTTTTCGTCCACCACGACCACCTCCCACAACCCCTGAGAATTAGCACCCTCATTATTCAAGTGCTGGTGCACCCAACCTTACAGTAAGGCAATCGCTTGGATAGCTGGGTGGCTAATTTGAGGAGTGCGCCGAGAAATCCGTGGGTGTGCACGTGGAAATGGTTTGCGCCCCTCCGTGCCGAAGAGAGCAATCGATGGATGCCCGCGTTGGCCTCGCTTTAGCAACTGTACGTGTGGGCAGCGATCAAACCGACCGACTTGAGGAGAGTCATGTGCCTGTTGCGTACCAGCTGTAGCATTGGGGCAACAGCTCCTTGTCAGGGGCTCTTCCAAGAAGGGGGAGAAAACAAATCCTATAACAACAGCGACACAAATTTCGATTTAAAGCTTTCGTGACTGCAGGGATTCATATTCTTGGTTCTTTCGGTAAAGTCACATAGAAGGGAAATAATAAAACAATAAAATGCTCACGACGTTTCGATTGCAACACAAGCGATCATCATCAGGTGTGAAAACCACAGCAAGAAAATTTGAAAAAATTGGCGGTTTTTTCAAATATTCTTGCTGTGGTTTTCACACCTGATGATGGTTGCTTGTGTTGCAATCGAAACGTCGTGAGAATTGTATTGTTTTATTTTTATTATTTTATTATTTCCCTTCTACGTGACTTTACCGAAAGCAACAACACAGTTTATGTTGCATCTAAATGGCAAATTACGAGAATTGGAAAAAGCTACATTAGGGTAGATTGTGGCGGGGTAGCTGGATGGTATTTGGTGATAGCGATTAGAGTTGGGTAACGTGGTAGACATAATTGGAGGGAAACTCCGTGGCATGGCTCCTGGATAAGCAATTGTATCCATAGGGCCAACAGCGACGTATGTATGTTGAACTTAGTTGGGACTGTACGTAGTGAACCGTGGTAATCGAAGGTTGCAGGGGAAGGACAACAAACTACTGTAAACACAAAAAAGCAGTTCTCAAGAAATTCGTTTTCCATATAGATTTAAAAGTGCGCTGCTCCGGTGGCTTGCTAATATCAGAAGGAAGAGCGTTCCAGATGGCCGCAGAAGCGCATCTGAAAGCGCGCGGCGTAGTGACCGTCTTTGTCCGATGGTTAGCCAAAAGCCGCCGCTGCGAAGAATGACCGGATTTTGCATGAACCACGGGGACAGCCAGGGCACCCTCCTCGTGGAGATCCAGGGGCTGTGACGAGTCCAAGGGGCATCCTTGAGGGGGGGGGGGGTGAGCAGGGAAACTTTATCCCTTCAATGCGTTCGTGGGCAAGGTTGCAATGAAAAATCAAGCCCTTGGTACGTTTTGCCCAGAATCTCCGTATGGTTGCAGCACGCCGTAACGTGGACAGCACCCGACCAGTGTGTTTTCCCGCAAATTAAATGCGGAGTATTTTTCACGAGCACAAGGGCATTAATTAAAACCAGATGGGCTCTGGCGCTATTGCTGCGGTGCTCCCGGGAGCGCTGCCTTCAGCGTCGCGAAACGACTGCGCGTATCGTTTACAACGCCCGCGTACACTATTGCCGTGTGCACATTGTGTGCACAATCCTGCACACTTTTAGGTGCTATAAAGGCACACTGCATTGTATTTGCATTGTTCGCTGCTTTGCATGCGCAACTTAAGTGGGCCACGTGTGGGCGTTTTAAATAGCGCCTCTGCCCCAAAACTGTGGATGGATGATGGATGAGGGGCATAACTTTGATGGCAATGGAAGTACCAAATTTAAGATGTTACATTATGCTCCGCCACATGACAAGAGAGACAAGACTCCGACCCAAGTAAAACAAACATCGGTGGACACGTTCTAATAAAGCTGCACTTATAATCCCCTTGCCGTAATACCCGGTGGGTTTTGGGCTTAATACACAATGAGCCTGGGGTCTTTTTACAAAAAAACCTCTCCCCCCTCCCCCCTAGAGCTGGCGCTGGGAGACTGGTCACACTGTATGGAGTTGGCGCTAGTTTTGGCAGTGATATTGGCGTCCACTGCCGACCCCCCCCCCATGAGAATAAGAAACTCCACTCGAGTTCCACGGGGCGCCTTCTTGGTGAAGGGACAGCAGTCGCTTAGTTAAACGCTGTCTTCACCAGAGAGACGCTTGCGGAAGGAAAAAATATATATTGACGAGTGAAGTCTGACCGCTTACTAAATGGCAGATTGTTTCTGCAGAGATCTACTGTTGAATGCTTTTTGTACGTAACAAAAAGCATTCTACGGTGTGACGTGAACTGCGCGTATTTACACACGCGCGCGCACTTGCGGGTGTGCGTGTGTGTGCGCAGTTTGTATATTTCAGTTATTAGTTGATGAAAATCATAACTGCTGCAAGTGTGTTGGTTGGATAGGTCAGTTGTTTTAAAGGGCGCTTTAGAAAAAGCAAATTATTTTTATTTGTATTTCATCCCAAATGTTAGCGTTGCTCGTAAATTAAATATTTTCTTAATTGAGTCAATTTGGCTAACGAAGAAAACACACGCACAGCGTACGTATACAAAAATATATATATTGGTGTGCACGTGGAATTGGAACCTGCCCTGTTTTGCCAAAAAGTGGGAGAATTTCTGTGATGGCTGAGGAGTGACGCACACGTAAACCCGCACCACGTGCCACACCGTGAATAATTGTAAGGGCCCCGATTGCAGCTGTGTTGCACGTGGCTCGGAATAAATCACAACCCCATCTTTGGCTTTCGGTGTTCTTTTCTATTTTTGCAGTGAAATATTTATAACGAAAAAAAATCGTACGTATACATTACACATTTATGGAAATGTGAATTTTAACGCGTAGTACTTTCGCGTGATTAAATATGCGATGAGTGGGGCAATGGGGGCTTAAAAAATAAGGTAACGCATTTATACCAAAATATCCCTGATTGCACATGATCTTTGGAGTCAAAGCAGCGTTGAGCCTTGTTAATACATGGATGAGAGACTACCTAGGAATGCTAGGTTGTCATAGTATTTGGGTGCCAAGGTGGTCTGTCGTTAGTTATTCGGCAATAAATGTTTCAAATCTATATTATTAGGTTTTTTCGGTAAAGTCACGTAGGTAAAAAATTAATTAATAAATGTAAAATAAAAAATCACGACGTTTCGGAGGCAACACAAGCTTCCGTCTTCAGGTGGAACCGTCACAGCACGATTTTATTTTTATTTACTTTATTAATTTTTATTTTTTACCTACGTGACTTTACCGAAAAAACCTAAGAATATGAATCATTGCAGTCACGAAAGCTTCAAATCTAGAAGTTTTAAATCTATTTACGTAGGGCTATTTGAGTGTTATCCCCTCGTACGTATGGTTTTCTCCTGGCACCTTGTTCCCCCCCCCCTCCCCACAGTGCCACGCTTTCACTCGTAGAATTTCCTCAACATCCCATGTGGAACTCGACTAAAAAAAGTGTCTGTGAGAATCTTTCAATCCTCGGTGGAAGGAGCATGGTTATGTTAGAAGAAAACTGCTTGCACTGGCATTTTTGTTGATATGACTTTCACAGGAAACTCGGCATTATTCTGTCCCCTGGAGCCCACTTTCATTGCACGCGGTGGAATGCGTATCTGCCTTCGTTATTCACAGGAATGCGTGTTTAATCGTACTTGCGGTATATCATCCGAAACTGACAACGCTGCATTTGGTTTTTAGCCAACGACAAAACAAAAAGTAACGGTGTCTGTCAAAGCCACATTTTTATTTCATTTACTTTCCTTTATGCAGCTTTACAATACCATGGTATACATTTTTTTATATAAAATAATAATGTTGACCCAAGCCCCCTTTTTTTCTTTTGAAAAATTCAAGGAGAGAGGGCCCCCCCCCCCCTCCTCTCTTCCTGACGAAAAAAAAGCACAATCGGCGAGGGGCCTCCTTCAATAATGTGGGGCAGTTGAGCGTTAATTCCGCTCCGGCCTTTGTTACATTAAGTGCCGGACCACCCAGACACTGCATCAGCGTGGGGCTTCCACCCCACACGACGCGGCGGCGTTCGCCCGTAACAATGTCCCGCCCGCCCGCTCGCTCACCCGCTCGCTCGCTCCCCCGTTCATCCGCTCGCTCGCCCACTCGCTCGCCCTTGCGCTTTCTGCGTTTTCCGCCAGGTGTTGGAGCACTACGAGCGGGAGGGGTTTGCGTTCCTCCGCCAGGTCTTCGACTCGTCGCACTCCTTCCTTGAGGACCTCACCGGCCTCACGCAGCTGCACCAGGAGACGCAAGCGGCCGAGGTATGTATGTTGCGTATGTACGTTGAATTTCTTTCGCACCGTACATAGCCAAGCGCGCTAATCGGAGGTGCGGGGAAAGGACAACAAACTGCATACAAAAAGCAGTTCGAAAGAAATGAGTTTTCAATCTCGATTTCAAAGGGCACAACTCTAGCGGCTTCCTAATATCGGAAGGAAGAACGTTCCAGACGGCCGCAAGAAGCACATCTGAAAGCGCGTGATTGCGGTAACCCGTCTCTGTTATGTGCCCAGCAAAGAGCTGCTGCAAGGACGACCGGAGTTCGCGTTGGGTGAGGCGGTCCATCGCGCTCTCCTAACGCTCTCCCGCGTCGTGCCTGGCTGGACGTGCCTGGCGTTCTTTCCGCAGCCCCCCCACCCCCTGGTCCCTGGCTTCATATAGTCGTTGTACCAGCGCCAATTTCTTCTGAGATGTGTCATCGGCAACCGAGTCACTTTGCCCATAAGATGTCTGGGCTGGGACCGCGTGAGACGACAGCCGCCGTTTATCGTTTATCGATTATCGATTCAAAGTTCAAATGTGATGCTCCACATATCTTTCGTCTAGTGCGGCCCAGTTTTCAGATGGCTGGCAGCATGTGGCACCTCCCTTCCACACTTCTCTCTGCTTCCTGCCAGTCTCGCCATGTTAATTTGCAACTATAAATGTTTTCGATTTACAAACGATTTTCGACAAAATTACTTAAAATTTCGTTTTATTTGTGATCAGAAATTAGCTGCAAACTCGTAAGCGTGTACAAAGGAATATGTGAGTTCGGGGTTTAGGGTAAAGTTGTTGTACCCTGTCAACAGTTTCGTTTATTTGTTGTCCTTTTCTCAATTTCATTTTCATTGTGGCATAGGCCTCATTGTTCTGAGACGAAGTGTCCTTTCTGAACTCCCAGAGCTTTGCATCACACCGTATTATAAAATGGCCCATGAAAGCAGATGTCACCGAACTACTTCTGAGATTCCTCGATGGACCCTTTTTGTTTATCCACACACACATGGGGACAGGGCACTTTTCCACATATCCTGCTATGAAGAAATGTTCATGGCAGGACAGTCAAAATGAGATATTTTTTTCCCATTCAAAGCTGGCATTTTGCCAAATTAAGTTTAAAAAAATAATGTGTTGTTTTGTTATGGAGCATATCATGACCGGACTGATACCAACAACTCGCTAAACATGAGAGCCCCGGTTTAATCACGGTCAGTTGGTTGAAACCCAAATTCGAACGCAGGATTTGAGCGTGTTGGCTCAGCGGTTTGACCTCTGAGCCACCCACCCACATCTCTTGTTTATCATTTTAATCTCTCAGTGGCCTCTAATGGACGATTGTTTAGGGGCACAAGTGTGGATGTGGGTGACAGCAGGGCGCAAGGGCAAGGCGTAGGTCTCGAGGGCGTGTTGGGGGCATAATGGCACATGTCAAGGCTATGAGATGCTCCATCTGGGCCTAGTGGCCCAGCGGAAGTGATCGCAGCTCACAGTCACAAGCTTGCAAAATCACATTGTTTGGGAGGTTGACTCAGCCCATCATCCCTCCTGAGGTCGATACGACAAGTATGACTTTGTTGGAGAAGTCAACAGTGGTTGTCCTGTGGGTCGACTCACCGCTGCTATACGAATGTGTAATTTCCATTGCTGACCCAGGGTTATAAACAGGAGATGAACACAGCCACAATGCTCATTTCAGCAAACCATCACTTAGACTTGTTATCTGAGTGCGAAGATAGATGCAGCTCTGGCGATAAGTGCTCGGAAAAACGGCTGCCCTTCATTCTCGCAGGATCTTTTGGCTGGCCATCGAACAAAGACGATCACTGGATCGCACACTTTTAGGTGGGCTTCTATGTCCATCTGGAATGCTCCTCCCGATATTAGGAAGCCACTGGGGCAGTGCACTTTTAAATCTAGATTGAAAACTCTATTGTTCAAAACTGTTTTTTGTGTTTAGTTTGTTGTCCTTATCGCGCACTTCCAAGTTGCATAGTTGGCCTTGTACGGTATGAAAGAAGTTCAGCATACAAACATACATGCACTTGACAGCAGGGCATTTGCTCTGGCCAAGACTATGTCCAGCCCAGCCAGCTAGCCTGCCCATGTGCACAGCCCATCCCCTGCGATTGAGCATGCGCTTGCTTTCAGAGTTGTAAGCTATCAAGCCAGATGTGGTCGTCACGTGATTTGTGTGTTAACTAATCCCAGGACGAGCCACGAATGTTTATTTTGCCTTGTAGTGCAGCGCGTCCCGAAAATACGATGACATTTGACCAACATAGAAAGGGCCGTGTTTTTGTAAAGCAATAAGTGGTGGTCTTGGGTTATCACAATTTTGAGAGGCAATTTACTCTGTGAGTAACACAATACCATTTGGTAGAACAAATGTCTTTTTTCAAAAGAATGGTAACTTCATATTGCCAAAATCATTTTGATTGCATCAGGTAATAGGGCAGAAGTAATTTTTAAATGTTATTGTCCTTAGGTATTCCGTATAGCCAATATTTACGATGCTCGGTTCTGTTTTCTGTTAAATCCCCATCTGTGCCTATTTATTATCTCCGTGCCCTTTAAAACGTAATATCCAGAATACACAACAGTGTAATATAGTGTAATGCCGCTCCAATATTGTCTCCACAACCCCCATGGTCAAGTCTCTCGTGCCTAACCAGCCTCATGAAGTTTACTGGGCATTCATCATCAGCCATGTTCTATCCACTGCTGGATGATTGCCTCCCCAAGCATTCCTCTTCACGCTTCTCTCTCGCTAAATTTCGAAATGATTTGTCAGGTTCCATGCTTTTCAGACTCGGTGAGGCTTTTCTGCATATAAAGGGCATTGTTTAATCTTGACTGAAAGCTTTCGTGACTGCAGGAATTCATATTCTTTGGGTCTTTCGGTAAAGTCACGTAGATGGTTCAAAGAAAATAACAAAAAACGACGACGTTTCGATCGCAACACGAGCGATCGTCATCGCTTGTGTTGCGACCGAAACGTCGTAGTTTTTTGACTTTTTTTTTTACCATCTGCGTGACTTTACCGAAAGACCCAAAGAATAAGGGCATTGTTATGTTGGAATGAAACTGCTTGATTGGTATTTTTTTTTGCTGGTATGACATTCACGGGAAATTCGGCATTTATCTGTCCCCTGGAGCCCTCTTCTTTGCATGCGGAATGCGCGTCTGCCTCTGTTGTTTACAGCAATACAGGTCGTGCAACACGACAATTCAACAATTGCTCCTTTGGCATCGTGGCAATGTAAACCTAGCACGGTGACCATTTTATCAGTGCGCTTGATGCACAAATGGAATATTGAAAAGTCTTCGATGCGCCACTGTTTGTCACCCATAATGCCCGGATTCACAAATACGAAATGGGGACGCGTGGTCACACAGATGCCCCCTCCGCTTCTCCTGACACAAGTTTATCTGGCTCAGCCACCTCAATGTCAAAATTTAAGTTGTTGTTCTACACCTACTTGAGCCATACAGAGAAGAAGAAGTCTACGGATTGGTCTCCTCCGTTCACTCCCCATCTTTACTTCTCTATTAAACCACACACACAGAGCTTAACTTGCACATGTACCTCAGCGTCTTTCGACGCCTCTTGCTCCCACATGTTTGGCTCTGTGTCTTTGGATGTGAGTGTGTTTGTGTCACTTTCATGTCACCGTTACACTTGTATTGAACTTTTTCATGTTACACTTGCACTGTTTTTGACTCGTGTGTATTTCGTTCATGACCGTTTGTCAGTGGTTGCAATATTCTTGATGGACCCTGAACTCGTTCTCTGCAATCTCGATGTTTTTGTTTTGTTGTTGCTGTGCTCACCCCCCACGGATCTCCCTTGTAAAACATCTGGGCAACTGGCTAAACGGCATCATCCGTGTAATAAATTAAATCAACTTCAACTCATGGAAAACGTTCGGCAGGCATTGGGTGGCGGTAAAAAAAATAAGAAGTGCCACAGGGGACGCAATGAAACGCGTTTGTAACCCCACGATGGTGAAGTCGTTGTTGATGCCTCGTGTCGTGTTCACTGTTGTTTTCTTTTAGATCTGGGACATCAGCGACGATGAGAGCATCTAGGAGGGCAGCGCTGCAAAGGCTCCGGCTTTACACCACGAAAACATTGGTCAGTGACATCGCAGAAGTAAACAAGTGCTTAACCTTTTACGATGTTTATTAAACTTTTTAATGAGCCCTCAGATCATATGTTTGTTTCACACATGGTTTACATTGAAACCAAGAGAACGTCGTCGGCCTTTTAACAAGTTTAAAAATAAATTAACGATGTTAAACCGTAATAAAAAGAAAACAGAACGTGAGTATTCTTTGTAGATTTTTGTTTTTAAATCGCAAAAATTCGAATTTAAGGTCAGTAATTTACTGTTCAAAAGAGAATTGCGGCGGTGTTCATCTCACGTGTACAGTTTTGAGCTAGCGATGGTAATTTTACGTTCCTATATGGTGGGGGTGAGTTTATCCATTGGACAACCACTGTAGACTTCCTCACAAAGTGGAGCTCGTTTTATCAACCCCAGCGGGATAATGGGGCTAAGTCAATGCCCAACCAGGGTTTGAACTTGCAACCTTGACATCGCTGAGCCGCTCGCTCGCTCTACCGCTGAGCAACCTGGCTTGTAATTGCAAGTGGCTGCGTTTGGTGATGTTCATATTTCAAAGGAAGATGATTTTTTTTGCTTTTTTTATATTTTTATTCAAGGTTAGGCAAGCATTGGTGTATGAGGGTCCGGCCTGGCGATGGTCACTGCTGGTTGAAGAGCCAACAGGAGTGGTTCTCATTGCTTGTGTGTGGGTGAACTGCACATGCATGCCTGCACACGTTCGTCTGTGTTTTGACTATAAAACGTTGGGTTTGTTTTCTTTTTCATATTCCTGGAAGCAGAATGTACATGTATATTTTAACACGTTAACATAAGGGTTTTGGTTCATTGTACACGTACAGTACGTGGCTTTCTTGGAGATTGCTGCCCCCTATTTTCTTAACGGCGCCATTTGCAGCCACGGTGTTATCGTTGGTTAAGAAAACAGTAATGTAGGAAGGTTATGTTATGGCCTATGAGTGAGTGGGGGGGGGGGGGGATGTAAATTTTTTTTTTACTGACCAAACAAATCTGCACTGCCTTCTTTCCAAACAAAACAATAACTGGAGCAAAAGCCACCTATTCCAACAAGCGTCGATCCCGAAACCAGCGGCCAAGCGTGTAGGCAACCCCAGACGCAATTCGTTGGGTTCAGCACATGCACTGTATGTAATGGGAAGCTGGCGTGGTGTAATGGACAAAAGGTCACCGGTTCGATTCCATCTCCCGGGCACGGCAGTTGAAACAGTGGCGCGAGTTTTCTTTAATTCCCCCCCTCCCGCCTCTGTCCACCCAGCAGCAATTCGTCGATGGGCAGCTCGCACGTGCTGGGGTAAAGTGTGGGTACTCCGAGCTCTTCCAAGGCATGTGGCCATATCTGAACGTATAACATTAATGGTAATAATACCATTAATGTTATACAGAAGGGGAACACAACATCTCAAAGAGTGCAGTGTGGGGTTTTTTGCCTTGGTGAACCCCCCGAATGGCAGTTTGTCCCTCACCTCAAGAGGGCCTGTTTGAAGCTTTGTCGCGTGGAGGGTCTTTTGCAAACAGTGGCGTGAGCAAGCAATTGCAGGGCTGCACCATTATCCTTTATGAGTCTGTGCAATTGCCGATGTTTAAATGTGGATTTGGGTCTGCTTTACCAAGTCACGGAATTGTGCGAGGCGACTGCCGAGGCAATGCGTCTGTCTGGAACAAGTTCCGTCGCCTCTCCGGTTTCAAGGGAAGCGTTTTAAGACTCGTTATATATTTGTTGGAAATATCAACGGTTACGATGCTGGTGGCGGCCTTTGTTTACCGCCAGAGATATTTCTTTTCAAAGGCATTGCGGGGAAGCAAGACTGCCCGTCTCTCGCACGCTCTCTCTCATCCTCCCACATTTATTAATGTTGCACCACGAGGTGGCCGTTTGTTTTCCTCCACTGTTTAGGTGTGCGGGGTTCACAGGACTGACCTTTAAAAAAATATATACATTGCGGAAGGTAGCCAACGGCCAGTTTATAGTATTACGAAAAGCAGAACCCACGCAGAAACATATGAAAAATAAACCCAAGTTGCATTGGCTTTTTCTACCATGAAATATTGATGGAACGAATGGTTGCCACTGCCAATATTTATATGCGCGGGCAATGACGAAACCTGGAACAAGCCCTCTCTGGGATTGCCTTTGAGGTGTTTTTATTGCTTGTAATAATTTTCCTTGCCTATAAGAAATATACAATATTCCTGCGTTAATTGCGAGGGATTTGTTCCGGAGATGGTCGTGAATAGCAAATTTAATGGATGATGATTTTGGCGCGTCTGCAGATGCTTTTAAAGCTTAGATAAGTTCTCTATCTCTCTCATCCCTGTATCTCATTACTTTCTCGCATCACGTTCTCGCTCATCGCTTTCTCTCAATGCAGTCGTGCAGCATTACAGATGCGATTTGCGGATAGCCAAAATCGCGGATAGCAGTTTCATGAATAATGAGCGAATGCTGTATACCATTGTAGTGATTACAAAAAAAACACTCCCTTGTCCTACAAGAGCATTGTTGCTGACAAGTAGTGGCCAGAGATGAGCCTTGCTACACCGTGTTATCGTTTCATGTCTCACCAAACGCTGTTTTAGGTACACAATTTATAATTTTCATATTCATTGACACCCTAATTGGTACGTATGAGGTGAAATGAAAGATATGGAATGATGCGGTTTTGCTGCTCTTGAAGGTCTGATATTGAAATGTGTTAATGTGGTCATTAAAATGTATGGCATGAACGTTTTATGTGCAGTTTTTTTATGTTTCATCATCGGTTAATGTTTGGTCACAGATTCCATCTTTTTAAGATAATACAGAAGCGAGGCTGCCACGGTGTAATGGTTGGCACGCTGGACTTGCGATCCAGGGGTCGCCGGTTTGATCTTCTGGGGTGGCAGTTGAAACAATTGGGCAATTTTATTGAATCCTCCCCTCGACTCTGCCCACCCAGCAATGGAGATGGGTATGCCACTGTTAACCCTTTCCCGTTCCAATAACGGATGTGTAACGTAATCGGGCCGGAACCGGAAGAAAACCTAAAATAAAATAACTTTTATTGGTCCCAAGGCTCCCACATGGCCATGCGGGAGGGCGTGTGGCACAGTTTGGTGCCAGCTATCATATAGTGTGGTCGTATCGCTACAGTTCTCTGCGGTAAGTACAATGTCTTAAAATACAACGGCGTTATGACTCTAAATAAAATTAACGTTAACCACTTGCGCATTCCGAGATTCAGCAGTGGACGGGGCACCCACCCTGCAACTTTCAGTCACCTTGGAACGGGAAAGGGTTAAGTCAGTCGGTAGGCTGCGTTTGCTCGCGTTGAAGATTTAGGCCAAATTCCCTGAAGAGGGGTGGAGGCCCTTCCGCCAGCAGTGGCGTGAGCAAGTAATTGCAAGCATGCAAATGAACCTAATTATCTTTTAATTTTTTTGTCACTAAACATTATTTTTTATCTTCCTCTTGCAAAACTGTCAATTAAAAGCAAGTCGTTTGTGGTGTTAAATTGTACCGGTAATTTTTACAGCAGTTTGAAAGTATTTTTTTTATCTGTGCATGGTGGCCTGCAACCAGTTCTTGAATGTTCAGTGGTCTACGGGTCCAGAAAAGGGAATGGCTGACCTAGAGGAGGTTACATTCTCATCACCTACCCAAGTGTATTACCTCCAGGAACACCGTTTGCGAGTTGTCGCCTTGGATGCAAACAAAAAACGATGAGAAATTCTGCATTAAAAATGAATTTTATTGCTAGAGAAATGACCACATTGCAATCATTACTACAGATTTTACATTCCAAGCCCTTCTTTTAAAAGTAATATACAAACTTCAAATCCAACACTTTCTGTAAGTTATGGGACATCCCATCACAACAGGAAAATGCGTGCAGGCTGGAAACAAATGGATGTAACAACACACAATGGTGCCCTGGCTCACAAACAGCGGGAAGGCAGGACTCTGAACATTCAGTTATTGAGCTGGTGGTGTGGGCAAGGCTGAGAGCATTGTATATGCAATGTGGTGGTCAACGAGCATGCAAGGCATGATGGGAGTTGTCTACCTGCTGTTTGTGAGCACACCTTGGTGGTGTTGTTATTTCGATATACAAAACGCTGCACACTTTTTCACCTAATTTGCTAAAATACAAACGTCAGTGACCAGCTTTACCAAATCTAAACATTTCAAACTTGGACATCCTAAATTACTACCGTCAGATTTTAAATTCACAAAACCCTTGTCTTTGACAATAACATGATCTATACATAGTTTTTTTGGTGATCAGTCCTCTAGAACAACCCTAGGGTTTCAATATCTGAGGACGTTTTAGTTTGGAAAAACCATACAAAATGTAGCCGATGCTTCGCAACCTTTTGACCCCTAAAGGTGTGCACACGTTTTGATCATTGGAGTTGTGAGGCTGAATTAATTATCTTTCCCTTCCCATGCTTTGTAAATCGGTAAATGTTTTGTTCCTGTCGCTCTGCTGCTAACCGTTTTTTTCACTTGTTACTGCAAAAAAAAACGTTTTGCAAACATGACCACGAAAAATGTGTATTAAAAAAATATATATGCCACATAACTGAGAACTAGTTGTGACGCATAGGGCCAGCCTACAGAGATGCGTGAAGGATGCGGATCTCAGATCGCTTAAGACGCCAGCAGTGCCCCGGGGGCTGTGCTTTTTACACCAGAGCCTGCCTGACTGCTGCATTCTGCACAGTTTTTCATGCACTCAAGTCATTTTAGAAATGCACTACAAAGAAGGATGCCACACTTTCTGTGCATGATGAGAGAAACCCCATCGCGAAGGAGAAATGCGTTTAGGCCGTGAGACAGAAATAACGACACGCAAAGGCGCAACAAACGGCGACAAAGCAACGACTCGAAAACAACAATGCGACCACACATTCAGCTTTTGAAGCTGGTGGTTTGGACAAGGCTGAGAGCGTTGTACATGCAACGTGGTGATCACGTGACTTGCACGCAAGGCGTATGGATGGGAGTCGTGCCTTCATGCTGTTTGAGCAGCACACCTGAGCGTGTTGCTACTTCTAAAAGAACGATGCTCTCGGAAGGAACTACTGTTTCGCAGCTACGATGCAGGTTACTTCAAGCGACAACAGTGGCTGCCAAACGTATACAGGTTACGTCGTACATAGCATGCATTACTCTAAATAATACTGTGTTCCTGCACTATATAATACCTCATAACTGAACTGTAAGAAAGAATCAACTTTCAAAACAGAAGTGTAATAAAAGAAATTAAATACATAATGTATGTTTATTTTTTAATGCAGCTACTTCAACCAAAAATCTAATAGCGACCGATTACGCTCAGCGTAATACTAGCTTGAAGGCAAACTTAATTCCATTTGCACGAGAAATAAAATAACTACAAAATATTTTAACTAAGCGAATAATTGTAAAAGTGGAGAGAAAAAAAATATTGATTTGAAATTTCTGGGTTTTACTCATTGTGTAACGTAAATTGAGTAACACTCACCACTGCCAAAGGACATTTTCTTAGACCACCACTTAAAATAAAAACATGCAAATGGCCCGTGAGAAGTGGAGGTAGACTAAGGTAGACTAAACTGTGTGGGGGAAAGTAGATCATTTTTTGCTTACAAAATGTTATAAGATCAACTTCAGCACACAGTCTGGTCTTCCGCAGCAGTGAGTAAATTTTAGGCATGTAACGATTAAACCACCTTTCTTGCCCAGAGTAATTTGATGAATTGTCACGACTCAAAAGGATTTGATTCTACTCGGAGAATGCTTTTGCTCGTCATACTGTGATGGCAGTGGTGCACAAGTAACAACAATTAAACACATTGATCTGTAACACTGCCCTTTTGGGAATATTACATAACAGGCGACATCTTGGGCAGTGGCGCATCGCTGCTGTGAAGAAAGACCTATTGCCCAATGTCGCCTATTATGTAATTCTTCCTCTTTTTGGGCAGGGCTATTGACGAATATTTTGCACCAGTGGAGGATCCAAGGAGGGGGGTGTGGGGGAGGCGATCCCCCCCCCCCCCCCCCCCCATTGAGGCCCCAAATTTAGTATTTCACTATTTTTTATTTTAGCAGGTACAGCCCACCGAGCTAATTAGCTCTTTTTCAGAAGCGACCTGGTCACAAACGATTGCTCAACCAAGTGGCTCATCATCTGGAAATTTATAGCAGCCAAATACTCTAAACACACGTTTAGAGTTTGTATTGATATTTACTAGAGAAAATACACAATGTTTTTTTTAATGAACATATGGCCTATTTAAAAACCTTACAATGTTCAGGACTTCCTACCCCTTATAGGTTTCTTGATCTGGCTCCGCTTGAGTTTTTTTTCTTCTTCAAAAAATATAGTTTTTGTCCGTTTTAACCATCTCGTTTGTAGTGGCATTTTCTCTATGTTGTGCAGCGCTGTTGCTTCTAGCAGCCCACAGATAACATTGGACATTAATTTTCATGAATCGTAAACAACAAATTCTTAGACGCGCGAGCCAGCACATATATCGCGGGCGTAAGAACCAGTTTAATCCGATGCATTTACGTTACATGCCTCGTAAATATACATTTTGAAAATAACCAAAGCAGATGTGAACGCAAACATTAACGAGTGCGCAGTAACTTCATGAACGCTGCTTATTCTGGAATGGGACCGTGCACTGCTGGTGCAATTGCGAGAAAAGGGGCTGAAGCGGGGAACCATTGATGGCTCACGTGCAGTGCGAATTTACCTGTCCCTCGACTCAAAGCCCGTTTTTTTTTTGCCGCGATTTTACCGTAAATTTAGAAGAAAAAAAATATTCCGATTTATAAAACAATTAGAATTTCAGGAATTTATTTTAATAAAAATAAGGAAATCCAGTCCTACATTTTATTTTTTGTTCAACACCAGCAGCAAAAAAAAAATCACTCGCAGTGTTCGCTACAAGACGTGTGCCGTGTACGGGTTATCGGCCGCGAGACATCCCGCGACTACTTCTCAACACAACCAAACCGTGCGCCGCATTTAAGTTAATCTCAGTCTAGAACCGCTACGCCACCTCACTGTGTTAGTATGCTCTCGTTTACAGCTACTCGCCTAAGTGTTGTGCAGAAGTATAAGTGTTATGGGTCCTGCCTTTTGCACAGTACAGGTGGAATGTTGGCTGTGTCCAGACACCTGTTCCAAAACAATGGAGGGGGGGGGGGGTACACGTTTCGACCTAGCTGAACCAAGCTGAACCAGCAGCAAAGGTACATTGCAGCCCACCTCACCAACCTCCGCCACTCCCAGTATATATTTCCTTGAAGTCAAGGGGGGAAAGGGGAAGAACTGCCCTCCCGATACCCAAACAGTCAATACCCTGTGCGAGTGGGCCACCCCTTTTTAAAAAGGGAACCCTTAAAGCTTAGACATGGGGGTGATTGTATTCAGCGCCAATGCCTGAAGGAACCGTAGAGAGAGAGAAATACAAACTCCTCTGGGAGTAGAGATTCCCAGAGCCCGTTTTGTTATTTTCCTTCAATTTTTTTTCTACCAGGAAAAAAAAATCTGCGCTACAAAATGTTGTTCCTGCAAATTTCCCGCTTTGCAGTCGAACAAAGGAAATCTTATTTAAAAATTATAACATATAAAAACCCACGTGCCACAGCTAAAGTTAAACCGCACACACACACAAACTCGCTCGCGATGCCAATCGTTGCTTAATGTCCTGTTACCAGCAGTTTTCATATATATGATAAGACAGCCTGCTGCAATAAAAAAAACGTATAATGACTGACTGTGTGTGTGTGTGTCTAGGCAATGGGGGAACATTGCAAAAAACATGTGGGATACAAGAGTTGTCGTTTCTACGTCATAGAGCTTTAGCCGCCAGCGATTTACTCGGCACTCCTTATTTAGAGCGCGACTACCTTATCTGGTTAATGCACGCCTTTGAGCAATGTCCCTTATATGGAAGTCGGCATTCCAACCAACAGCAGAGACCAGCTGTGCTCCATGCAGTACACAGGAGGATGTTGGATGCACAGTGCAGCACAGAAGACCTCTTAGGCACGGGCAGATTCCCCTGTGCTGGTTATCGGTAGCACCTGCTTACGTAAATAGCGATTTCAATTCACTAAAGGCGACTGACATCGCTGACTCGGGACGAAAGGGCAATGTGCTATATACGGAAGACATACGTCTTTCAACATGCCGATTTTATTAAAACTATATTTCTTAAAAAATAGCTTGCATGTAAAAAATAACCTTATTTTTCTCAGAACGTTCAAAGTATAAACTTTTCTAGAGCATTTTGTTCCACAAAAGCTAAATGTATTTAACACTTTCCATAATGCATGTAGGTTAACCTTGGGGCCTTTGCGTACAAACCTACGTTTGACACTCATACATTAGGAGGCGGCAATCAATGCGAAATGTGCGTAACACATTGGTATAAACACAAATAAAAATGTGCCCTAGTATCTGCCACCAGGGCAGCCGTGTGTGCATACTTAGTGAAATCATCATTGTCATCATCGTCGTCACAGGCTTTTTGTGTTTAACCAACAATGGGGGCAATTGCGTTGTGATAACCGCAGCACAGAAATAAAATAAAAAACACAACGCCACGCTCTGCGCAGGCGCCAACAGCGACCGGAGGCGCCGTACTCTTTACGAGATGACGGACGGGGAGCGGTTACGGGAACCGGGGGAGCCTCCTCGGCCTCCCCCCATGGAGGCGGACGACGACGGGGAAGAGGCGGACGAGGAGGAGGAGGACAGGGACGAGGAGGAGGACGAGGACTGGGCGGCCGGGTGCGGTGCGGCGTCGCCCTCCGCCGCTTTGATGCGCAGCCACGTGTCGCCCAGCGCCTTGGCGAAGTGCTCGTCGACGGAGCCCGTCACCGACACGCAGGACGACGGGCTGACCGCCGCCGGCTCGGCCTCGCGGGCGGCCGGTCCCGGGCCCCCGTGCCGGCCCAGGCTCCGCCGGAAGTGTTCCTCCACCACCGGGTCGTACGGCGCCGACGCTGGGAGGGGGGAATGGGGAGGAAGATCGTTGAGATAACGATCGCTCGTCGATCGCACGGCGTGTCGCATCTCTGCGGTTTGTGTTTGAGTCTCCTGTCGTCGTAGGGACGTGAGTTGCTCGAACGGTAGCCAAATAAGTAAGTCGGATTAAATAAAGGACAGAGGAAATATTAAAAATCGCATAATTCATGAAGGAATTAGGTATTTGACTTCGGTCGATGATGAATAAGATATCACGATTGAATTTGGAGGTGGCAATTTAAAAAAGTAAGAATTCAACATAATTAAAAGCAGAGGTCTGATTTAAAACAATATAAATTCCATCTCCCTTTGGAGATTTCATTGTAAAAAGCAGTGAATAATTGTTTTGTAATTTACCTTAATTTTAAATGGGATGACATACAGCTGGAATAGAACATTGTGGTGTGATATTTATAACTATATTGTTCTGTGGGACATTGTGATTTTGTAATGCTACACAAAGTGGAAAATGTCGGTATTGAACACGCAATTAACAGTAGCACGAGTGATGATCAATTCTACCCCTGGTTATATTTACGTGGACATAATTAAAACGAGTCGTAAAACGGTAAAATGTCACAACTTTTGAAAATAAAAAAAGCAAAACCTACCAAAAAAACCACGGAAGAAAACTTTTCGACATTGGCTGTACTAATGCCGCTTTTAACATGGCAATGTTCCTAATTACCCTTTTCACAAGTGCACGGGGCACTATATTTACCCGCTCCTGTCGCTGCCTCCCTAAAGGACACTGTAAAAAAATAAAGATATATATACTGCCACGCAACGAGTGCTTATTTTACTTATTCAATCTCGGGTGGCCACGGGGCTACATAGCTCAATCTCCCAAGGGCTCGCTTTGTGTGGCGATGAGAAGCGCGATAAATAATACGGGACGACCTCTTGGCAGACAGCACTTCCAGTCACTTCCACGATATCGGAGGTGAAAAAAATTTGCTCGGTCCTTTCCGGGCCATGCCATGGGTGGGGGAAAGTCAACGACTCCAGTCCAAAGTGCCACAAAGTCAACGCCTTTCCTTTTCATGACGATTATTTTGACATGTGGATTAAAGCCCTGCTGACGTCTCCCATTCTGATTGCGCGATATGGCTAGTTTCCACGATTTCAGATGTACTTTTCAGACCGTTAGGAGGTGTGCTTAAATATGAGCATTAAGTGGCTGCATAGTATGCCAACCAATTAACACTCTAATTCAGATTCAAATCAAGTGTCCACCTTTCTTAATACAGGAGAATGCTCATCAACTACTGCAGTGTTCAGATGTACTCAGACGAACACGTAGGCTATTGCGACCAATGTCATCCATAATATAAGTTTTTTGGCTTAGATCGCGTAAATATAAATGTGACGATAGTTATAATTACTGGCGAAATGTCGTACTCAGATTCTAAATGGCGTGGATTTACCCTCCAACACACCGATGTGTTGTACAAGTAATGAATTGGCATGTTCTGTTTACGTGACAAACCTTATTAATTGGCTGTGTCGGGTGGTGGCGGGTTTAACGACACATTTATATTTACGCGATCTAACCCAAAAAACCTATATTATGTATTCAGACGAACTGACTTTTTCATCTATGCCGGAACAATGATGGTGCGTTCCGATTTGCGCATGTCTCGCGCCGTTCATTTGTGCAATGAATAATATAATCTGTAATTCCTGTAACGAAAAACTGATCGGATCACCTAAAGTGCACCCAATCTTAGATCTCAGAAGCTGAGGTGGTTTGAGCCTGGAAAGTGCTTGGATTGGTGACTGTCATGCATACACAGGCTGCAATAAGGTGGGTAGCAGAGGGAAGGGCATCAACATGATATTGTACGATCATTCTGTGCTCCCATGTCTATACCTCCATGGCCCACAGAGGGGTGGGAAAGCCCTCATTCAGCAGTGGATTGAAAAAAAAAAGCTGTACGTGCGCAGAGATATTTACCTGCACAATGACAGCCCACATGTATTATTAGCAACAACTAAACACATCGATCAATAACACTGCCTTAAAAGGAAAAAAAACTATACAGGTGACGGTGTCAGGTAATAGCCAAGAGGGTAAAAGCCCTTCACGTACTATGAAGAATGGCTATTGCCAAAAAAACGTCGCCCATTATATATTTGCTTCCCTTTAAAGCAGCGCTATTGACAATTACAACCGTGTTGAGTTTTTGTCGTTTGCGCTCGTGCGCCACAACTGCGTGCGTGCCAACACCGATACCTCGACGTATAACTATGGGTATGGCTTTTTGCTTTTTTTTTTTACCATGGAGCTGCCTAAACTTTTTTTGCAGAGGAAGCGGGGTAGCCGCTCGTTTCCCCCCTACTCACAGCCGGCCTCTTTGCCGAAGTCGCCGGTGAGCTTGAGGGGCGGGCTGCTCTTGGGCTGGCTCCGCACCGCGTTGCGAGATGGCGGCGCGCAGGTGATCACTGAAGGTCGCATCTGAGGGCGGACGAGAGAAGAGCACATCCCCGGTGGCACCGGCGGCCGTGGCAAACACTTTCCACGGGGCCCTTACCTCATGGCGCGGCAATCTCACAGCTGTTACGCGCCCCGTGTGTTTTCCTGCGTGTGTTTACACGCAGCTATCTATATTCTCCCGTCCGGGGTGGAGCGGTGGCGCGGCGGTTGGCCCACTTTGCTGCAGACAGTGGCGGACGCAATTAATTGTAGGGGTGATGGGGGCGATCTACCCTCCCCCACCACCACCTTGCTGTGCAGGAAATTTTCGTTTTATTAAATTTGTATAAATATAACCTTAATTTGGAGCTTTCGTGACTGCAGGGATTACTCTTTGGTTCTTTCCGTAAAGTCACGTATAAAAATTAAATAATAAATGTAATAATAGCATACGACGTTGCGATTGCAACACAAGCAATCATCATCAGGTATAAAAGAAATAGCAACAAAAATCTAACCAGAAAACTATAGACAGACATATAAGCAGACAGATATCACAAAGATACACAGAGAGAGAACACGTATCGGCACAAAGAGAGAGATCGTCTCTGTATAAATATACATATATTTATATCTCCACTGCGAGTCGGTGAAATATACACAAGCAGCCTGCACAACGGTACGATTAAGGTGTCCCAGCAGGGCAAGTAAAGCTGAGCTCTCGCACATCTCAGGAGAATGAGGTGTACCAGCTCTCCAGAGCAATAACCGTGGCAGCTGAAATAGCAGGAGGCTAGTAATGAGTCAGTTCATATGTATAGTGGCGTGGGTCTGCTTGTAATATAACTGTGCTCTTCACACCTGCTGTCTAAAGGTGACCTGTAATTGTACAACATATGTAATGTGTCACCCTGCTGTCTCAAGAATCGATTAATTTTCACAATTTGGGTTCACAATGCTATTTGATAATCAGTTATTTTTGTCCTGTTTGTACCGTTCCATTTGCATGGTCTCCTACGTTCTGTAAAGTCCATTTCATTCATCTAATTGTGATATTTTTATGTTACCGTCTTATCCATCTGTCAATTTAATTCTGAGAAATGTGTTCCTGAAGAAGCTCCCCGCATGTGAAAACTAACATCGGAACATCGTGCCAAACAGCCGGTGGTACAAACCGAAAAGACATCGGAGAGCTGTCAAGTAAAACTGCAAAAGAATAGAAAGTTCAATACCAATCCGACCAGGTGGCAGTAGACCAAGTGGCTCACAATCAGAAGGTTGCGAGTTCAATTCCTGGTTGGAGGTCGACTCATCCCATCATCTCTTCAGGGGTCGTTAAAATAGGTACCACAATCTACGTATAAATAAAGCCATATATTTTAAAAACCTACATTTTAAGTGCCACTGTGGGGGAGTCAACAGCCTCACTTGATACAATAAATCTAGCTGTGATGGTCCCACCTGATGACGGAGACTTGTGTTGCCTCCAAAACGTCGTGATTTATTATTTTATTTTTATTATTACTTTTATTAATTTTTATTGTATTTTTTACCTACGTGACTTTACCGAAAAAACCTAAGAGTATGAGTCAACAGTGGTTGTCCTATGGAGAGACTCACCCCCACCATAGCAATGTATAATTTCCACCATGGGCTCAGGTCTGTAAGTGCAGGACTCGCACCACGTCAATGCTCATTTGAGCAGGAAATCACTTTGGTGTTCGACCCGTCTAGTTAAATGCCTCGTGGCCTGCAAGCAGTGTTGTTGGCGAGGCTGGGCCAGGCGAGCAGCGGACCGACTGGGACCACCACGCGCGTCCTCCCCTCACCTGCTGCTGGAGCATGGTGCTGTGGAGCGGTATAGGGCCTCCACCGGGCGACGAGCCAGGGCTGCCCATGGACGGGCGCGACATCTCCACCGACATGGGCTGCACGGAGAGGTCGTGGGGCAGGCAGCCGAAGGGCGCGGGCGACGGTGCCCGCCGGGGCTCGCCGGGGCTGCCGCTGAGCGGGTAGCTACGCCCGTACTCCCCGTTGCTGCCCGGCCGCCTGCCGACGCGGGGCGGGGAGAGAGCGGTACAAGTAGAGAGGCGGGGCATGCGTGTGAGTGAGTGAACGTCAAGCGGCCAGGTGTGTCAATCAATCAAAACTGCGATTCAGGTAGAAGTGATTTGTCCACCTTCCATGACAGCGGGAGAGATGCTCGTGAAATGCCGGATGTACTCGGACTGACTTTTTAATCCACGCTGATGCATTGATGGTGGATCCAGTTTCATGCACATGTGACTCTAATAAATAAGGTATATTTTCGGAAACTGTAGATAACTATCTTCAAAATAACATCCCGTATGTACTATTAAGATGTGTCCTTGGTCCTTTTTTCAATCCACGAATGTATGAGGGCCTTCCCAGGGCATGCAGGCTTTGAGGCTTATTTCACCATACTTCACCACCCTGTGTGCGTGTAGGTTCGTGAAGTAAGACCGCATAGACATGGGAGCATAAAAGAATAATACAACAATGGTTTCTGCTGCTCTGCCATCTGCTGCCCGAAATGTAGGCCCCAAAGCAACCTATAACCCCTGGCATGTATGGTGGTCACCCATACAAGCACTATTGAGGCTCAACTCTGGTCATAGGTAACAATAATAACTTTGAATGGCGGAGCTTTGCTTTAAAGGATGATGCAAAAATAGTATTGCCATTATCTTTAAGACGTGTCCGGGTGTCGGGGGTTGGTTGACATGAGTTTGTAAGCTTCATTAACAATGAAGACTTCAAATTGAACCTCAAAAGAGGTCAAATAAATGGCACTATGAAGTCACTGCTACATTTTAAAATATCACTGCAGTGATGTCACTGGAGTGCTACCGAGTAGGACTGAACGATTAATCGATTTCAAATCGAAATCGCAATATTAAACAATGCGATTAGCAAATCGCAAAGGCTGCGATTTTTTGCGATTGGAAAAGTCCTATTACCTTCTTGTTGGAATTGTTTTATTTTTTATTATTATAACTTTTTTTTTATTGAACTTAACAATTGTTCTGTGTTTGATTGTTCTATTTCAATTAAAACATTTTAATAAATATGTTGCAAGCAATTCATATCTTTTAAGTTCTCATCCTTGCATTATAATATATAGAGCAGTTCATATTTTTATGGTATCACGTGGTAATGCACCATCACATGTTTTAAATCTATTACACAGTGAATGTTGAACTGAAGCTTGACTTTCAAAATTTTAATCGCAAATCAAATCGCAAACGCAATATCTGTCAGAAAAATCGCAATTAGATATTTTCCCCAAATCGTTCAGCCCTACTACTGACCATGGATTTTAATGATTTTTTCCCCTCATTAACAAAGTGTAAAACGTGTGCCAGACAGTTCGGGACAGGTCTAGGCATGTATGTCTCCAAGTTACAGTGAAGAATATTTTTTTGTTAAGATTACACCTTTAAAAATAAAATCTGCTCTGTTTTGCAATAATTATTTTTAAGTTATGTTTGTATTTCACCCTTGCAAATGTTAAGATTTAATTTACAAACGTCGCATTGTAAACTTGTAACAAAACCGAAATCTGTTTGGACTGGGTAGCACTTCAGTTTTATCACCTTTTACACGACTCCCAACGCATCAGCATGCTGACGTATGTCATGGCCCAAATGAAATATCTCTTGTAATTTGTTGGAAGAAATGGTGCTACATTTGCACATGGTATGTCTATGCCCATTAAAGAAAAGTATATATATTTTTTATACACACATCTGGAATGTGCCTGCTTGTCAGATCTTGGAAGCTAGAGAGGTTCGAGACTGGGTAGAGCTTTGGATTATCGACGACCATGCATAGACACGTTGTGATAGGGCTGTGTGACAACCATGCATAGACACGTTGTGATAGTTATGCAGCAAATCTGGCTGTGACGGTCCCACCTGATGACGGAGACTTGTGTTGCCTCCGAAACGTCGTGATTTTTATTTTATTTTTTATTAATTTTAATTTCATTTTTTACCTACGTGACTTTACCGAAAGAACTAAGAGTATGAATCCTTGCAGTCACGAAAGCTTCAAATCTAGGGCTGCGTGACGACCATGCATAGACACGTTGTGATAGGGCTGCGTGACGACCATGCATAGACACGTTGTGATAGGGCTGTGACGCCCATGCATAGACACGTTGTGATAGGGCTGTGTGACAACCATGCATAGACACGTTGTGATAGGGATGTGCGATGGGACCACAGAGCGCAGAGTGTAGCTTGCTGCGCTGTACTCCTATGCACTGCGCAGAATGGTGAAGTATGGTCAAAAAAACCCCATGACCCGCACAGCATGGAGAGGTCCTGAACCGAGGGCCCTACGTGTACCAGGTATGTGTACCAGGTAAGTGTGCTTTTGTGCATACATATGCAATGCGTTTGTTTTTATAAACCCACTCCCCTTAACATTAATAACACACCCCCACCATTTCACAGTGGAAAATCCCAATGTAAAAAAAACCGAAAAAGTTGTCCAGACAACCGAGTGGGGTAACCCAAACCAAGGAACGAGGGTGGGGGTGTTAGAGGGTACAGTTTTTTTTTATAAACGGACACAGCTGTGTTTTCAGCAACGCTCCAACCCCAACCTCTCCCTTGCAACCCTTTTCCTTTATCCTAACACCGACCCCCCCCCCCTCCATCTGGCACTCACATGGATGCATCCAGTTTGACCCCGTTTGCAGGAAGCCCTCTTTTGACAATCTGTGGCTGACCTGACACTTGGACAGGGTTATCAGCACTGTCCCGCGATTACGACTTCTCCCCTCCCCATTACAGAATTTCTTGCACGATACAAAAAATGTTATCCATGGCCCTGGCTCAGAATCACAGGGCGCGGACTCCCGAAGCTGATAACGGTCAACAGTCTTTGAATGTCGTAAAAAATATAAATCAGTTCCCTCTCTAATATGGAACGCATGTTATCTTGGGGAAATGTGTATATATATTTAGCTAAAAGTGCTGCAGGATGGTTTATAGCTGGTTTCATGTCTACAGCTAAATAATCCTAAACGAGCTTGAGCTTCTCACAGAAGCTAAGCAGGATTAAGCCTGGTAAGTACTTGGATGGGAGACTGCCAGACTAAGTACCAAGTAATGTAAGACTTGCGCTGTGTGGTGACGAGCTTTGAGTGTTATCTCCTCGCATGTGTGGGCTTTCTCCGGGACACTCCTGATTTCTCCCACGTATGAAACGCTCATTTCATGGAAATGGCTAAACAACCCAATGTAGTCCTAAAAATAATTGAGACTCCTTGATGTCAAAAAATTAAAGTGTTATCATTATTATTTTAACAGCCTATGACCAGGTCTCGGAAGCTATGCAGTACTCAGCCTGGATAGCACTCGGATAGGTGACCAACATGTAGTGGGGCAGCCAAGGGCAAGATATGAAACTCCACTGTTGTACAGCACTACTATGGGCCCCTATGTCGACGATTTCTTCATCAACCCACACAGAGCGGTGTGGCGATCCCGCACAGCGCGGGGGAGTCCCTCATCCAGCAGTGGATTGACGCGAGGTCCATGCGTGCGCACGCATTGTCACAACGGTGGGGTGTATTCCCAAAAGAAGAGTGCAGTGGATACTCGGTCAAGACCGCACGACTCCGCGAGTTGCATGAACGTGATATTTCCCGCAAACTAACTCCGGGAAAAGGCTCGCGGCACCGAATCCCACCGGGCGAACTGTGCCCACTCAAAACGACTTGGCCTCGATGGTTTCTGCTGACGTGCTTCCCGGAGCTGCCACGCTGTACAGTGTACATGGGAGAGGAGGAAAGTTGATGATTATCCTGGCTTTCCGAGCTACCCCCGGGGCCCTGGCCCTTGTCAAGATAAACACTCCTCGGACCTAATCCAGAGGCCCCTGTCAAAATAAAAGTCCACCCAGTGCAGTGTGTGTGCACGAGCCAACGCAGTGAGTTTCTCTCTCTCATTTCTTCCGTTATTTCAAGCTGAGATTTCGTTTAAATCGCGGTTGCTGTAAACAGGGCCCCATCTCGCACCCCCAAATGCCAAGTGGCTCGCAAATAAATTGTACTATTAAAGTTGTAAAAGACAAAGTGGTAACACGTTTCTTGAATTGAGCGAGGTTGTGATTAGAACTTGCAAAGCGACGATGGGATGGAATTCCAAAGTGGAGTCGTGCGACCTGCTGTGTGGCAGTGGTGGAACTCAATGCGGTGGACGAGATGAAAGAGTCGGTGTTCAGTAGACCGAGGCCTCAACATGGGTGGAGGAATCAATGAGTTAAGTTCATGGGAACATTAACCATGGCAGTAGCAATAGAGGAGTGGCAGCGATTCGACTGACCATCGATGAGTGAGTGAGTGCTCGAGTGAATCAGTGAGTGCTGGCTCATCAACCTGGGATTAGCTTTTATGGATATATTTGCTTCAGAACTTTTGCTCCCAAAAAATATAACGTTTGAATGCTTCATCGAAGCTATGTGTGCCATTTTTTACATTTGCCTATGAAGATGGATGGCCACGAAACTTCCACAATCTGTGATTTGATGTGAAAAAAATATCCAAACTTCATTTATAAGAGAGAAAGCTGAGTTTATGAGAGGTGTAATTTATTAGCGGTAATTAGAACCAGGCTCGGTTACGGCTTTCTCAAGGGGCTTTTTTTAACCAAAGCGTCCTTGGCTGCTTCTGTTAATGCCTTCCTTTTTGATAAAATGGTCCCTCTGTTGATCTGCCCACTCACTCAGAGCCGCTGGCTAATTCTTTATTGAGCCCGACTCCATTATCCTACGTGCATGTCGTTTGGGCATGACGTCCGACGTTTCGCTCCAAACGCGGGATGTTTTCTCCAGAAAAAATAAAAACAACACACGGCACAGCACCAAAAACACAACGGAGAGATAGAAGCATTAACTACAACCTGATTCCAAGACAGTCCAGGTTTTTATCTATGATTTCCCTTCATGCAGACTGCCTCCAGAAAGCCGGACACCTAATGATGATGATGATACAAAATCACCATTTGCATGGATTG